TTCACCTCTCTGGTGAGGCCCAGAGGTGCCACGTGTCCTGGGGTGTCCCCTCCATGTGCTTGCCCAAGGTACCACCTGGCTGCTGTGCTCTCCTTGGGAAGCCCTTCCTCCCAGAAGGAGACAGAGCAGATTTCACAGTCCACAACAGCCTGCAGAGTACCTAAACTAGCATTTCTTAATATCCATTGCTGTGATCAGATGAACAAGACTAGCAGGGCCATCTAGTGACTCCTCTGGCTGCTTAATGACCTGGGAGGTGCCCCCCCTTAGATGGGTATAGTTTTAGTGTTTGTATGGTGAACCATGCTCCTGTACCTGTCCACCTCTCCCTCCATCTCCTTTTTTCTTTTGGTTGGTGTCTATCCTTTGCTCTGCAGCTCTGTTTTCCCTGGTTCACTCAGAGCTGGAAAATGCTCAGGCTTCCCCACAGCGGAATGGAAATTTGCCCTGCGTTGCCTTGGGTCGGGTGACATAAGGTCAGACAGCTAAATAGCTTGTCCATGCGAAAGGAGAGGGATCCTGCAGGTTGGCTCGCCTTCCTCAGCGCCAACGGGAAAGCTGCTCTCTGGGCAGGAGTCTGCTTGTCTCGGCTGTGGCCTCGATTTCGTTGCTGCTAACCCGCAGGTGCCGGTGTAGCCGCTTGCCGGGGCACTGCGGGGCTTCCTCGTCACCGGCTGCTCCTGCAGCTTCGTGCCGGCTGGCAGCCGTGGATTGCTCCAAGCTGCTTGCCCCTGGGAAGGGCTCAGCCCAGGCTTGAAGTGCAAAATTGAAGAGCCCTGCCCAGTTCAGGTAAGCTGAGGCTATTTGCCCCCTCCAGCAGCCTGACCCCATAGTAGATATGGTTTGGCCTTCTCCTTTGCATGACTCCAGGGCTTTTCATTTTGCTCTTTCATTTGTGTTGCTTTTTGCAACGTTAGCATGATACTGGGATTTGTGGATGGGGCCAGGAAAATGACCTGGCAGCTGATTCTATTGCAGCTCACTGGGGCAATGGTCCAGGGATGGACAGGACAACTCCCAGCAGCTTAGAGGAGCAGCAGTCAGGACAGAGCTCCACCAGCCATTGCAGGGCTGTGACAGGTACATTTACTGCACTATCAGCACTGAACGGGGGCTTTGGTTAGATTGCTTTTGACAGGATGTCGTTAGCCTGATGCGTATGTGGGAGAGGAACAGCTATAATGCTCTCTTAATGCAGCCAAATTGCTCTTTAATTCTGCAAAACCAAGATGCTATTTCACGAATCCCCAGAGCTCACTGTGCATAGTCTTGATGCTGCCGGTTATCGGTGGCCTTTTCCCTCTGCTTGCATCCAGCTCCACGTTCTTGGAGTATGGGGTGGGAGCAGTCCTCCCCTTACCTCCATGAAGCTTGGCTGCTTTCTGCCCTCACTTGGCTTCACGTGTGTTAACTCTGGAAGCTAGTGGTGACTTCTGAAATGCCTCTTCCCATCAAAATGTGAGCAGAAAGTCTAGCAATTTCCATAGCAACAGGGCTGGGCCCTAAATCCTGATGTTAACTCTGTTTCTGGACATCTGTGGAGTCTGAAGAGCTGAGTGTACAGAAGGCAGTAGTGCAGCTCCCCAAAGACAACACTCACTGTTTGTCCCAGCCACTGTAGGGTAAGATACTACTGTAGGGTAAGATACTACTGCAGAATAAACATCAGGCTTTGCCCCAGCTACCTGGGAAGTTTGGAGAAGTGATGCTGTCATCCTCCTGCAGCTGGGAGACAATTGGGAAGAGGTAAAAGCAGGGTAAAACTACTAAGACACGTCAGCTGGATAATCTCAGAGGACATTGACTCCAGCTCAGAAAGGCACTGAGAGCAGATAAAATTAGCCTAATAAGAGTTGATGCTACACAGAACTCTCCCCTCCCTTGAATTTATGTTTAGCTTACAGGCACATAACAAAAAGAGCCAACATGATGCAAAAAGGTGGCTTTGCCTGGCCTTGTGATGGCAAAACCCTGCTAAGGCTCTGGAGCTAGAGGGAACTCAAGAACCATAAGGGAAATAAGAGCAAAAAGTCAAGAAAAGCTCATTCCTAATATTTACAGCAGCTGGTTATCTATTGTGGTTGATAGTGTGTTGGAAATGGTACGTCAGGATGCAGGTGCACAACATTTTTCCTCCCTGAAGGTATTTCAGAGGACTCCAAAAACCAGTGCATTAAGATTACAAAACAAAACACCAACTATTTTGGGATTCACATTGAAATGGCAACATATGCTACACATTTAAACATCAGCCCCTTCTGAAAGTTTAGCTATTCTGGGCCCATCCTGAATGGCACTGAAGATCCACATGAGAGCAGATGCCTCCCTACCTCCTCGTATCCTCTTGGAAACTCCCTTGCAGGTCCATTTGTGGGTAGCAAAGTGCTAGTGAGGAAGACGCCATCCACCCTTGCTACTGTCTGGGTGTTTCACAAGGTCTCTGGGAACCTTCAGCAGTATTTTGAGGGGAGAGGGCTCTTTCTTGCTGGCATTTGCCCTTTGCCTAGCTTTCTGATAGGGTTTGTTTGTGTCTGCTTTATAATAGAGTGTGGGCTGTATTTTACCACAGTGATTTTGTTCCCAGCTAATAATTGCTGGTTAAATCTTATTGAATGATGGTTGTTAGCAAGGCCTGTTGTAGCACAGATAACCTCGGAATTATTCATGCAGAGGAGCGGTGGGGACCAGGGTGCACTGGGACATGGGCACTGCTGGGGAACCTTAATCGGTACAGCCTGGAGTAAGCTTCTTAGGATTATTTAGCCAAGTTTCCTAGTTATCGTTATTATTATTGCTTTATTTAGCAAATGAAAGGGGTGTTTAACCAGGTAGGGTTCACAATGCACTTGGTGGGCTCAGCCAAGCCTCCCCACCAATTGAGGGCAGAGGTCTTTCAGGGGAAGCAACCTGACTTGCAATAGCTGTGCATCAGCCACAAGACAGTGCCTTGAGTGAGCCAAGGAGCAAAGCACATGTTGCTTTCCAATTAACCCCCTTCCCGTGAGCACAGCCACACTGGAGCTAAGCTTATTCGAAGAAGAAATAAGTATGTTTCATACAACAAGCAGGGTGGACTGAAGACAATGGAGTTCCTGAGTCACCCCAGAGGGAAGGGGAGGGGTCTCTTCCAGCAGTGTCGGCAGAGCTGGGCTGGCAGTGTTGATATTCCCTACCCCTGCAACCAGATTGAGCTGGTGTTACCTGCTGGCACCCTCTCATGCCTGAGGCTGTGAGTACTTGTGGTTTAACACAGACTTAAAATGGTTGGGAAAAAGCAAACTAGGGCTGTGCAGGCTTCTGCTACTTTGTGTCACCTCCCTGGGTGACTGTCAAACCTCCCTGTTCCCAACCTGCAGTGTGAGTCCCCCCCGGGTTCGTAACAAGGCTTTAATTTGGCATCATCTACGCACTCTTCAGGCTGATGTCTTTTCCAGCAGCAGAGCAGAAGGTTTCTGTGATATTGTTTGGGTTTGAGCTGAGAAAGTTTAAATAAAGAAGCCGTGGGTCCGTCATTGACTCTGGGAAGTGATGGGATGTGCAGTCCTGCTGCTGTGCTTTTCATTTGAAAGGAGTTGGTTCAACTCGAATCAGCCCCTGTTCTTGTTGATATAAACCTGGAGTAACAGACAGCAGAATTTGATGCTTAGTGTTTGAAACAAATGTGGTTGAAGTGTGTCCTGAGGACAGCCTGTATTTTTGGATGCATGTTTAATCTATGTGCTACTGTTTTGTTTGCTGTAGGAATCCTCCTTCTGTTTGCCCGTCTGCATAGCGCCAGCAGGACGGCTCCTTGGTCACAGAAGCTGGGCTGCTGCATGGCTCTGCCCTGGGCATGGGGTGAGTGAGTGGCACAGGGTTTGCTTGGGATGTGCTTAAGCCTTTGCTTGTTCCCTGGTTCAGAACAACATGGAAATGAAACCTGGATTAGGCTGTCCTGGGATCGATGCTTTTCTGAGTCTGGGCTGGAGTTGGAGTGATTTTTCCTGCAATCCGTGTTCCAGCTCTCTTTATGGGATGCTTTTGGCACATCAGCCCATGCCCTCATCTGATGTGAGCAGCCATATCTCTTTGTTGCACCTCAGAACAAGCCACTAAAGTGCATTGTCATGGGTGCTGAGCTCAGGATCTTGTCCCAGCTTGCACACACCACTGGGAGGAAATGTGGCAGTTGACAGGGACAATGTGTTTTTTTTCCATCACCCTATTCCTGCTGTGATGTTGACTCTGTGACGGCCACTGTCGCCTTCTCTAAAGGATGTCCTCCCTTCATGCAAGGATGGGGTATCCCTCTGCAGAGAGGCTTGGCTCTCTGCCAGCCAGGGCTCTCACTTCCAGTGCTGGACTCAGTGTCTCCAGCTATAAACTGTCTCCCCCTGCTCTTGTGGGGCTGCAAGGATGCCATCTTTCCCCCTTTCAGGAAAATGAAGGTCGTGTGTGTAGGCAATGACAGTAGCTCTGAATCACCCAGCAGAGCGAGGGATCAAATCAAGTCACATTCCAGGGCATTAGACAGACGGTGGGAATTAAAAGCTTTACCTGGAAACTGGCTTTGTATCTCCAAGCCCTACTTTTGTCTCCCAGCTCAACTCTCTATTTTTGTCCCTTTTACCTTCCATGTTGTCATGTGTCATGCCAGTCCTAGGTGCCTGGGTGTGCCATATTTGGGGAGCCTTCAGTAAATACTAGGCTGTGCAGCTGAGGAGGAAATATTCAGGCAGTATGAGAAGGTAGAAAAATGTGGTTTATCAAAAAGCAAGCTGCTTTGGGACTCATTAAAAGCTAAGGGAGAGCTCCAGCTGCTTTCAGTAGGCTTGTGATCAGTCAGAGACTAGAAAGTCCCATCTGGGCTATTAGCAGCAAGTCTTGGTTTTGTTTCTTTCAGTCTGTAAAGTCTGGGGACGCAGCCTCCTTTGGGGGCCAGTCCTGCCATGGCAGCAGGGAGGTTTGCCTGCTTCAGCTCTGTCTTTGCTTTTCCCTTAATCTGGTCTTCATTTGCACCTTGCCCCTTGTGTCTCTGGTTGTTCTCTGCATCCCTGGGTGAGGTGAGCATCTCCCATCATTGCTTCTGGGCCTTGGCTATGGACTGTCAGCACTGCAGGGCAGGTTTTGGGGTGCTGCATGATACAGGAGCAGGCAGAGCTCAGGGGGCTCACCTTAGCCCCCAGAACCTTGACTTCCTGACCTGTGTAACAATCCTTGTCTATTTGGGTCTCATGTTCTATGGGGAAACATTTAAAATAATGATGCTTTTGTAATGATGATAATAATATTAGGCTGTCATATATAACTTAATCTTATTTATTTATTTGTTTGCCCTTTCTTAGAGGGAATTGCTGCTATTTTCTGGGCATCGGGCCCAATTTTTGTTTGTTCTGTCTGCGTCCACACTGCATCCTGGATGCTGCACCCAAAGATGGAGCCTGTGTGGATGAGCACATTCAGGCTGCTCCAAACCTGGAGGCAGCATTTTGTGCCTCCCGTGTTGTTCCCACCCATCATCTTACCACCCGCAGGATTTTCAGCCTCGGCCACGTGAATGCGAAGCAGGTGGCATTTCCGTCTGAATTAATATACTCAGAGTCCTTGGATGTGGGAAGGGGGTTAAACTGGATTTGCTGATGGACCTTGTTGCAGGAGAGCAGTTTGTCTCCTGGCAGGGCAGCACACATCACCTCTACAGAAGAGGTGGGAGCTGCCTGGAGGTGAATGTATGGCCGAGAGAGGAAGGAGCAGCTGAGAGGTCACCATTCTCGCAGATCATTAGAGCATCTGTGTGCATCATGTCCTAGGTACAGAGCGATGACAAGTTTGGATGCTTCAGGAGGGAAATGTTTGCTTCCTGGTGAGAAGTAAATTAGGGTGGTTTGCCTAGTGTCAGTATGTTATGAGTCAGGGACGTTCATTAACATTTACCAAAATCTGAGTGAAAACCGAGTTCTTAGTTTGACAAAAAAGGTTGGGTGTGATTTTGCTGGGTTTGGGGGAAAATTCTCCAAAGAACGGAGCTTTATTTTTAATAGACATCTGCATGCCTGCCTGCAGGAGACTGCAGTTCTGTGTGCGCTGATATATGGCATCTGTTGTGTTGTCAGGGTACCTGGTGGTACGGACTGTCATCAGCGTTACATGGTGGTGGGTGTCCCAGCTTCATGCCAGACCCACCACACCTGAGTCAGCAGAAAGTTTGTAGTGGGGGAGTTGTCCCTACAAAATACTTCAGATACGTTTTCCTGGGCAAGGTGAGTTTCCATGCAGCATTTTGCTCCATGTTCTCACAGCCTTTCGCTTCTGGCACTCCTTGCTTAAAAGTCCACCTCCAGTAGCTTTTGGAACCTGAGATTTATTGATGTGAACCCAGGAGGAGATTAGGTAAAAACACCAGTTTGTGACCAACTCCCTGAGCAAGCCACAACTCGGCATTTTCCCGGGAGCCTGTGGCAGGCTGCAGGGAGCCTGTGACCTTCCTGGCTGGTGATGGGGCTCTGTCCCTGCCCGGAAAGGTTGCCAGAGAAGTGCTGAGCATGGCCACACTGGCTGTGAGACCTCGCCCTACCCATCGCTCGCTCCTCTGTGATGATCTACCTGCTGCATTGCTCTATGCCGGCAGCCACAAACTGGCTGGGAGAGGCTGTGCTGTGAGCAAGTGCCATGTGTTGCTTCCGTCCCTTGTGCGTTCCCGGCCCCAGAGGCTGTGGGTGGCTCACCCAGCCTGCCTAGCTGGTGCTGAGCACTGGAGGGGGCACTGCTGTGTGGACTGCAGCCTGCTTGCAGCAACAGGGCACTGAATCAGGGCGACCCCTTTGAGCAGCAGTGTGGCTGGAGCCGTGAGTGGGCAGCGTGCCACCCGCGCCCCTGCTCAGTATGCACAGAGCATCTCTCTGGCTCGCCCGTGCTGTGAGCTGGGATGCCAGCGGTGCTGCCACAGTCTCCAGGGGCTGGGACAGCCCTGCTTCCAGCTCCAGGGAACGCAACGCAACAGGACAGCGGCTCCTGACCCTGCGTGGTGACCTTCCCTTCTCCGGAGAGGTCTGGTGGGGACTCACCCTGCTGAGGCAGGGAGATGGGGTGAAGGGAGGTGTGCTTCGACCCAGCTTCTGCTTTGCTCCCCTCGGGCACAGCGGGGCTTTGCTAGGGAAGAGGCAGGGGGCTGGCCGCCCTCGCTGGCGGCCGTGCGGGCCGGCCACAGCCCTCATTCCTCCGCTGCTGGGTACCGCTTTGTTGCTAGCTGGTGACATCACCCGAGAGCCCACCCCCTGCCTCTTATCCGTCTCTCCGTCTCGCTCATTTATTCACAGGCAGCGCTGGCAGGATCAGGGGCTGCGTGAGAGCCGGAGCTGGCGGCAGCAGCAGCATGCGTGCGGCGTCTGAGGCTCAGGGCGCGAGAACCACGTAAGGTGCCCGCCGGAGCCTCCCCCTTCACCTGCCTCTGCTTCCTTCAGCACAAACTTCACGGCTCCCTCACGCACGGTCCGGGCTTCTCCGGCGAGGCTTGGCAGCGACAGCCGCATGCATGACACTCCGAAAAGGAGAGAAAATGACCATAAGTATCCAGGAGCACATGGCTATTGACGTCTGCCCCGGCCCCATCAAACCCATCAAGCAGATCTCCGACTACTTCCCCCGTTTCCCACGCGGGCTCCCCGCTGGTGTTGGCCGCAGCAGCACCCTGCGCTCCGCTGTCAGCCAGCCCTCTGTCAGCCCCGCCGAGGCGCCCCGCGAAGAGGATGAGGACGTGGACCAGCTTTTCGGGGCATATGGCACAACACCCACGGAGCAGCCAGCCAAGTGCCAGGCACCCGAGGAGGTGGTGGACCCCGAGGGCTACGAGTCCGATGACTGCAGTGAGTTTCTAAGTTTCCATAGGAGTTTGCTGGGTGCTGAGGGGAAGGGTGGGTCTTAGGGACTGGTCCCCCATGTTACTGCCTGAGCCTTGCACCCTGCCCGGCTGCTGGCCACACTGTCTGTCCCTGGGATTACATTGCAGCAGTGACAAGCTCTGCTCTAGCCAGGGAGGCTGTCACCGCGCTGCTTCGGTGCTGCCCTGGGTGGAGGGAGGCCCTGGGAGTGTCCCTGCTGCAGCTAGGCTGGCCGCTGAACCCAAACTAGGGAAGTCTCCCAAGAGCCACCAGTTGCTGTGCTTTGCTCTTGTGGTTGAAACCTCATCCCTCCTCAGCTGCTTGCCTCCAAAGGCTGCCAGCTGGGTTCAAACCCTTTGGTTAATCTGTCTCGGTGGTGCAGCCTGCTCTAGCCACGCTGCTGATTAGCTGGTGATACACTCCAGCATCACCCGGCTCCAGATCGGAGAGATTCATTGGGAATGATATCTGCCTGGGAAATCTCTGTCCTCTCCCTCAGTAAACTCCGGTGTGCCATTCCTCACCTTCCAGCTGCAGATAGAGCCCTCCGTGAGGTTGGGGGGGGGGGGGGCTTTTGAACAGAAGGCTTTGCTTCTGGTAGATGCAGGTGTTTGCAGTGAGGTTTAACCCCTTCCCACCCAAAACATCCTTCCCACCCAGCTTGCTGGAGCTTGCAGGCTGCAAAGCAGCTGTGTCAGACTCGGCCAGCCACGGTGATTTGGGATAGCATTGCTTTCCTTGAGGTGGGTTAAAACTCAAGGTCTCCATTCAGCCCAGCCTTTAGGGGCCAGATCCTGCGAGGGACTGAGCATGAAGTTTGAAGCTGTGGGATGCTGAGGAAGGGAGTCAGTGCTGCTGAACAGTGCTGCATGCTCTTCCTGGGGGAAGGGGAGGCTGAGCTCCCACAACGCTGAGCTGTTTACAGCCCAACGCCGGGCTTTTCCTATGCAAAATGTCACAGCCCTGCCCCGGCATCACTCCCTCTCTGCCGGGCTGGCCTGGGCTGCTGCCATCTATGCCAGATCCTGGAGTGTGAGAGGGCTCCCCAAGAGCTGTGCTTACTGCAGGGTGGCACAGCCACCCCTGTGCTCCTCTCTGCCCGCTCACCACCAGCTCTGGCAGAGGCTGGGGCTCTGGGTACAAGTCAGACCAATGCTCCCTCTCTCCCCGTCCCAGGGTCATGCTCTCTATGCAGAAGCTGAGAACCGCTGTGCTCCCAGGGAGAACATCTCTGCTAAGCCACGTTTGTCCCAGCCAGGCAGTTAACAGTGACTTTAACCGGATTTGGGTTATTTTCTGCTCTCATCATTAGATCGTCTTTGCTCACCCCAGCAATGGAAATGAGAGCAACTGGGCTTCTTGAGCAGGGGTGTGTGTGGGAGCTGAAGCACTTGGGGCCATGGGGTGCAGCGCTTTCACTGAGCACTTGTATGGAAATTGCCCAGGGCACTGCATTCTGGATTTAGCCCTGGCAGCGCTGCTGGAAGCAGCTTGACTCAGTGCTGGGGCCGGCAGGTGTTTGTCTCGCCCCAGCTGCTATTAGGAAGAGTGTTTCTTACGGCGTAACAGGTGTCAGGCAAACTGTTTTGCCAGATGTGGCGGGTGAAAGCACACCAGTGCCAGAGCGGGGAGGTGGGACTGCTGGTGTCACAGCTCTGGGGACAGCATGGGATGGCCTCAGCTGCTCTCAGGGCACTGGCTGGCATAAACGGGCAGGATGAGACTGTCACTCCTCCATGTTCAGTGGCCAAGTGGCAAAGCCAGGCGAGGGCTCGCTGGCCCCATTTTCCAGGCAAGGAGCTGGGAGGGGATTTGAGTGGCTTGGCTTGAGCCATCCGCTACGCTATGGAGTGGCTTTTAGCTCCCCCACATCCCGTGGTGGGTGATTCAGGGCTGCTGTATTAGTCACCTGCACTAAACTCCCCCTGGGGAACCTGTCTCTGCCTGTACAGCAGACAGGTTGGGATTTAGGTTGTGACAGTTCCCTCAGGTGACACACAGGGATGGTGATGTTGGAGCCTGGGTGCAGCACCCACAAGTCAAGGTCTTGCTGGGCAAGGTCTCATCTTACCTCATTCCCCAGAGATGCTCCCAGCACAGCCTCACAGAGGTGCAGGGAGAGGGATTTTCCTGTGTCAGGATCCATTGGGAGGAGTAGAGGATGGCTCCTTCCCGTTTGTGCCACCTGCCTGTAGGTTTCTCTCCTCCAACACCATTGTGATGGTGCTGGCTGACTGGGAGGGAGGACAAGAGCTGCCCCTGCCTGGAGAAATGCAGCATTTGCCTGGGTTTCCCCTATGCTCATTCCAGTTTGATGTTTCTGGGTTTCCAGCAGCACCAGCCTGATGGGTGATGGGACTGTGTTGCTCAGTCACTGCATTGGGCAGGAGCTGGATGGCAGCTGCTAGCCTCTTTGCCTGATCCCCTGCCTCCCTGGAAGGGCTGCAGGGAGCTGTGCAGGTCATTTAGGCACCATTCACTGGGACACATTTGCAGAGGCTCAGGTTGATGGCTCTGAGACATACGGGGCTGAGGCCAGTGTTTCAGGGCACCACAATTGCAGCCCTGTGGAGCCAGGGAGCTCAGCACTCAGGGGAGCTGTAGAAGTGCCAAGGAAAACAAGCGTGGTCCCGGTGGGGCAGCCATAACCAGCCTGTTGAATGCAGCGAGTGGCAGGGAGCAGGCAGGGCCAGGGAGCTAACAGAGCAGATAATGAGCAGAGATGTTGGGGCTGGCTCTGGGAGCACTGGGAATTGCGTGGAGCCAGCCCTTCCCGTCAGACCTGCCAGCAGCGCTGCTGTGAGGATTTGCAGGGTCATGGCTGGCACGCTTTGCCATCCCAAGTCTCTTGGAAGAAGAACTCATCACTGCTCTATGCCTTCTCTATCCTCTGTCTGCAGGGATGCTCCAGGACTGGAGCCCAAGCTGTACAGAGCAGGTCTCTTCCCGCAGCAGGTTTGTCCCTAATGAAACTGCTGAGGAGGTGGAAGAAGTCAGGAGAGGTGGGGAAACGTGTGGTGCAAACCCTGCAGAAGGGTGGTTGTGTGCTGTTGGACCAGTGCTAGCATCTGCTGTGAGCGGAGGACCCACAGGGATTTGGGGCTGGGAAGGAAGGGGATTCGCTCCTCCTATCTTGGGACACTCGGCTGTCACCTCATCTCTGGTTCCCCTGGCTGGTGCCTGCTGACAGCAGCAGTGCTGTGTCCCCTGGGGTCCGCAGCCGCCAGGGATGCTTCCCACCCAGCCAGGCGGCATGCTGCCGGGGGAACTTGGTTCGCAAGGAAAATAAGCAAACGCCAGCTAGGTGGCAATGTGCCACCTGCGAGGAGCTGGGTCTTGCTTCCCATCTCCCCTGATTCCAATCAAATCCCTGCCCTTCCAGTGCCTGTGCTTTCCCCTCCACAGCACCAAGGTGAATTTGTACCTGATGGATTTTTAAGGGTCTCAGAAACCTCTGCAAGCAGCACAGAGGTAGAAACGTGGACACTGAGGGAGCACTGCTGCGGCTTCTCTTTGCCCGAGGACAGCATTGGAGGCAGCTCCCACCCTTCTCTAATGTGCAGGCAAGTTTCTAACCCTTGAAGAAACGCTTCATTTCCCTTAGCTGCTGTTTGGCTTTGGAGCAAGGCCGTGGACAGTGCTGGGCAATTTCCTTCCTCCTCTGTGTATGTTTGGCTCTGGTTTTTCAGATGGGAAGGCAGCCTGAGAGCAAGGGGATGCAGCGGGAGCTGGTGGTTATGGAAGAGTTACTCCATACTGTTCCTGCCAGTGCTCCGAGGCTATTCATATGTGTACAAACCCAGCCAGTTCTATAGCATGTCCAGCTTTATTCATGGGAGGAGCAGGCTTGTGATTTCCTGAGCTGCAGCAGCATAAAAACAACTTCACACTACAGCTGAGAGGCCTGTCCTGGTGCACGGCTGCTCGTGACGCCTGCTGCAAGCAACGACACAGAAGTTATTTAGGAAGACTCTCATTCTGAGCAAAGAAGATAATTAGGCAGGCAAAGCTGTCATGCAGATATTAATTACTGGCTGTTTAAAGACGTAAAGAAGAATGAAAGTCTTAAGGGGTGCAGGGTTTGCAAGTCACCTGGCAATGCTTTTGGTCAGACAGGAGGAGGCAAGAAGAGATGACGAGGGGAAATGTGCATTGAAATGATGAGGATATTTACTTCTGAAGCACAGCTCTTTAGCATATGCTGCCACTGCTATTTATAACCTTTGAATCGTCTTTTCAATCCAGATAAGGCCAAAAGAAGTATTTTTTTTTTACACAGGAAACAAAACAAACCACTGCTGATTTCGGCAGAGCCTGGAGCATGGGTTTGCCAACCCTATCACAACCCGAGCTGCTGACGCCAAAGAAATGTGTGTAGGTACTGGGCAGTGTCAGACCTGGGCTCAGTCAGACCTGAGAGTGAAGGGTATCAGGGAGCTTGTAGCCCTTCCAAGGGTGACACAGGGTGTTAATTAACCAGGGTGGCTTTGGATTAGCTCCTGTCTGGTTTCCAGGAGGATACCTCGGTATCAGGAAGGTGCTGGCATTTGGTGAGGTCTCACCTTTTCCTGCTGGCTGCCCCATCAGCAGTCTAGGTGAAGGTTGCACATTGGGTGCTCTTGGTCCTCCAGAGATCCTTCAGCCCCTGGAGATGCTCATTCCCAGGGGGTGTCCATGGACTGAGACACCCTAAAGTGCTAGAGATAAATGTAGGGCACCCAGCAAGACCAGCACATGAGGATGGGCAGGGTCTGTCTGGGCATCCCTTCTCCAGCAGAGATGAGGGAGCATATGGGCTGTGGCCTCCAGCGTCTCTGTTAATGAAGGAGCCATGCAGCTGCTGGTTAATGAGGGGTCTCCCTTCTCCCTGGCTTCCTCCCTCCCCAGCAGCCTGCCCAGCCCTTCCCCTTCTCCTGGTCCCAGTGTCCAGGAGGGAAGCTTTCTGTCCCAGGGTGACTCTGCCACCCTCATTCCTTCACTGACACCCCTTGCTCCAATGTGCTTGAGCCCGGGGGGTTCCCAGATCTTTTATCTTTGTATTTAACACTGAAGGCAATTTTGGGGGGTTGTTAATTGCAATGTTGTCTTTCATTAAAGGAAGAGAGAGGGAGAAATTTGAAGGCCATCTCTAAATTGAAATTGCCGAAAGTCTAATTGCTGCTGACATCAGGGACCATTTAGTGCTGTAAAACATAATTACGTCTCTGAACTGTTCTGAACAGATAAGTGTTCCTCTGAACACTCCTCCTGGAGAAAACAGAAGAGCTGATGAGCATCCATCAACCAGCATCACAAAGAAGCAGCTCCATGCTCTGGAGCTTGCCAGGGGCTGGCGCTGTGTCTCCAAAATGAGGCAATATTAATTGCCATAGATTTTAAATGAAAAACCCACGATGAGGCAGGGAGCAGTTGCAAGAAAGAAAAGTTGTGTTTGTTCCTCACTCCTGGTCCTGTTGAATTCAACCACATCTGTGGAACTCTGGAGGAAGGAGGGATTCCTGCCTGTGTGCTGGATCTGGTCCCTGTGTTGGCCCAGAGAATTGGTCCTCGAGCTGCCCCATGTGTGCCACTGGACCTGGTTGAGGCACTGATGCACATCCAGGGAAGCAGGAGTACACACAGCTGCCTGCCAGAGTGATCTTCTGTAGCCCTGCTTGGAAATGGCAAGAAATAATTTCTGTTCTTCCTGAGGAGTCATTTACCAACGTTTTACATGGGGCTGTAAGTGCACAGAATTACTTGCTGCCTTTCAGGACCTTTAAAATTATCTCCATTGCAGAGGAAAATTAAAGCAATGGAAGAATAGGGACCTATCTTTTATAGTGCATTAAAAAATACCCAGTCTGAAGGTTACTGAACCTGTGCTTTCTGTAAGGAAGAGCTAATCCAGACAATCCCCAGCAGTCTTTTTACTCCTCCACTCTGATCTCCCTGGCACAAAATCCATGAGCAGGTTATCTTGGGAGCAGCAACGCTGATAAGCAAGAGGACTTAAGGCCCTTGGACTTCCTTTTAATTAGTTCTATAGTGATTTTTTTTTTTCTGTGCAAACCTCAATTTCTTCTAGTGTAGAGCCTTGCTGGGCTTTCTAATGGCAGTAGTGCTGTGAAAGCTTCCTTGACTTTGGAAGGTAAGGAGCCCATTTACTTCCTTCCTCTGTGGGCTTTGCTGAAACTTGTGGGTCTGTTCTGCATGCATCGATGCCTCTTTTACATCTTGGCCATTTCTTGGGCTGAGAAACTCTTCTCCTTGGGGTGTCCCTGGTCACCAAGGGGTAGATCTGCTGCACTGTGCAGCCCAGGCAAGTGTACGTAGCCCGAAAGACAGGGGCTGGATAAGGAAGCAGAGAAGAGATACCGTGGTACTTTGCCTTTCATCCCTCAGGTAGAAATAGAAGCTACTTCAGCCTCGCCGTCTCCCTGGGCCCTGATGGGAAATGTCAGCAATAGACAACTTCTGCCGACTCCACCACCACGGGCGCAGCGGAGCTGTGCTGGGATGCAGTGATGCCCGGGGGCTCCAGGCGCTCGCTGTATCCTGTGGCTAAGCCCGGAGATGCATCTCTCCATTATGCTGCCGTCTGATAATTTTGTGGCCCACTGAATTAATCAGAATGCCAAAGGTCAGGGGGAGAAGGGGCTGTATTCCTGTGCAAGTCAGATTTATTTTCCTTTTTAGAATGTGTGTTAAATGCCAGATCCTGGCCGGCACCTTCCCATCAATCTCTCCCAATTCATGAAGAAGAAAGAAGGTCAGAACCTGCTAATGAGTTCAGCTCTTCTAATGGTTATTTTATCATTGGAGCAGAATAATTGTAATAATAATGATACATCCTGCCTGCTGTCTGGAGAGCGTAAAGCTGCCTTTGTAATGCCTGATAAAAACATTTATTTATACTTTTTTATTTGCAGCCTGTGTGATTAGAGGGCAGTGTTCAGAGTCGAGTTAAATATGTCTAGTAACAGTGCTTGGAGTCTAATTGCTGCCCTTTGCTTTTTTAGGCACTTACTCCCTTAATTAAAACCACAATCAAGATGCATCTCAGCTGTGAGGATGGGTGGGAAGGGGAAATCAATCAAAGAAGGGTGATTCAGCCACTTTGCAGAGGGCTTTGCTTGTGGCCAGCTTCGGTCCCAGTCCTGGTGTCTGGAGACAGCAGGTCTGCAGGAGGAGTGAGGGTCGTGAGACCCATGCTGGTGTTTGGTGTTGGCTTGCCCGGCCACTCACTTGGTGTGTTCCCTGCTCTGGGAGCACAGGGCTGGCTGTGGTCCCGTTAGGGGTTCACACAGAGCTGCTGTGGGATGCAGGGCTCCCACCCCTGGATTCAGCTGGAGTTAGCCTGATCCCTTTTGTCATCTCCATACGGCTGCACTTTAAACAATTAGCACAACATGTGCTGCTGATGTTTTAACATCCCTCTGCCGAAGGCAGATCCTTCCTTGGGAATCAAGACTCACTGTCAATGAAAAAATACCCCTGTATAGAGGAAAACCCTTCCAGGGCTAGAAGAGAGCTGGGAACAGAATACAGCAGGGCTGGGGAAAGGCATTCACCCCTGTCCATGCCCTCCCATCTGCTGGCAGCTCTGGGGTGAAAGGGAACTGCTCAAGGTTTGCTCATGGACCTCCGGTGCTGGGCAGCAGGACCTGAGTTCCCATTTACAAAACACATTGCTGTGCTTTTAGGTGATGCCTGTCTTGCTGGCACAGGGCTCCCTGCTGCCCTCACCCTGGGCAAAAGTTGTGGCACTGAGGGGACAGGAGGCTTTGTCATTATTTCCTGGCTGAAGGCTGTTTTCACTCCAAGCTTTTAATTTGTTTTATAAATTGCCCAATCCAGCAGGATAAGCCACGGGCCTCCTTCTGTGATAAAAATAAAATAACAGCTTGAACTTGGGAGGGCCAAGCGGTGGAGCGGGCAGGAAGCGGCTGATTAAAGGGCAGGTGGAAATGATGAGGCTCTGAAATCGGAGGCTTCATTTTCCGCTCTCCAGTGAAAACACAGACTAGTGGAGTTTTGCTGACTTGCTTGTCACCCGTGTGCTGTGCAGCTTCCCACTACACCCACCCCACCACAGTGGGCTGTGCCAGCCCCCCCCAGGTTGGTGCTGTGATGCTGCTGTATGTGGCTGTGAGCTCCCCGTCGCCAGGCAGAGGCATCTAGCCACCAGCACACTGGGCACTGATGTGCTCTTTCTTCCTCCCTGCATGATGCAGAGCAACTTTGGACATTTGGAAATGCCCAATCGGCCAAAACCAGAGGTGATGCACAAGGTGTTGCCTCATCCCATATCACTTCATCTTCCCTGAGCCCCATCAGGTAAACCCCACTGATTTATAACTTACCTAAACCAGTAGCTAATGTGCCATGAAATTAGTCCAGGACAAGGGGGGGTACATTATTCTGGCTCTGAAATAGCTCTGAATATTTGCTTTGCTTTGAAGGCAAGATGTTTGCTCCAGAGCAATGATTTTTATTTGCTAGCAGGCAAACCTGTAGCTTGCTTGGGTTTGGGCCGGAAGATCACTGTGAAATTGCAGCAGGAAGGTTTCAGTCCCCTGAATACCTGCCACCTCCCAGGGTGCCTGGTTGCAGAGACTATTGACACTTATTATTTCGTGCCATAAAGTTTGTCAAATTTGCCTCCCAGGCAGCAAACCCTGCTTTGATATTAAACAAAATTGTTCTGGTTTTTGTTTTGGATTCTTTCCCCCCTGCTCTGAACCTGTGTGCTGCACGAAGGTGCAGTTTCCTTGGAAACAGTGGTGGGATGCTGCATGGCGGCAGGGCAGCACTCCAGCAGACCCCTTTTGGAAAGGTGGGCATGGAAAAGTGTGGGTTGTCAGGTCTTGAACTGCTGTGGAAGTTCAAGGCTGGTGGCAGGTGAAGCTGTGTTGGGAGATGCCGCTCCTTGTCTGGGCTTTGGTGTGCAAATCAGGTGCAGAAGCCATGGAGAAGGTTAAATCCTGGTTTTGGAAAACATCTTTTTAAGACTTTTCCTCCGCTCTGGATTAGCGTGACTTGCTCAGATCATCCAAAGGGAAAGACCTTCTCAAATCAAATACACTTCTGCTGCTGAAGCTCTTCTGGTTTGTTCTGATCTCCTGGCCCTTCCCTGTGGTCCCGTCCCAGGAGCTGCCCCATCACTGCTATTCCAGGGTTGCATGTGCCATAAGGGAGTGCTGCTCTGATTAAAAGCTGCAGGTGTTTTTTATTTTAACCATAAAAGTATTTTCATTCTCACTGGGTTTAATTTACAGATTGCAGCCAAATTGGAGCTGGGAAGGGATCCCATTGGTGGCTCATTTGCTTGAAGGTCCCAGTATACAAATATGCATTCTGGAATGCCCGCAGTGCTGGAGGGGGTAGATGTGCTGACAGTGGGTCTGTGCCTGGATCCTCCCAGACAAAACCCTTCAGTTCCTGGGGGATGGAAGCTGCTGGCTGCAGTGGGCCTGCTGATAGATGGGGGTGACCTGTGTGAAAGCCCATGGAGGCAAAGCCTCTGCACTGACTACAGTGCTGGGGTAAGCTGGAGTCATTCATCCCTCTTTCTACTCTCCAGGGCTGTACCAGCCCCACCAACCTCCCAGCATGAAGCCATGTTTCATAACAGGCTTACAGGAGGATGTTTTATGTTTTATAATGTCTGCAGCCATTTCTCTAGCGTCTTTGTCCATTCCTTTTGTGCTTAGAGGGAGAAAAGCCAGTGTTTGCTGGGCTGCAGGTTAATAACATCTTTTATCCTTTGCAGCCACTCTGGGGACGCTGGATTTCAGCTTGCTCTATGATCAGGAAAACAACGCTCTCCACTGCACGATCAATAAAGCCAAGGTATGTCTTAGCACTGGGTGCGTGAACAGCAAGGACTAAGTATGCCCAGAGCTGGCCACCTTTGTGCTCTGTTATGAGGCCACCAGGGACTGTTGATGTCCCCCACTACAACTTTCCCTTTGCCAACTTCATTTTCATCCTGACTCCCAGTGCTTCTGCCTTCTCCTTCCCCTCCATCCCTGCTTTCCAGAGTGTTTCCAGCAGGATGGAGACGGCTGCTCATCCCCGTGGTGAGATGGTTGCAGCTATTGATGCTTTTAGAAAAGCACCCAACCCGATGTTGTTATTTACTTGACGCTGTGACCGGCTGTCAGTTTATAAATGGCTCTTTTAAATGCTGCTAATCATTGCCACAAAGTGCTCTGCCTCAGTTCCTTTGCTGTCTGTGTGATTGAGGCAATTAGGGTTTCTTTTGCACATTTTGAAGCAGAAATAGATAACTGAGGTCCCTTTGGTCCCATGAAAGGTGCTTCTGGGTGCTGCTTGGTTCCTCGTTGCTTCTCCATGCAGGATGACCAGAGCAGCAAGGGCTCCAGGTCAACATGGCTGGACCCCAAAAGATGGGTTGGTGGAAGAAGACCCAAGTCCCTGTACATCTTGGGATAGGGTAGGGGGTTTTTGCAGAAGACAGAAGAAACTGCAGGGTATCAGGCTGTAAGCTGAGCCCCTGGAGGTTGAGACTATGTTGTTTGCCTTCATAGGATGCTCCTCTCCCTTCCAGCTGCAACTGGCTTATTTGCAGCCCTCACACCAGAGCCCACTGTGCTGAGCGCTAAGCTGGATGCTGAGGATGCACATTCCTGCCCCATGGTTCTTCCCATCTGGAATAAGACCTCAAGCACAAAAGCTTGGCTTTGGGGATGAGGTTGGAGGCATCTACCCAGGCAGGCCTGGAGCTGCTCCGGGCTGGGGGGTAAGCACAGCACCCACAGCTCCCTGTGCAGGGCAGAGGCAGTTTTGCTTCCTCCCCTGCCTGTCGCTTATGAATCCACCGGCAGCCGCTGGGTACGGCTTCCCTTGGCGCACTCAGGAGCAGTGCCAAGGAGGAGATTTCTAATTGGGTTTGCAGTGGGTGGAAGATGGAGAGGAAGGAGACCTGCGAGCGGCAAGTGATAGATCTAACATCAGCGAGAGCAAAGGCAGGGCTGGCGGAACAGAATAGCAATTGCTGTCCCCATCCCATGGGGCTGGGAGCACCACATGGCACCGGCATCACCCCTACTCATAGGGTGGGCAGACCCCCCCCCCCCCCCCGCTGCCCTGACATTCAAGCGTTCGAGTCCTGTTCATTTCCATTCTGCTCTCATTCTCCCATTTTTCTCTTTTATTTACATTGCCATCTGCTCGCTCTCATTTCATCTCTCGCCTGGGGAAAGCTGCCAAAACTTGACTACAGAAAGGTAAGGGCCAGGACCCTGGCTGCCATCGGTGTAGCTGTTAGAAGTAGTGGTGTAGAGAAGGTGATGTGGTGACCAGGGACGCCAGGGGCCATGTGCACAAGCCGCAGCACAGTGCCGGGATGTGCAATGCCCTCGGACCTGGGCTGAGGCTGGTCTGGCTGGGGTTTTGTGTGCATGTCTCAGGCCCTCAGGATGTGTCCCAACTTCAGCAGCTCCTGAAGCTTCAGTCACTGCTAGCAGCCATTAAAACCTGGACTCCTTCAGCCATGAGAGAAATGTTTTTCTTTCTCCCTTTGATAACCCCCCCAAGACAACCCTTTTCCTCCCTTTAGATCATTTTACTTCTATTTTTTTGCACCTCCAGCACTCTATATATGTTGATGCCCCTCCTGAGTCCTGTTATCAGCTCCTGAGGAGTGGGAAGGGGTTAGCAGGCTCTTGGAGACACCATTGGCAGGTTAAATCTAATCTGTTGTGCTCCACCACCAGTTCTCTGCTCTGCAGCCGTCAGCTGCTGTAGTGTATTGTGCAGGAGGTCGGGATGGCCACTCAGCTTGACCAGGGTTTTGCCCTGGTGCCCAATGCTTGGGGACATCTGAGCTATTTCTTGTTCCCAGACCCCCACGTTTGGATGGAACTGGAATAGGGAACAAAAGGAGGTTTGCTTCACTGCAGGAAGTATGGGTGTGGAAGCTGGCAGCCTTGGGGCTATCCCAGGCTGTGTGATTACACCAGGATTAAGGTGCTTGGTGCCTCAGTTTCCCTAATAGCACAGAGAGGTGCCCAGCCATCAAGCACTTTGAACTTCCAATCTGGAAGGTGATTTTGGAAAGCAGTGCTGGGCACCTCTGCAGGCTCTAGCCTGGAAAGTGAGGATCTTGTTTCCTCCTGGAGATGAATGGATTGAGTGCGGGATTGCAAGGCGAGTTCTGCCTCTGCAGGATGAGGAATGCTCAAACAGCATCCATCTCCAGCCTTAACCTCTTGGGAAGTCCTTCGCTTTGGCATTGCCTTTAGCAGGTACAATCGAGGTATGGTCTCAGCAGGTGGGGCAGATGCTGCACCTCTCCCTGTGCTGCCTGCAATGGCACCAAGTTGTTACTCTGCCGCAATGGTGTGATCTCTAGGCCACTGCAGCAGCATCAGGGCTCGCTGGTGATGCGCTGTGGGAACAAAGCAGATGCTGTCTTGGGTTACCACAGCACTGGAGAGGTAAAGACCAAGAACCCCCGTCACTTCCCAGGCTGGAGCAGGGCTGTGGTGCTGTTCCCAACGTTCCTGCTGCCTCTCCCTGGTCAGCAGAAAGCTCAGGACCCGTGCAGGCAGGAGCAGGCAGGCTGCCAACAGCCACCTTGCACTAATGTCTTTGGGTCTTGGCAGCAGCCCTGCCTGTACCCTGCCTTTCACGCTTCAGGCACGGCTGAATTAAGGCACGTTGCAGCTCAGCTCAGATCGATGGGAGAATAAATCAGGGCAGTGTGGGAGCCTGTTTGTGGCTGCGGGAGCAACCGTGTGGCAGGCTGGCAGGAGGGCTCTCCCCTTGCTGCCGTGCAGGAGCACCCTGTGCTCTGTTGATCCGTACTGTCATATGTGGGAGCTGCAATGGGCATCACCCCCTCCTGTAAAATCTGATAGAAAATGACACCATTAACTTATCACTGCCCTGGCTTTGATGAGGGGCTCATTTTCTGCTGAGCTTTGCAAAGCCTAACATGTTGCATGGAGGGAGATAATAACCTGCTATAGTGAGGATCTACAGAGGTCTGTGGCAGTGCAGCCACTGTGGGGCTGTGCTATCCTGTAGCTCTGTTTGTCTCCGGCTTTTGGGAGCAGGATGCCCTGGGCGAGTCTCAGGTGTCTGTGCAGGCAGCTCCCTGGCCCCAGGCAGGCCATGCAGGGCAGATGCTGCCCCTGTGAACATGTACCTGGGCTGCTGTCCCTGCACTGCTGGCTGCAGCTGCAGCTAGAAAACACCCGGGAGTTTCCATCCTGCCGAGCATTTGGATGCTCGTCTCTTCCAACTGAAACCGAGTGCTGGAGGTTTGCACTTACGGATTTACTCATAAATATTTATCACTCCAGGGAAATTCCCATCTCAAAGCTGTGTGCTTCCTCTGGGCTGTCAGGGTGGAAGCGGAGACTTTGCCCCATTTCAGAGCAGGATGTCTTGGCCTGGGAAGAGGTATCCTGGCTGGTTTTTGGGTGGCAGGGAGCCTGCTCACCCTGCAGGCAGCTCATCATGGGGTGAATGATGGAACGAATCTGTCTCCTGTGATATCTGTATGCCTCTAGCATGGTGTTAATCGGCAGCCCGATTAGCCTGACTTGTAATTAAATCCTATTGATTAGCTAAATGTCACTGGCACGGAGAGCAGCTGGCAGCAGCTGGGATGCAGCAGGGCTCTTGGTCTCCATAGGTTTGCAGCAGGGGTTTTGAGATTGGGTAGAGGAAGGGGTAAAAATGAAACTTGGTCTGAGCTCCATCACCTGTGCCATGGTGCAAAGCACCATAAATTGGTTGTGGCAGGAAGACTGGTTGGAGCTGGGGCTGCACTGGCTGAAGCCAATGGGAGATTCTACCTCATGTATGAGCTCTTTGGTCCTCCTCTGCCTCTTGGAGCAGCTTTGGGCTGGAGAGTGCTCCGTGCAGGGGAAGCAATGGTGCTGGTCCATCTGTGGGTGCCTGGGAGAGGTGAGCTCCCACAGAAGCAGCTTTGTGGGGCAGAGCCTTTGGGGCTGCTCTCATGTTAAATTCAGCTCTCTGCCAAACTCATATCGAGTGACACAGGAGGGAGGTAGATGTGACATTAAGATGCATTTGCCGGGCTCCTGTCACTCCATCTTCCATAGCGCATTGTCCTGGGTTCAGCAGTAGCAGTCATGTTTTTCCTTTGTGGTAGCTGGTGCAGTGCTGTGTTTTGACTTTCAGCCTGGGAACAGTGTTGGTGAAGCCGATGTTCTCGGTTGTTGCTAAGTGATGTTTACCCTGACCAAGGACTCTGTGAGGCTCATGCTCTGCCAGGGAGGAGGGGAAGCTGTGAGGAAGCAGAGACGGGGCGCCTGACCCGGGCTAGCCGGGGAGGTATTCCATACCACAGCACGTCATGCCCAGGGTGGGAGGTAACTGGGAGTTACCCGGAAGGACAGGGGCTTCCGGGTGGGACTCGTTTTCTTGGCTGGTGGTATCGTATTCTCTTCCCTTGTTATTTTCCCTTATCATTGTGGTAGTTGATAGTAGCGGTGGTGATTTGTGTTGTACATTGGTTGCTGGACTGTTCTTGTCTCAACCCGTAGGAGTTGCACTCTTTCGATCCTCCTCCCCGTTCCTCCGGGAGCGGGGAAGGGGAGAGCCCCGGTGGGGGGGGGGGGGGACGGCCCTCAATTGTTGTCAGCTCGGCACCACTCACTGGGAGTGAGTGAACAAGTTCCCTGACTGGGTTTAAACCACGACACGCATCTATTAAAAAACTCCTTTAATAGCCTCCTCAGAAGGTAATTTAATTGAACTGAATTGATGGGTGAAGTACAGAACTGCCTGTCCTTCTCCATCCATTTTTATTGGAATTTTCTTGCTTGCTTCTGTTTCACTTATGGCACAGCATCAGGCAGGAGGGGCACCTCAGGCTGGGGAGAGCCCTTGCCTAGCCAGAGAGATCCCCTCTGGAGCCTGGGGACCAGTGTCTACCTATGGATCTGCAGCAGACGCCACCACCTTCCTCCCATCCTCCATATCTGCTGCCTTCCTCTTCTGCTTGGCCAGGGACATCACCTGAGAGGCACTGTAATTAAAGCAGAGCCTTTTAGCCTCCATTCGCTACTGATATTTTTATCCTTTTGGCTCTGCTTTAGAAGCAAAATCCTCTTTGCTGGGCAGCACCATTTGGTCTCCCTTGCTCCAGGGCAGTGTGCTTGTCTGAAGCAGAGCCCTCACCAAGGTCAGGAGCAGCTCAGACCCTCAGCTGTGTTGTGCAAATCAGGGAGGGGTGGAATGGGGCATCCTGAGGGGCTGCCTTGGTGTCCTGGGTTAAGTGGGGTGTTTTATCTCACACATGTGAAGTATGGAAGTGATTTCTCCAACATTTCCCTCTTTAATTTGCCTAAAGCCAGGCCTTGATGATTACAATTTCATTGCACGCAGCTTTTCCACCAGCAGCCCATACAAATGCTTTCCTGCCAGGTGGATTCCTGGCAGCTGCACACACTCATTAATCCCATGCACTGAATACTCTGCTCATCACACCAAGTGTGTGACGAGTCTTTAGCATCACCCAGCCTGGTTTCCATGCCCAGGTTGGAGCTGGGGTTGGATGGGTGTCTCTGCAGAGAAACACTCCTCTGATCCAGGCAGAAGATTGCCTTCAGACAGCCTAGCTATAACTCCTACAAGGATCCTGTAGCCAAGATGGAAATAATCCAAGGACTTTCATGATGTAGCCATTATCATTTACACTTAAAACTGGTAAAAATTAGGCTCCATTTTTCATGATCCTTTTTCTTCCCTACCCTGTGGAGTTTGTTTCCATGCAGTCTGTGCAGTTACGGCTTTGGGCTGGGTTTCTGCATCACTCTTGGATAGTTTTCAGCCTGCTTGTTGTTTAGAAGGGGAGCAGGTTTGTCTGCTCCCTCTGCCTGAAGCAGGATCAACTCCAGAGCATCGCTGTGACAAGCATGATCCACATTATCCTTTAAAAGCTATAACGGTCTTGCCGAAAATGCATCAGGGATGGTCAGAGTGAGTGTTTCCTTGTGTTTGTGCTCCAGTACTCCCAGATTTTCCTGCCAATGCCATGGCAGTCGACTGGCGACAACCTCCCACTGGCCCGAAAGCTGTTCTTCCTTCAGCTGTGCCTTAATAAGGAAGAGTAGGTAGGTGCTATCACACCCTCTGGGAGCGCTTAGAAGTAACACCACAACAGCAGAGGTGTGTGTTTGCTCAGAAGCAATTATTAAATGACAAAAGCCTGTAATTTTGAACCTTGAGAATCACTGCGCTGATTTACTTAACCCCCAAATTAATTGTGATCAGGATGTCAGAGTCAGCTGCTGGAAGAGAGGAGCGCTGCTTTGCGACCAATGCCAAGTGCAGATGAGAAGTCTTCCCACAGCTCGGCACAAACCGCAGACAGCATTGGAATGCTGAGTGTGCTCAGCTTTTGCTGTACAAACCATATTCTCCTCCTTCCCCACTCCTGGGGAAACTCTGCAACTACTCCGTGGATCAACAGCATCCCAGGGGAATGGGCATGAGTAAATGGGGTCAGCCAAGCCACGCTACCTGCCCAGCATCCTAACTCCTGCGTTTTCTGTTTCCTCTCCAGGGCCTGAAGCCGATGGACCATAATGGTTTGGCGGATCCATATGTCAAATTGCACTTGCTCCCCGGAGCCAGTAAGGTGAGATGCCTTTTCACTTCTTCTCTTCCTGGGGCTGCACCTTTCCCTTTGGAGTCAGACCAGGGAGGTTTCCCAGGGAGAAGCTCTTCACTGGCTGACCTCAGTGTCCTGCCCAGCTCTTACTCAGGCAACCAGGAGGGAGCAGCAGCAGGAGGTAAGAACTGGGGCTAAATCCAGCCCTAACTCCTCGCCCTTGGGAGCAGGGGGTGTGAACACTGTGCTCTAGAAGCCTCTGGGAAGCACCAAGTGAAATGATCCAGAGCTATAAACAAACACCTCTTTTCTTCCTCCCCCCCCCCCTTTTCTTTTGCATCTAACCCCCCTCAGATCATAATAAACCAGAGTTTAAATCATAAGGGAAATATTTCCATCTACTTAGGTTCAGCACTTGCTGGAGAGAAGAGTAATTAAAGATATTAATGTATATCGTGAGAGCTTGGTGTAACTGCTGGGATGTTGAATTTAAATGCTAAATGTATGTGTTATGAATATCAATTGCACTCTTATTACACTAAAGGAAAGACCTTTTGGGGGGAGGTATATTTACTTGTTACGGTTCAGTTGAATTAATTCATAATGTTCAGGGCGGTAAGCGGGAGTTTTTAACCACATTTCGAGTTCTGCTGGAAATAGGAGAGCCAGAAGCATTTCTGTCAGCGATATTATCTGTCATTTCCATGTTTTGCAAATGCATTGATTAGCATTTCTGCTGGAGGTGATGGAGATGAGGGAGGCGGGAGGAAAGCTGTGTGCTGAGGGTAGTGAAAGAGCTACAGACTCTACAGGCAGCCGTGGGGATCTCTCCTTGCCCACACATCCCTCTGGCTCCATGATTCCTGTCTCTGCACCTTGTTTCCAAACAGCACTGCCCAAATCTGCTCTGGGAGAGGTGAGCACATCTGGGGTAACTGTGTCCTGGCCTGGATGTTTCTGTACAGTCATTCCAGCAGGAGCAGGGCAGTCTTCAAGTTCATTGAGTGTTTCTGTCCCAGACTGGAGCTCTTGGGCACCTGTTGCAGAGCTGAAACCAGAGATGTGGGAAGCAGGGCTGGATTTGTTCACTTCATGCAGAGGTCTCCAAGTGAGCTGGTTACTGAGTAAATCATTCCAGGTGGGAGAAAAGGGCTATCCCAGAGCTCAGTTGCTTTGATTTAGTTTGCATTCATTGCTCAGAGCAGCATTGGCTGCTGGGTGATACCCAACATGTTTACCCCCTTAGCTAAAGCTGCTTTCCTTCCTGAGCCACAGAGCCCCAGGATCAGGCCCCAGTGGGTCTGAGCAGGCAGTGTGTGCCATCAGGGTGCTTCCTCTGCTGTCCTTGTCACCCCTCAGCAGGCTCTTCTCTCTGATACGTATCTTGCTGCTTGGGCTGGAGCCTGGTGTGGTGGCCACAATATCACTGAGGAAGGAGAAAAAATAGGTATGGGATGAAACCTGGTATGACATAGTGGCTTGTTTGGAGCAATTTTACAAAGCTGGGGAAGTTTTAAGGCAAATGAGGTATTAAATCAATAGCAACAGCAGGTCATAAATGAGAGCACCCGTCTGCAGTCTCCTTTGGTCTGCATCGCTGTGCTGTCACTGCTGGACATGCCTCTGGGCACACAGGGATTGTCTCAGTGAGGCTGATGCCCAGGAGCTTCTCTTTCCATGCTGCAAACAGACTTCTGCCTGAGTGATGTGAAAAGCAATTGGTGTTGCAGGGCTTTAGATGCTGCTGCTAATTGAGTCCCTCCTGCCCCTGTATCCCAGTCGGCTCCTGGAGCATCGTGCCTTGCTCCAGGGGTATCCTCCTCCTAACCTAGTGCTCAGCGTTTCACAGCTCCTCACCCAGCTTCATCAGTGCTGCACAGGGCACAGGTTTCTTTAAAAGACAGAAATGGCTTTGCAGACCTAAATGAAGCACAGCACAAAATACAGAGGTTTTCTCTGTCTCTGAGAGATCAAACCCAGCAGCTGCTTTGCATGGTGAATTTGGGAGTGAGACGCTGTGCTGTGGTCCCTCGATGGCTCCGCAGCACTGGCAGCTCCTCAGCCAGTGGCTGTCTGGTGAATCTGGAAGAGGTTGTGTGTTTGGGGTGCTTTTGGTGGGGAAAGGACATGCTAACAAGGTGACTTGCACAAGCTCTTTTCTTCAGCCCGGGCTTCACATCCCACTCAGATTGACTCAGGGATGGTGACCCAAAGATGGGGAATGTAGCAGCTTTTCACATAGCCACACAAGACAAGTTTGAAGTATTAGTTTCCTGAGAGTTCCTTATGCCCAGCAGTGGCTGAGGCAGGGATTGAACTTTCTGACTTTACATGTAATTAGAAGGAAAACTTCTGCTCTGCCTGTCTGTCCCAGGCTGGGGTGCTGATGGAGAAGCCTCATCTGAAGCCTGCAGCCCTTTGCTTCTGTCCTCAGCAGAAGCAGGTGGCTCAGGGAGTGGGAAGATCAATATCCCCTGACCTGGGGGGTGTGTGTGTGCCAGGATGCCCCATCCATGCCAGGGACACAAGTGGCTGTGACAGCCCCGCTGTCCCTCACCTCTGCAGAGCTGTGGCTCTGGAAAGAGTTGCCAGTGATAAAAAATGTGTATAAAGGAAGTTATTTTGAGGCAGGCAGGAATGAGAGCTGTGCTGGGAGCAGGAATGCAAATAAACAGCCAGAACAGCAAATTGGTATTTTTTAATGAACCTGAAAAGACCTTTTTTTCTCTCTGTTGCTCTCTCCTGCTGCATAAATGAAATCCCCATCCTCTCTCTGCTCTCTGCCAAAGTTCCCATTTTGCTGCCTGTTCCCAGAGTGGGGGATGTGGGGTTGGATTGCTTTGCAAATGAGCACTTTGCCATGTCTCTGGTTATTGCTGTGGGTGGGGTGGATTTGGGCCATCCCATTGAGGACTGACCAGGTTACAGCACTGGGGCAGAAGGGTGATAGTATCAGTTGCCCCTTCATCTCCAAACAGTGCTTTCTTTTCTCCCCCTTCACTGCCCATCAATGCCCAAACGACTGCCTGGGGCTGGGTCCTGCTGACCTCCATCTCCTTTGTTTTCCAGGCGAATAAGCTGAGAACCAAAACGCTGCGGAACACTCTGAACCCCACCTGGAACGAGACGCTCACCTACTACGGCATCACCGACGAGGACATGATCCGCAAGACCCTGCGGTAGGGCCCTGTGGGATGAGCGGGGTGCTGAGCCCAGCACTGGGGGGAACACGTATCCCTTCCCTCAGGGTCACCTCCCTATCCCAGTGACAGTTTCCTGGGGGAGATCTTGGGGACCCGCATTCCCCAGCCCCACAGAATGATCTTGGCAGCTCCTCATAGCAGAGTTATTACTCACCAGAGCCTATAGATGGTGGTCATGCCCTGCACACCCCATCACCACCACGGTGACCAGCATTTGATTTACTGTGAGCCTGGGCTGGAATAGCTAGTGAGGAGCATGGTCCTGCATAACTCACTGGGCTCTGGCCTGTAGAAGTGGTGTTATTTGGATTTAACCTCTTCATACCCAGCTTTTGTGGGCATGTGTTAAGGCTTTGCAGTGATGTCTTGCTGGGAAAATCTCCCCAGGAAAGTTCTGGGCCCTTTGAAGGCTGAGCTTTTTGCAAGAAAGCTGGAGGCATCTGTGAGTTATTGCCAGACTAAAAGAGAAGCGTTTGTATGTATTTATTCCATTCTCTTAGTTTGGATCAGTCTCTGTGCATTGGCATCTCCTGGAAGCATCTCCCAGGGGCTGTGTGAGCTTGGAGGTGCTGCTTTGCAGGGTCAGAGCCCTGTGAATGAAAAGGTTTTCGTGTCTTGCCCACTGTCCCACATGGGTGAGGTCAAGGAATGACCTGGAGCCTGTGAATGGATCCTGCCCAGGGCTGCTCCAGCACTGCTCTGATCTAGGACCATTATGCAGGAGGATTTGCTGTAAGATCTGCTGTTGAACAAAGGAGGATCTTACATCCTGCTCTGCGGACTTGGGGCTTTTGTCAGCTCCATGGCTGGCATCTGACCCTCCTTATCTGCAGGTACGCTGGGAGTTATTTTCCCCAAGACAAGCTTTATAAAAGGTCTTGCTCCGAGGTGAATTTGGGCAGAGCCTACCTGTTGTCTGCAAAGTGCATAGAGATGAGAAATTTAGTGCCGCAGATTATTATTTCACGTGGAAAATATTAGTCATGCTCAAAGTGCTGCAGGCTTCTTGGGCTGGAAAGCCTCTGCTTTAATTTATTATTATTATTGGCTACTTTTTCCCCCATTTTTTCACTCCGGGCTTTGAAGTTTTCAGCCTTTTCAAGCGCGGAAATCAGTTTGTAGAGAGGTGTTTGGCTGAGTTGTTTGCTGAAAGGCACCAGGGAGCAGAAGGATTTGACCCCCACCTATTTGAGGCGCTGGTTGCTACTTCTCCCTGGGGAAGAGCTGCACTCACCTGCTCCGCGGAGGCAGCAGGGAGGTGTGGGATGCTCAGTGGCAGGGGGACATGCAGAAACGTGTGCTGGATTTGCCCTTCTCCCCACAGGCATCCCTCATTAGCGTATCCCTGCTCCTGCTGACAGCCTGGGTGCTGCGGGTGCTTTTTGGGGAGCCAGCTGTGGCCATGGGTTGAATGGAGACAGCGTTTCTGTCCTGGGAGCTCCACGGGGAGCTCAGGAGATTGCTGTCGAGGTCAATTAATGGCTCATTACCCAAAGTGGCTTCAAAGGGCACCTTTCCAGGGAGGCAAGGGAAGCTTGGAGCCTGCCTGCCATGCAGTTGTCCTGTGTGAGTTCCCAGCTGGGCACTCTGCAAGGAGCAAAACTCCCTGTGAAGCCTCATCTGCTCATACAGGGGTAGCCTCCCCATCTGTGAGGAGATTTCTCACAGATCTGTGGTTTGGCATCTCTTTGTGCCATCAGAGCCATCCGTCCATCTCGTGCCTTCACACCCATTGGAGCTGCCTCTTTGCAGGGGGTTCCCAGGCTCTCCAGTGCTCTGCACTTTGCAGCTGAGGTTTCCTTGCCAGCAGCTAACCCCAGTGAATTAGGTGATAATTAAGGATCAAAATACTCTCCATATGGAGAGGAATATCCAAGCAGGATTCTGATTCATTGGCATTTGCAGCTAGTCAGTGGGATTTGCTGAAGCACCTCCCCATGGAGGTGGTGAACCCCATGATGACATGGCCACGGGGACCATGCGGATACCCACCTCACCTCCAAGTGTAGTGCTGGGGTCTGGCACTACATTCAGATGGAGTGGGTTCTGTCCTATGGGATTTAGCACAGCCCAGTCCCTGCCAGAAGTGTGGGAGCCCCAAGCCCCACCACCCCAGCACTAATGAGGCTCAAGACGGGGCTGGAAGAGGCTTAGGGAGGCTCTGCTGTCTCCCTGGGGAGGTTGCGTGAGCAGAGAAGTAGAGAGGTTTGTGAAGTGGAACTTGCCATGGGGCTGGGGCTTCTGGCTTTGGTTTTGCCTGGTAAAGATTCCGGAGAATTAAAGAAGCAAACTTCTGGGTAGAGAAGGTTTCCCAGGCATCACCTCTGCTGCGGGGCTGTCACCTATCCTGTGGGCCATCTCCTCTCCTGCTGTGGGGTGGCCCTGTGTCCTTCCATGAATTTGGTGCTTCTTCCCAGCCTGCCCTTGGGCAATGGGCCTGTGTTCAGCTGCTCTGCCCAGTGGGTTTGGCAGAATTTCAGGTGGGATTTCAAGCTCTTGTCTATGGCCCAGGAAATTCCTGTTCTAAAACAAAGCTTCTGAGCACTGTGGCTCCATTTCTTATCTTGCATGGGGGAGCCGGGGCCTAAAATTCAACTGCTCTTCGTTTTCTTTAGGAGCAATTCCCCAACCCCCTCTTTTCTTTTCTCCATCTTTGAGGTTGAAGATATTGGCAAAGGAGATTTTACTTATCCTGAGGCAGGTTTAGATGAGATCAGACTTCTCGCAAACCAGACGCAAGGTAGAAAAATCCATTTTTTATTTGAATTCCTTGCTTGGATTTTCTACTTCTCAGACACCAGGTACTGAATGGAGTAGAAGGACACAAGGCTGGGAGATGTTGCACCTCCTCAGGGGAGGGATCTCTGCTTTACCTGAGGATGGGCTGGGGTCTCTGGTGACTGGGGCTCAGCAAGGACTCTTTTATTTGTGGGTTGAGCTGTTTCTCTTCTATGAGCCTCTCCATAACACCAGTGGCAATGGCCCTTCACCCTTGTGGTGGGTGCCACTTCCTGTAGGAAGCATCTCCCATGCTGTGTATCGTCCTGCCTTCGGTGCTTCACTTTGCCTGCCCATCATTTTGGCAAAGTATCTCCTTCTCTGCCAGGAAAAGAGGACTTCAAAGCTGCAGGGACGCTGGCTTTCCTTGTGCTAATCAGGCAAGGCTCCTGCAAGGCAGCTGTGGGTAGTTGAAAGAGCATGAGTGATGCTATCCTCGGTCTGGGAGGTGATTGTTCCCCGGGTGCCTCCTCGGTGCTGAGATTCATGGAGGGGCAGGGAACGCGATTTGCAAAGTCTCTTTAATGTGAAAATAACGGTGGAGATCAAAGCTGCCGCCAGCCTTTGCCTCCCTGCCACCTGCAGAGCACGTGGTGCAGCAGCAAAGCTGGAAAAGCACCCAAAAATCTTCCCTGTCCACCTGGGCACTTGGTGGGCTGTGTCCAGCACGGGTTGGTGGGGCAGTGCTGGCACAGGGCTCTCTGCTGGTGCCTGCAGCCCTCCTGGGGGGATGAGTGGCATTCACCTCATTGCAGGGGCCAGAGTAGGGGCATCCCCTGCCTCCTGGAGAGCAGAGTAATGGATCCCTCTTGCCCGAGACCCCCAGCCCCATGCCATGCCCCGGCAGGCTGCCTCTCATCCCCATGTGGCCTCATCGAAGCTGGTCGAGTGACTTTGCTGTGACAGACCCAAGCCCTGGGACCATTGGGGTTCATCTCCCAAGGAGAGCCACCCCCAAGGGAGAAGGAGAGGTGAAGGCTGCCCAGCTAATTGCGCTGTCAAGCAGGATTTTGTTAATGAATCAACCCCCTCAAAAAACACCAGATACTTCAGATTTCATGAAACACAGTAGGTGGGAGGATCTTGAAAGGTCTCATCCATTCATTGAATTAAATATCCTTGAGTCTAGCCCAAGGCTTAATAGCAACGAAACCACCCACCATCCTGAGAGAAGGGAAATTCAGAGCCGCTCAAAAGATGCTGGACTCGGAGGGCTGGGATGGCCGTGACTGAGAGCAGGTTCCCGGTTTGCTCCAGGGGGAAATCCCACCCTGCAGTCCCCGCTTCCAGTCCCTGTTTGCAGGCACCGTTTCTCCCCATCTGCAGCTGTGCCGCAGCAGTCTCTGGTGGTGGGAAGCCAGGGTGCATGACAGGGGGAGGCAGAGAAATGCTACAGGGGAAATTGGAATAGGCAGAATACGCTCGCCTACGTTTAAATAATACATGTAATGTGCAATAAATAGATTGTATTCATAATAAATATCAGAGCTGGACAGATATTGGATACAATTATTCATATCCAGATATATTGGCAAAGTGATGCATTATTCATATCATACTCAGCTAGCTCACGAATGCCAGGAATTATTTGTTTAATCATGTGTTTGACAAACATCATGACTCATTAAATATATTATTCAGGAAATAGTATTTGATCAGGTCTAATAGGCATACTGCAGACACTTAGAGATTTGGGGTCCCAAATTGCTTTACTCCAGAAGTGCTGAATAAGCTTTGCTCCAGAACTGCAGGCACACTCCTAATTTCATCTAACTTTTACTGTGGTTGCTATGCTCAGACTTTGAGGCATTTTGTGATGGAGCCCAGCACTGGATACTCCTTTTGCTTTAGGAAAGCTGGATGGTCCCAGGACTCTGCCTTTTTCTCTTCTCTTACCAGGCACTGTCTGTCCTTAAGCCAAGCAGGCATCACCTGCACATCTGCTCCTCCGTTGAGAGCCTCCCAAGTTGCTATAGGGACTGTTCAGGATCTTAGCTACAGGAGATTTGTCTGCACACTCTGGTGCCTATTACATGCATGTGCATTGTAGAGGAGGGTCCTCATTGACCCCTGTTTTCCTTCTTCCACAATGGGAAAGAGGCCGGAGGAATGTGTGTGTGAGGACGAGTCGTGAGTCAATGGAGCGGGGTTGCTTGAGCTGTGCGTGAGTCAGGGCTGTAACCCAGGAGCCCAGGGTGAGTAGGAGGGAGAATAAGTTTAGTGAGCAGCGATTGTTCACTTGCTGCTTAGTTTTCTTCCAAGGTGGTTTTCACAGCCCTTAAACTTAAAGGTGGGGACCCCTCAGTGGAAGCTGTCAAATCAAAAGCTGAGCTCAAGGGGTAGGGATTAATAAAAAGAGATGAGGGAGGGGTGATGTTTGAGTTACAGGGATCAGGATGGCAGGTGAGTGTGGCCGCCAAAGACACCTCTTGGTGCTTGTTATGGAGCTGACTTTCTAATCCAAGGCATAAAATTCCATCACATCAGTTTCTTGTAATAAAGTTCAAGCTGGTGTAATTGCAGAGGGAGGGCTGGGGCCGGAGCTGCCTGCTCATCGGACTCAGCTCTCTGCCCTCACTTCCATCACTGGTGCACCACCAGTCTACCCACCTTAAAAATCCCACCTGGAGAAGATGAGCTGCAGCCAGGGAGAGGGACTGGGTGGGCTGACATGAAACTGTGTCTGAATCCCCTCTGGTCACCATACAAAGAGGGGACCCACCTGAGAGGTGGCCAGAGATGCCAGAAAGAAAATGGGAGAGACCTGGCAGTGTCACCAGCTGCTTGAAGACAGCAGCAGTTCCCAGGTCTTGCAGGTGTGCCTCCCAAGGGACTCGGGTCTGTGCAAACACCTTAACTAGCTGGGGACATCAGTAGGGACAAAGGGGGTGGCCAACACCCCAGTGATGTGTGTTGCCTTCAGTGGGATGCAGCTTGGGCAGCTGTGGGGTGTTCTTGTGCCCTGCTGCTGCTGAAGGAGGGCTCTGTGGTGCAGAGGCACAGGAGTCATCCCTGGGGAGGGCACGCAGGGGCTTGCATGAGCTGTAGCATGCTGTACAGGAGCTGGTGTTCTCAGAGCTGCTTGGTAAGGTGGGAGCAAGTGGGTTCCCATGGCCCCATGGGCAGTGAAATAGGGCTCGGTGGGGCTCTCCAGCTTCTCCTGGTGTGACACCGGAGATGCTTTCCTTGTCACCACTGCTGAAGTTTTCCAGTCATTTCCTTCCTGGGCTTCCACTCGTCCTGGGTGGTTCTGGAGCTTCACATCAAGTAGGACGCTGCATTTGGTATCTTGTGCTTTTGGGCATATCTAGACATTGTCAGGGGAAGATCTTGTTACTCATGTTCTTACCAGGTGAAACAGGCACCAAATCCTGCCTCCCCTGAGCATGCAGGAGACCACACCGCTCTGCAACGGCCGGGTGTGAAAACAGACCCCGGGCTGCCAGCTCCTGGTGAGGACCACGCTCCTCTCCTCTGCTTCGATCGCTGCACGCTTGCTTCTCCTCCCCAGAGCCTTGGCCAGATGGGCGTGGGGTTGCACACGCCTGGCAGATGCTGCTGCTTGTCTGGAGCTCCTGCTGCTCCTTTTTTGGTTTTGTTCTTTAAAAGAGAGGCGGGAGGAGGAAGGGAAATGGGAAATATTGTGCCTGCTTTTGAGATTCTCTTCAAAGATTTTACTGTTGTGGTGGGGTGAGGATTTTTTTTTTTTTGCAGGTATCTATAGTAACGCTGCATCCAGCTATGGTTTTCTGCAGAGCAGCATTCCCCATCTTCCCAATTGGATTACTTTTTGCCAACCCCCCTTCCTGTGCCACTCTGTCGCCCTAATGGTCCTTGTGCTGTGTGACTGAGCCATTCCCATGCCTCCCTTGCCACCTGGTTATTCACTTGTGACCAGGAGAGTGGCATCTACAGATAAACCATCCATGGGTAAACCATCCAGGCACTGCACAGGCCAGAAGCACGGGGTGCAATTAGTTACTCTGAGGTGGAATAGCAGGTCACTATCTTTAATTACTTTTAGCCCTTCCCAAATAGGTCCTGTTTGTTGGAACCCAGCAAGGTGGAGCATGGTCTCTGCAGCAGAAGTGCTGCCCATGAGAAACGGGCACCAACAGGAGTGGATAAAAGAAAGAAAAAATCAGGCAGCAAAAGGATGAGAAGAGACTGTAAGAAGATTTTTTTAAAGTGGGGGGAAAGGAGGAAAGGGAAGGGAAGCCCCTTTCCTTTATGGGTGTAGAGTACTGATGGTCCCTGCGTGGTTCTTGTAGGGATGCCGGATGTTTCCTTTGGTGGGGATGGGATGGCTTTCCCTGTTTCCAGTTCCAGCAGCACTGCTGGGGGATGGCCAGTCCCTCACAAGGCAGCCACCACCCTCCTGAACCCTCTCTGGGATTTTAGGAGCTGCGAGCAGAGTCTTCCTGCAAGCACTAACTGCTCTTCTGTTGTCTCTCCTGATGCTGCGAATGGGCTGGGAAGCAGCAGAGAAATGACTCATTAGCTGCCAGCTCAGGGAAAGGCATTTATAGCTTTTGCATGGAAAACAGCCTTCACTCAGCATCGGATGTAGCTGTCGTCACAGGGTGCAGGACCCCGGCGGGGCTGGGGGAGCTGCACTTGGCCGAGGTGTGATGCCTTCTGCAGTGCTGGGTCTGCAGATCCCATGTCTGCATGGTGGAAGAGGAGGTGGAAGACCCCCTCTGTGTCCCAGCCTGGACAGCCAGATCCCCAGGACCAGGGCACACCCTGAGACATGCTCAGGAACTCCTCAGGTCAGAAGAGAGGGAGCCCTGCTGGGAATCATGCTTCTCCTGGCCCTGTAGTTCAAGAGTGGGTTTAGGAAGAGCCTCCACAGCCAGGCAGGATGCAGCCTGGCTGGTGGTAGCTCAGATGAGTTTTGCTTTAGTCACTGATGACTTTGATAATGGAAGAGCCATGAGGATGCTTGAGGCACTGGGTTGCTTTTCTGACAGTGCCTGGGCTGGGGTGTGTTAGGCTCAGCAACTGCAGCACTGCAGGTTGTGATGTTCAGGGTTTGTGAGCATCTCCCTGGAGGAGCCCAGTGCCTGCAGGGCAACAGCCATCCCGAAGGGTGCAGAAGCCCTGGCCAGGACGGGGTCTGAGCATGAGAGATGGCTGTGGGACCCGGCTGGGTTGTGCAGGTGGCTCTGCGTTTGTGACTCTGTGAAGGAGCTGTGAGACATGGTGTGATGCAGCCTCTCTCTCTCATCCCCCTGCTTCCCCAGACCTTGCCCATAATCCATCCCGGCAGCCTCAGGTTTCTGCTGTGGAGGTGAAGCAGACCAAGACATTGGGTGTCACATTTAAACATCATGAGCTGCTCTGGCGAGGCTGTAGCAGCAGATTTATGTCCTCCAGCTGCCTACGAAGGAGGTGCAGTCACTGGCCTGGGGAACGGTGGCCTTGAAATCCTCCCCTCACTGGGGGACGTGCCAGGGCAGCCCCTTGCCCCATGCCATCGCCTCCCTTCTCCCCAGCAGCCCCGCTCACCCCATGCTTGTTGCAGCATCTCGGTCTGCGATGAGGACAAGTTCCGCCACAACGAGTTCATTGGAGAGACGCGGATCCCGCTGAAGAAACTAAAGCCCAACCAGACCAAAAACTTCAGCATCTGCCTGGAGAAGCAGCTGCCGGTGAGTGTGGTGGGGATCAGACCAGCATTCCCCAGCGTGGGCCCTGTGGCGCGTTGGAGAGTGGGTTAGTTTGACTCCTCAAACGTGATCAGGGATGGGCAGAGCATCCCTCGTGGTGGGGAGGTGGGTGTCCGGCTGTGCTGTCCTGGAGCAGCCCCCAGACTGCGTGCATTCCCTCCCCAGATAGATAAAACAGAGGACAAGTCGCTGGAGGAGCGCGGTCGGATCCTCATCTCCCTCAAGTACAGCTCACAGAAGCAGGGGCTGCTGGTGGGCATCATCCGCTGCGCCCACCTCGCTGCCATGGACGCCAATGGCTACTCCGACCCCTACGTCAAGATGTGAGTGCTGCTCCGTGCCGTGCCAGTCCCGGTGAGGCTGTGCTCTCCCCTCTGGTCTCTCTCTGCAGTGGAAACTACTTGAGCTCATTAGGAGAGCAATGAGCAATGAGCTTGCATTCATCTGGAGCGTGTTACTGCCCAGTGATTGTTTCACAGTGCTCCAAAGCTCCATGTGTGCAGGAGCTGCCCGGTGCTGTGTGGCCCTGCTGGGGCAGCACATTGTCCCTGCCAGCTGATGGTGGCCGTGGTGCCCCGTGGCAGTCTCAGCACTGCCCATGGCACTTGGGAGAGGGTCTGTGGCAGGGGCAGAGTGGGTAGCCCAAGGCAGACAGGTATGGTTGGGCTTTGCTGATTGCATGGCCCCAGCCCAGCCAGTGGTGGGTCTCATCTGTCAGCATGGGGTTGGGCTCTCCCTGAGCAGGACAGTGCCTGTGGCGATGGTCCTGGACCTCACCAGCAGCTGTGAGCACCTTTGTCTTCTTTCCCAGGGTTATCCACAGCTTTTTCACTCTTGGAAGCCAGCATCATCCATGGAAAGGCTCTAACTACATTGTGTGTGTGTGTGTGTGTGTGTGTGTGTGTGTGTGTGTGTGTGTGTGATTAGCTCAGATAGCACTTTAGGTGCAGCCCATGGCTCCGGTGGCTCCAGGGTCTGGTTAGCAGAGCTGAGGGCACATTTACAGGTCCCTCTCCAATGTGAATGACTGGAAAAATACCAGCGTTATTAAACAAAAAGAAAAGACATTTAAATGACTGTAAGGGGCTGCTGGAACTCAGCCTCGCCCAAGTGATTCAGGGAAGGTGGTGTCATCCTGGGGCTATTAAGGGATGCTGAGGAAGATGGTGGTTTGCTGACTCAGAGCCCTGCAGCCACACAGCTCCTGGTTTTTTTTGGCACAGCATTTTTCAAACTCACTCTCTGCAAAGCAGGGGGTCATGGTGAGGAAGGGCCGGCAGCACCCCTGGGCCCATCCCATGCCCTTGTGCTCCCCCAGCGCTGACCCAGACTTTGGCACTTTCAGAGGTGACATTTGTTTAGGCAGAGCTCCTGGGATAAACTGCACCCGGGAGGCCTGTAAGGAAGTTTATCAGCAGCACGCTTTCACCTTCCTATTGAATTGTTCTTTAAAGTGGAGGTGTTTGCCTAAAAATCCACTCTTGCTTTTTTAAATGCTCATTGGAGGCTCAATCTCTGAACTAACAGAATTACAGTTGTTGTACAATTGTTTTGTAGGTGCCCCTTGTGCTGTCTGCAGTAGACTGTATCTGCGGGGCTTTAATCAGAGCAGATATAGACAAGTGATGCTTCTTGGTACAAGCCCTAATTTTTTAATTATGAGCAAGATCTGGAAAGTGTAACGAGGAAGTAGAACTGATGTTTAAAGGAGCAGCACCAGCACAAAAGAATGATGGCACAGATTTCAGGTGCCCTGTCTGCTTGATGACACTTTAATCTCCTTTGCTTTCTGACGCTGCTGCTGTGCTGCTAAATATCTGCAGGTAACAACTGTGGACAAAGCTGCAGCCACTGCACTTGCTCCTGCTCCCTCCTACACACCTGCCTGTGGCCTTTGTCTCCTGGCAAGGCTCTGGATGAGCAGACTGGTCACACAGTCCCAAATCTGGACTAATCTGGGCTGGAAGTGTTTGGGTTTGGGAGCTGGGAGCATGTGTGCAGTGCCAGTGTCCCCTAGGGACTGGAGATGGGATAATCGGTGCTCTCTGATGGCAGCTCTGACGGTCTTGTGCTAACGTGGGGAAATGCTGCTTCCTTCCAGCCATCTCCAGCATCTTGGCAGGTAGGGGAGGAGGGAGCTGCAGGTTTGGGGGGCTCAGTGCCCCATCTCACCCTGCCTCTGCTCAGGAGCTTGTTCCACAGCCAGAGGTTGCCCCCATGTGTACCTGGGCTGCAGGGGGGGGGCCCACAGCCCTTCCTTGCTGGGAGCAGGCACAGGAGCTGTGTGTGACAGTGCATTGGTTTCGTTGCAGTTACTTGAAACCAGATGAGGACAAGAAATCAAAGCATAAGACGGCGGTGAAGAAGAAGACGCTGAACCCCGAGTTCAATGAGGTGGGGTTTTGATGGTTGGTGAAAGCCAGGGGCTTTCTCAGTCCTCAGACTTAAAAGGGGTTAAAAAAAACCAACCCAGCCCCCTGGTTCCTTCTGACTCTGTCTCTGCTCCCCAACAGGAGTTTTGCTATGAAATAAAGCATGGGGACCTGGCAAAAAAGACCTTGGAAGTCACAGTGTGGGACTATGATATTGGGAAATCAAATGATTTCATAGGTGAGTGGGGCACTCCAGAGGCTTCCTTAGCCTCTTTTTATCTTCACCTTCTGTGGCTCTCTTGTTTCATCTGCTGCTTTCCTGCACTTCTCCAGCCACCTGGCTTGTTCTCCATCCCACATTCATTCTTGCTGGGTTTCTCTTCTGCTTTTATCCCACTCTTGCACCTGAGCCTCCTCTCCCACAGCCAGCCCCACTGCTCATTGCTTCACAAGCAGCACCCAATCAGGGAGAAGACGCATCCCCCTCTCCCTTCTGTTTTCAGATCTTCTGAGTAAAAAACAGGTTTAAGGGGAGGTTTCATTTATCTCTATTTGGGTATCTAGGCTTCGTGTGATTTTGTTACTGGTCACTGTGATTTATTGCTAACAAGTGCCCAATGTCTCTGACAGCCACTGCAATTGCAATGAATCCTTGGCACAAGCACAAGCAGGTCCCAGACCACAGCCATGAGGCGCTGGGGAAGCCAGGCTGTGATTGCCCGTGTGTCACATCAGGTTGTGGCATCGGATGCTGTGAGAGCAGCTGTGTGACCTGGCTCCATCCTGCATCCCTCAGCATCCCTCACAGGGCTGATGGTCACCTCCACCTCTCCCTCTCTCTGTGTCTGTCTCTCAAGGTGGAGTTGTGTTGGGCATTAACGCCAAGGGTGAGCGGCTGAAGCACTGGTTCGACTGCCTGAAAAACAAGGACAAGAAAATCGAGCGCTGGCACACGCTAACGAATGAGCTGCCGGGGGCCGTCCTCAGCGACTGAGCACCACGGGGCTGCTTCCAGGGCCAGCACGGCTCTGCCGGCCACAGCCTTTGGACTCCACTCCTTTATGGCTTTGGATACGGGGGATCGTGGTACCGGGGCAGCCGGCAGAGCAGGACACCCCATGCCACGGCCTGGCTGCAGGGAATCCCTTCCCAGGGAGCAGGGCAGCAGTGGTTTGCTCTGCTCAGCAGGTCCCGTCCCCTAAGGCTTTTCCAGAATGCCTCTTTGCACCCTGACACACACTCATGAGCATGCACACGCATGCACACACACACACACGTGCACATGGACACCACACGCCTGCATGCACTGCAGTTGTGACTCCTCTCCTAACTCTCTGCTCTACAGAATTACCTTCTCGCTGCCTTGTAATTCAGTGGCAGGAATGAATGCATCATTTCCATTCATGTATCTAATATGATCAAAAGGTGTCTCTAAAACTGGTACTGTTTTCTCAAGGCAATTGTGCCATATTTCTGGTGGTTTGTCAGTCTCTGTGATTTGGGCCTAAACAGTCTTTTATGCATTTAAAGCTCCTCCATTTGAATGATTGTGTCCTCTGGTAACCTAGAAGACTGTTTGCTTTCCTTCCAGGAATGTTGTGCTCGTCCTCTCCAGTAACCCACGTGAAGGCAGCCAGAAAGCTGGCAGTGCTGTGCAGACTATGGCTTCCCTCTCTCAGTCCCAGGATCAGGCAAAAGAGGGGAAGCAGCCGCTCTCCTAATGAAACCATGCCTTCCCCCCGGAGCCATGCTCCAGCACGGCTGTTCTTCCAGCAAAGCTGGCTTTCAAGCTAAGTTTTTCTATCACTTTTCCCTTATTCTGCCTTTTCCAATTCATGCCATTACCTAAAATCCAACCAAGGCACTTTGCACTGTGAGCTGCTGGTGTGAGCTGAGCCACGGGGCTGAGCAGTGTTCATGTTTGTGGAGATGCTCAGCTCCAGCACAGCCATTCGTTGGTCTATTTTCTGCCTCAAACAGCTTCCAGACCAAATTTCTGTGTACAGCACAGTAACAGTATAATAATATTATCATAATATATCCCAGCTCTCATCCTCCATGACCCACGCTGGCCAGTCCCTGCATCCTCATCCCATCAGGCTCTGGCTCTCGTGCAAACACCGCTTTGTCACATTTGCACAAGAGCTGGTACATGGTGGGATGAGCTAAAACTGTCTGTGAAATGCTGCACCTTGCCAGCAAGTTATGAAGCCTTTAAACCATGATTTCTTAGGAAGAGCTGCTGTTTGCCCATCAGTCTCAATTACCTACAGCTTCTGAGCCCTGTAGCTCTGTGTGTGTGTGTGTGTGTGTTGCCAACTTCTTTCTTTGGAGAGCAATTGGATCTCTGGAAACCTAGGTCTCCTTTCCAAAGTGACGATCGTGTTACACCTTGTTTGATATGGGGGGGACCAACATTCATAGGGTTTTTTTTTAATACCTTAATATTTGTAATATACTCTCCAGATATGCATGGATTTTGTTTGAATGCCGGCAGCGTGTCAAGTAGGATGTTCCCAATAATCCTCTCAGTCTGTCACTGGTCCAGCACCTTAAAACCTGCCTTGGGTTTGAGCTTCCAGGAGAGCCACAGGAGCACCATGTCGGCTGTGCCTCCCTTTTCTGGTGAAGTTACTTTCAATCCATCATTTGTTTTAGCTCATCTTGCTATGAAACCGAAGTAGAGTAGGACATGATGTGTGTGTGGGTCCCTTCACTTTGTATCCCAGTCTTTTCTAAGCGGACATCCGTCCGTCCGTCCCAGCTGCATGCAGTGGTGGTTGTCATGCCAGGCCTTGTGAAATGTTTGATACCAATGTTTTGCTACCATGTGAAGGCTGCAGAAACTGTCCTTACCTGCATCCTAAAAGACTTTTGTATTTCAGTATTATCTATCTGTGTACTTTTTGTCAGATTTGTTAATATTTATAATGAGAACCCAAAATAAAAAGGGAAAATAAAAAAGGTTAGTGCTGGTGCTGTAGCTTTTGAATCTCCCCATGTTGCTATCATGGTGTGTGAGCTTGGGGCATCGCAGATGGAGCATTGAGTGACCCAGAGACACGAGATGAAGAGGATCTGGGCCCCAGCAAGGACTCAGGGGGAGCAGGAGATAGTTTTAAACCAGAGCATCAGGTGTTGCTGGGCTTTATCCTCCACTTTGCAACCTTTTGCTGCTGAAAAAACACCACAGAAGACACTATAACAGTGTGGGTCCCATGTCCCCTACTTCCACCAGGACCCTGCTCTGCTTTGGTGCTGTGAGCTTGCACAGGGACCATAAGGGCTGGCAGTGGAGGGTGAGGGAAATCAGTCAAGACAGGATTATAAAACCAAAAAAACCCCAGGTCTTTCTGAAGTTCCCATTAACTTCACAGCACCCAGGGGCCTGCTCAGCAGCAGCAGCAGAAGGGCATTGGAGATGCCCCATGTGGTGCCCGTGGCTGGGCCGGGGCAGTCTCCACATGGATTTTTGCCATCTTGGACACTGTGACTGTGCTCCCCAGGGTGAAGGTGCAGAGACACCTCCCTGTTCTGGGAGGGTGCCGCGTGCTCCAACTGCCTCCTGTAATGTCTGTTTTCCCCACTATAGTTTTGGGTTGATTGAATGTATATTTGCAGAGGTTAATACTCGGGCCAGGCTGCTTATCAGTGCTTAAGGCAATCCCCTCCTTGGAGGCTGTTATTTCCCTTGGGATGCCCTGATGATGTTAGCTCTTCACATCCACCTTCATCATCACTGCTCCTTGACCAAGACTGTTGCATTGAAATGAAAACACACACACACGCTCACTCTTTACATATATATCCACTCCCTAAAGCAATACAAATATATATATCTATATGCACATACTATATATACCTGTATCCTCATGCATGTGCTTTAGCTTATGGCCATTGCACCTCATCCGGTTGCTGGGCGCCACTGAAAAGAGTCTGGCCCCATCCCCCTGCCACCTGCCTTTGAGATATTGATCTGCATTAATGAGATCCCCTCTCTCTCTGCTCTTCTATAGACTAAAGCCCATCTGCTGCAATCTCTCCTTGTAAGAGAGATGCTCCACACCCCTGATCATCCTTGTGGCCTCCACTGGACCCTGCCAGTCGCTCCTTGTCCTTTTTGTGCTGAGGAGCCCAGAACTGACCACAGTTCACATGAATGAGTTAATTAATTACATGCTTGTCTCTGCAGGAGCAGCAGTGGGACAGGATCCAGAGCCAGGCTGAGCATCCCTGGACACATGCACGTGTGGTGCGTGTCAGGGCAGTGACAGCAGCTAAGGACCAAGGCTCCCATCTCAAGCTGGGCACTGGGTTGGTGCTACATGATCTGTATTGGCCCCAGCCTGCAGCAGCCCAGGAAGAGTCCAGCCCCACACACAGCGTTAATGCATCAACCCCATTTAATGGGCTCAGGGGACCAAAGCCTTGCATGGGGCTGTGGCCACCCAGGGATGTGCGGCCGGGGAGGGGGGGAGTGGGGTGGGTGTCAGGGGTGTCTGTCAGTGTACAACTATACATAGCTAGCTATATAACTATATATATAAGTATATAAATTCACTTTCTATAGTAATTTTTCTATAGAAAGTGAATGCTATATAATTATTATATGCATAGAAATATGTAATTTATATGTGTGTGTATAAAATGTATAACTATAATACAGAAATTATTAATATAAAAGTATACACTATATCATATAGTGTATGTGTATATACTGTAGTGTATACTTTATGTGTATATAGAACTCTACATACATGTATACAAGCTATATATGTATCCATGTATGTATGGACATGCATTGTTGTATATTATTTTATGCATGTGTATAAAAAATATAAATATTTACATAGCTATATATGTGTATATGTGTCTGTTTATATGCTACATCTACTATATAAAATATATACTGTATATATCTAATACTCTATATAAAAATATATATGTGAATTTAAGTATCATATATAGTTACAGATACAGGTAGCTATATTCAAAGGTGTACATACCTATGAAAGCATGCATATATATGCACTCTTTATAACGTAATAAAATATGTATTATATATATACTCTGTATGTTTATATGTATGCAGTACATATAAACGTGTATGTCTATGTGTATACCTGATATACCTATATAAGCCTATATGTATATCTGATATAGATATGCATATCTATGTGTATAACAGATTTTTACTTAATAGGTTATGTAAGTGTATTCTACATATTATATAGGTAGTCTGTATTATATATTATATATGTATGACGCACAGTTACAGGCAGCATGCTTGCTCATGATCTTCCTTGCATGCTCCATCCAAATACATTCATGTATGAATGTATAGGCATACATACACACTAATTCTTCTAGATAATATTATAAATATGTAATATATATTATATAGGACCTATATTTAGTTTTAAAATATGTTATTTGGTATATTACTATATTTAATGTATGTTTATCATGTATATTTGTAACTGAAGCAGCTGAACCAGACCAGGGCCAGCACGTGGCTGTTGGCAGTAGCCGGCTGGCCGCCCTCAGGAGCCAATGTGCTTGGCTGGGATTTTCCTTTGCTCCTTTTCTCAAGCAAAAGGGGAGCTTCTGCCTCCATCCCAACACCCCGCACCTCGCTGAGGCCATGCAGGGCTGGGCAGGGGTCATCTTAATGGGGAAGGCAGCTGGGAAGCAGCAGGCAAACCAATCTATTTACTCAATTAAATGATGCACTATTCAGTCATCAGGTTTTAAGTCACCTTTTATCCCCTCCAGAATAAAGAGCTGATTATAAAAGGGGGGGTGGGAGGCCAAACCCTTCAGATTAAATAAAAGCTTAAGGTATTTCAATGCAAAGCTCCTCTGGGGTGCGTCAGCCCCTCCTGCTTTATAAAGAGGCTTTGCATTTGGGGAGGGTCACCTGCATAAGGGGCACCGGTGCTACTGCTCCAGAAGACCCATGTACTCCAACAGCTCGCAGGAGCCCCCAGATAACAGGACCCCGGGGCCTTTCGACGGCCCCCAGTGGCCCTACCAGGCCCCACGGAGCATGTACCTGTTGGTGGCCGTGCTGATGGGCTTCGTTGTGGTCTTTGCCTCGGTTGTGAACACCTTGGTCATCGTGGTTTCCATCAGCTACAAGAAGCTCCGGTCGCCCCTGAACTACATCCTGGTGAACCTGGCCGTGGCCAACCTGCTGGTGACGCTCTGTGGCAGCTCCGTCAGCTTCTCCAACAACATCAACGGCTTCTTTGTGTTCGGCAAACGGCTGTGTGAGCTGGAGGGCTTCATGGTCTCCCTGACAGGTAAGGGCACAAACCTCAAGACCTGTCTTGGTCTTTGGTTGGGGCTGTTGTGTTTAGTAAAGAAGCTCTGGGGAATGTTTCACTGCACAAAACCTTTGTCAGGGACATTCCAGTGGAGAAACTGGTTGTAACCACGATGTACCACTGACACGCAATTGCCAACTTCATTTTTAAGGGTGAAACAGCCTCCCAGCTGCCCCTGTCATAACAAAACCCATCTGACTTCTTGTTATGACTTCAACAGCTCTTAATCATTGTCTGCCACGTCCCAGCACAGGCAGCAGAGCAGTAAGAGAGCCTGCTCCCAAGCCAACCCTCCTTCTCTCCCAGGTATTGTGGGGCTGTGGTCCTTGGCCATCCTGGCCTTCGAGCGGTACATTGTGGTCTGCAGACCCCTGGGAGATTTCCGGCTCCAGCACCGGCACGCCATCAGCGGCTGCGCCTTCACGTGGAGCTGGTCACTGCTCTGGACGACCCCACCGCTCATGGGCTGGAGCAGCTATGTGCCCGAAGGTAGGGGAGATGTGCTGCAGACCCCAAAGCGTTGCCCTCTTGCATACAGTTCTCAAGAATGGAGTAGTTGGAGAGTGTCTGTGCTGGTACTTAGAATTTAACACCACTGCTTGCGCAGTCAACGATCCTCTCTCAGAGGTTGTTCTTCAGCAGTTACCCACTGCTTGACACAATAAATTGTTCTTCCATGTCTGATGGCCATTGGAGCCACGGGCTGCTCTGGCTGCTGGTGCACATCGAGCAGCACCCAGCACACACCCAGCCCAAATCTGCTTGCGGAGAGGCTCGGCATAACACTGTACATCACAACACATCACTCTCCTCTGACACAGCAAGCAGCCAGCCAGCAAAAGTGGTGGCTGATCTCCAAGTCACTGGGGATGGAAAAGCCAGAGGTGCTTGAGCAGCATCGATACAAGGGGGCAGTGCTGGTGGTTGCTGTTTTGGAGGCTGTTACTGAGACCCTGTCCAAGCCCATGACCAGTTTAGGCTTGATTCAAAACTTACTTGTTCCAGGTCTGAGAACCTCTTGTGGGCCCAACTGGTACACCGGTGGCAGCAACAACAACAGCTACATCTTGGCCTTGTTTGTCACCTGCTTTGTGATGCCCCTCAGCCTGATCCTCTTCTCCTATGCCAACCTGCTGATGACCCTGCGGGCAGTAAGTACGGCCAGTACAGGCGAGTTAATGGTTTTCTGGTCACAAAACTGACGGTAAGGCTACATCACCCCATGTAGCCATGGGATCATGAACCTCACATCAGGTTTTTGTGACAGTCACCAGAGCAGCCATCTCCTGGTGCTGATGTCAGAGTGCCTGAGGGATGGAAATGCTGTTGGAAGTTGTTAATGGGCATCTCTCTTCCCAACTCCCCACAGGCTGCGGCGCAGCAGCAGGAATCAGACACAACGCAGCAGGCAGAGAGGGAGGTGACGCGCATGGTGATCGTGATGGTGATGGCCTTCCTCATCTGCTGGCTGCCTTACACCACGTTTGCCCTGGTGGTGGCCACCAACACAGACATCACTATCCAGCCAGCTCTCGCATCCCTGCCCTCCTACTTCTCCAAGACAGCCACGGTTTACAACCCAATCATTTACGTCTTCATGAACAAACAGGTGAGAGAGAAAATCATTCACTAATGAAACCACGGCTTCACTGGGGCTTCTGGAGAGCAACTTAATGGCCTCATAAAATACGGAGGAACCATCTATCTTACCTGGAAGCGTAGATGCAGGCTCTGGGAGTTGCTGTATAAGCTGCAAGGTTTGGGGGAATAAAATGCAAAAGGAGGGAGCAGCCTCTGAGCCCAAAGGAGAGCTCATTTTCTGCTTCCATGATTTTATGGGGTCGGACAACTTAATTTTAGATCACAAACTGCTCATTGAACAGACAAGGCAAACAGAATGAAACTTTTATTGTCAATGAACTGCCAGGACCTGCAAGGAGGTGGGCTGGAAATTGATGCAGATCTCACCCAAACTACACCAAAGTGTCCACCCCTCAGCCTCTGCCCCCAGGTCTCGAGGTGGACACCAGCCTTCTGCCACGACACATAACCTGTCCCCTCCTGCCCAGTTTCAGAGCTGCCTGCTGACAACACTCTGCTGCGGAGCCCACCCTGGGGGCAAGGGAAGAACTCTTGCTGCCCCCGGCCCCCATGCAGGCGCTGCTGCAGGCAGGCTGCGGAATAAGGTGACCCCGTGCCCCCCCGTCTAACTGCTGCCAGACCCTGCCCGCACCAACGTCAGCTCTGGGCTCAGCCTCGTCCAGCACGGGCAGAGAAGGGCCCTGTGGTGTCGCTGCTCCCCATGCCCAGGAGATGGGTGGCTCTTGGAGGTTAGAGAGGTCCCCGCAACCTGATGCTGCCCTGACACACATGATGTTGTCCTCTTGTGGGACAGGAGCCACCCCGTCATGGCTTGAACTGCAAACTTCCTTTGCTCTCCCAGGGAAACACCCCTGCAGCCCCTCACCTGGGGCAGCAGAGTCTTTTAAGAACAAAACAAAGCACAGTAATTTTAACTCGATGCAAAACATCCCAGGTGGCTGTTCCGGCCCGGAGGGAAGTTGAACATGGTCCAGCTGTGATACCACCTCCAAAGCGGTCATGTTCACCGTCCTTAGACAGACTGAGCCCTGTTTGCATTGCCCGATCCCACACTGACGTCTGAGGTCACGCTGGGAAGCTAGCACAAACCCAGCAGGTATGTTTAGGTGCAGACTGTGTTAATAAACATTAATGAATATGGACAAGGTCACAGGCTTTATTGGCTGATAGAGGGTGCGACAGCAAACAGCTTCCTGCTACTACAGCTGGCACTGTGTCTCGTGTGGCAAGTGCCACATAGGCTGTGGTAACTGATGGCAAGGAAACCAGCTCAAAAGCACAGAGATGGGTTTTGTTGTTTTGGTTTTTTTTTAACATATTTAAGGCAATAAGGTCTTAAATCCACTGATTTTCCAGCAAGGGTAAAAGCACAAGCTGAAACAGGCTCTAAGGACAAGGCACAGCAGAACTACTGCTGCCAGAACGCCAGGACATTATCAGAAAGTAAAATATGCCACAGCCTGCGAGAAACAAATAAAAGACAAAAACCCTCCATGGGGCTCCACGCCTGATCTTGAACCTCAGCACACAATGTTTACCCACAGCAGCTGCAGTTACACTTCTGGACTGCAAGGCAATTCATGTGATTTAGGAGCCTATGGGCATGGCTTCTAAGCTCCAGGTCTAGACAATACCACAGACAGCAATTCCCCAAGACTGTTTTATCAAATCACTCTACCTTTAAAAACTCCATCAACAGCTTGTCTGCCTTCATAGTAAATCATCTTTCAAATTTTGATTCTGCTTTCAAAATGAGACTGATCCAGTCACAAGATGATTTAAAGGTTCATGCTCCGCTCTGCAGTTTTGTTTCTATTGCACATGATCCCAACACACACTTCACCCCACTCCTCCTCCCACCATCTTCCACAGCTTTTGCTGTTGCAGCAAACCCATGAAGGAGGTAGAGGGAAGCAATGCTGGAAGTTGTTCCTCACCTCGCTTAATTGCCTCACTAGCATGCAGCCTGCAAGCTGCTAACAAGCAGTCAGAGCAGCAATTTGGGCTAGCAGAGATAACCATGAGATTTGGGAGGCCAATTTGTTTTTTTCTCTGAGGTTCTCTGCTCCAAAACAAGAACAAAACAGAACTCCCCCAATGGAGACCAGTACAACAGCAGGTACAAGGAAGCTGGAAGACAGCTGCTTAGAGAATGGACATTTTTCTTCTTGTCTTCCTCAAACTGATTTCAAGGCTTCTGCAAGTGCCTCCATCCTGGGTGCAGGGGGACTGGACACACATCCTCACCCCCAGCCCTGTCTCCTCACCTTCCTCTGCTTCTTTCCTACACACCAAGCAGCTCAGAGAGGAATTAGACCAGCTCAGCTTCACTGTTTTTAATTTAATTAATTGGCTTTCATTCTCTATGAAGCCCCAAAGCACCATTACATGGGCCCCCTCTGATCTCCTCTGCTGTCTTTTGCTGGTCCTTGTTTAATTGTTCCTGTTAATTACAGCTTTTGTGTCCATGCTTTATGTTATTAGGATGAATTACATTCATGTTAAACTTAAATCTGGGAAAGTACAAGCAGCTGAAAAACTGTAGTCGCTAGCTGCTGCATTCTGGTCTCGATAAGGAGAGCAGGCAGGCTATGGGACTAGTGGAAAGGCTCTCTGCCAACAGAAATAAAAATTCTCCACATTAAGATTAAAAAAAGATAGTGAAATAGTTCACCATCCGCTCACCATTTGGGCTGACAGATAAAACAGACAAATAAATGCTAGAAGCTAAGGAGATTTTTACATGTTGAAAACCAAAGTAATACAGTTACATGGATATAGAAATGCATGTGTGCTTGCTCCACTGCCACACTGCTGCAGCCCTTCAAGTTTTAATTTCTTTTTATTTCACTAAGCAAGTTCAGGAAAGATAACAAAACACTGCCCAAAGTGACAGAGAATGCCCAAAGTGAGAGGGAATGCCTGCTTATCAGTTATGTGTCACAAGCCACTAAGGACACAATAATACAATAAATTAGTGATTTCACTTTTGCATGCATTTGTCATGACTCTGCTGCTTACAGCACAATGCTCTGCACAGCCCCAGGCCAATGTGAAGTAGGATCTTCTTTCAGCAGCTTATATCAAGAAAATGAAGTTCTTCTGCCTGCAGCAAGGATACAGAACTCACAGGGAAAACCAGGTACCTGCAGTTGACAGAAGCCCAGGTTAGAAAATATTAAACTTTGGCCTGGACAGAATGATGTAATGCCCAAAAAATGAACCCCATTTTCCATGCACTGGCACTGCTGTTAACTTGAGGGGCAGAACTCAAACTGCAGCCTCCTTTTGCTGCTGTTTCTGCTCTAGCTCTATCGCTACCACACCACCACTAAATAGATGGAACATCTATTTTTTCTTGATTTCTTCTGAAGAAAGCTCCCCCAGGTCTGCCAGTCTGCAGCATCTTCCCTGGGAGTAGCTCTGTCAGTATCTAGTTTAACAAACAGTCTGGTGATGGGAAACATAGTTAACAACCAGTGAAAAAACCCCAGACTCCCCAGAAAACACTCAAAGCCAACCCCCCCCAAAAACAGAAAAAGAACCACATGGCAGCACAATAACCTTAGAAACTTTTATTAATTTGGTTTAACAACTCTGACCAACACTTACAGGTAGGCAGCATTTCCCTACACAAACACGAATGGAAAGGCAAGATGCTGTACACCCAGCTAAAGGCAGCTGTGATCCCATGGTCAGGTAGACTGGGACAGGGACAGTCATCACACCTCTTGCACCTCAACAGCATTTATCACAAGAAAAATTAACTATAAAGTTGCTGTACTCATTAAAATCCAGATCCAAACCTCAATTATATGCAGGGACTTTGGTGGTTTTTTGGATGAGGCCTTTACGAGGAGTGTGGTTTAATTAAACAACAAGTATTTTGTAATACTAACCAGATCTTCTCATACTCCACCTTTTTCTCATTAGCTTTTTGCACAGCAATTAATCCCCTTAATCAGTCAAATCAGTTCAACACTAGATCAAAAAAGCACTAAGAAAAAACAATAAACTACCTTGTTAAATTTAATGAACAAGGGAAAACACACACCAGAAGGCTGACAGAAAATAGAGTCATCATGCTAATACTGTGCAGAGAGATACTCTGCAACCCCAGTGAATGGTCCACAATGCTGTCAGTCTCAACTGCCCCTCAAAACTGGAAAATTTCCTCTGGACAACTTAAGCCTAGAGCAGCTTCCTCTCCTTTAAAACCACAGGGTAGAAACAGTACCCAGAAATCAAGCAAAGCAAAAGCTTAGCCTGTGCAAGCTCCACAAATTGAGTGCTAACAATATAATAAACGTGATACTGCCCAGCACAGCATCCAGTAGCTTTTACAGATGAAGAGGACCTTCTGAACTCCCTGCACAGCTTCCTGGTGCTCTGCCTGCGGCCCCAGCTCCCTCCTTTTTTCCATCATCTTCTGGATCTTGCAGACTTGCAGCCCTTGAATGACAGAAATATTGTGTATGATCCCAATTTTTTATACTTGCTTTTAGACAGGATGAATACAGAGCACTAAACCAGAAGCCTCTGGAGGTATCAGATGCCTTTTTATTTTTACCCTGACCTATACTGGACATCTGCCCCCTTCAACCCCCAAAAATCTGCCTCTCCTCTCTGAGACTACAGATGTGCTGTAGTTTTACATATGCAGACTCTAATGATTTTGAATGTAACAGCATTGAGTAAATGTAGTCTAACTACAAGTGGGAATAGGCTTTGGATCGAGCCATTTATGAACACAGCAGTATATACACTGCAGGGATCAGCCTGCCTGGTTGGCAAGATCCTCCTGGTTATCATGACATTTGCCTTCTGTGTTTAGTAACAACAACAATTCCTGATGCAAACACAAGAATATCTTGTGTTCCTTAGTAATATATGTTAGGCATGATTTATGACTATTCACTGGCGTTCAGTTTCTAGGCTCTGATCTTTGGTGCTACGAGGAAAAAAAGTTATTTAGACTATGAATCTTTTCCTCAAAGTGATGTATATGGGACTTCTGCCGTTTTCTTTGTTTCCTCCTATATTGCCATGACAGTATAACCATCTTCTCAAACTCTTCCTTAAAGTCTTTTCTAAAGAGCTTTCATGATTCTGTTTACTTACATTCTTCTCCATCTCAAAAAAATCTACAATTTTGTCAGATTATCTCTGATTTCTGTGACGACTATGCACTGCCTTCCAAGCCTACTGAAGTATTTGCTTTCCACCTACAGGAAATTATATTAACAAAACATTCATTTCCCTCTTAATTTAGTATGGAAGATTCAGATTGCTGTCTCCAGGCAAGTCCCCTGACACACTACTCTCTAAGGAGTGACAGCCCATTTTCTTATGGGCAAGTCCTGCATAGGTCTGTACACAGAACATAGAATAAACTTATGAACAAAAGAAAAAAATCAAACCAAAGAGCATGTTCGTGAGGTTGTTCTTGGATCTCCTCATCCCCAGGAACTGCACGGATCATCCTTTCTAAAATACCATCAAGACTAGAGTGAGCCCTGTTGAGTAAAATATTGTAAATGGATGCTGGCAAGTTTAATGCTACACATTTTAAAAGACAACAGTCATAATTACCAGGGTTCTTAAAAAAGTTAGCTTCCTCTAAGCAATAAATCTTGTTAAAATATATGAAACCATTACTCTAAATCTTTGTGACTCAAAGCCAAACATGCTTTATCCTTTTCTCCATACCTTTCTGTTTCCTCCGATAGATTAAATGACTCCTTAGTCCATAAACTATGATCTCCTTCATTTCTCTCAGATTCTTCTTTTGACTCTCTGTCTTCCATTTGAATTTGATTGGGAACTATTACACATAAACAGAAATATTTTAATATCAAAGGTATGAAGGAAGATAATAAAGAAATTAAAATGTGTTTTCATTTACTATACTTGGGAAGCTTCCAGTTGTCTGCCTCCCAACTACTCTTTCCTCAGCCATCTGATTTTCTACCAGTTAAGCAAATTCACATTCTCTGTAGTCAAAGGTGGCCAGTAGCAAGACCTAGATAAATATTTTACTGCAACACATTTTTAGATTCACAGGACTGAACAGCTTGCTTCATACTAAAATGAAAAATACATGTAGAAATTAATCTTTAATCTTTCCCTTTACAATCCCAGATATGGGAGAAAAATCAAAAGAAAACCTGTGGATGTTAGCTTTGTTACCCTGCTTAGCAAAATCCAGTGATACCCCCAAGAATTATCTCAGTAAGTTCTGTTCCCTACAGCATGTGAATATATTCAGCCACCTTCTGCTAAGCTATGATAAGCAGGAAGCAGTAGGCTGTCACAAAAATGGAGTCTGAAATAGCTGCACTTTATGCAAATACAACAAAACCACAGCGATAGAATGGCAAGCAATACAGGCTGCTGCATTCCTTACCACCTAAAACCAAGATATTCCTATGAATAAACTCAGTAGCTTCTATCCTTTGGGAAAAGATCTAACAAAGCTGTAGGATAACACAAACAAGTGCCAGTGTCGTTCTCAAGTGACTATGCTATTTAGCTTTTTTACAGACTAACTCATGTTCTGCCTTCTTTTTTTTCCTTTTTTGTCTATTTTTTAAACTGCTCTTCCCTTTGTGACTCATTGGAAAGAAATGCAGAGCCTGTGAAGATTTAGGTTTTCTGCTCCTCTGACATTACTTGCTGTACATCTGAAAATTATTCTCACTTATTACTATTTGCAGTTCAGAAAGCAGAGATTCATGACTGCTATCTTTGGTATCTTTGTAAAAGAACAGGAAATATAATACTGATTACCCCAGTGGATGCTATTTTCTTACACTATGAGATCAGAGGCATTATTTCATTATGGTGAATAAGAACCACAAGTGTGCACTGGCCACTTCCTCAACTGAACCACCCTTTCACAATGGAAACCTCAGTTCTCTCTTACATCAGCTGCCCACCATCTATACTTCTGTGGGTTTCATCACTTCTGTTTGAACACAGCATATGTTACAGTGCCATAATAAAAGTAGAAGATTAATTCCAGTAGCTCAAACCAGCAAGCCTTCCACACCAGAACCCTTTAGACTTTAGAGAGAGGCTATACAGAGAAAGACAGCAAACACTGGTGGAGGAGTTACTATTTGCAAAACCACTGCATATAACCTTACTGAGAAAGGGAGAATCCTCTTAAATTTCTGCTGAACTACAAATACACACACACAAAAAAGTGCTAATAACTGAAATTTATCATATAGTTGAACATACAGGGACAAGCATCCAGAGCAATTCTGCAGCAATGCAAAAGTGATTTTCCATTTGCAATCTCTACTTCAGGACTATTATCAACTAACCATTTATTTGCACTCCACAATCATACAACCCATTTTCTTCGAAGTCTTGAGCAACGGAATCTTGCAGCTTTAAATATTCTGTTAAAACCAGCACATTTCCTTATTCATCTACTCTTTCTAAATTGACATTACACAATGTAAAGTACCATATTACGTTATCCATCCAAACCCAGATGAAAATCTTTACATAATCTATAGTTAGTTCATGTACTTATCCTAAAAATTGTCTCTATCATTTATTCACTTGATGCCAGTCTTCACATGTCTTTGTTTTGGTGAATAAGGAACTAAAAAGATTAGAATGTAGGTACCATATTTCTCAAAGAGCATAGGAGCTATATACATTTAATTATCCCAATGTCTGGTTTGTAACTGAATAACCAAAGCAAATTCTTCGGTAACACACACCAGTAAAAACAACGCGGTGTTTTCACGCTGTGTTCTGTCTGAAGATGTATGTGATTACAAGAAGAAACGTAAATCACTGAGACTAAACTCCGCAAAAATACCCGAGGGATGCAGCTGCCTGGCTTGTATTCATTTTAATGGAGAACATGCAGTGCTCCAGGACACCTTTGAAAAGGTCTACACAAAATTCAGTTCCAGTGTTAAATTACATCTTGACTCAACAGACTGGCTGCTGTCTTCATCAGCAAGTAACCATTAGGTGAAATGCAGACAGTTCAGGGACTAACTTAGAGAACTGCCAGTTACTTACGTTGTTGATGCCTAATCTCCTAATCATTGACCTGACTGCAACTAATTTGGAAGCTCTTGTGTATTTTAGCAGTGAATGACTTGGGATAAATCCTGATTGAACACAGCTGGCAAGCCTCATACCATTTTGGGTGAAGTACCTCTTACCAATTTCATCCAGCAGCTCTTGGGCTGGTGGAGGCAGCTCATCAGTGAAGTGGTTAGATGCCTGTGAGAGTGCTGAGATAGAAAAAGAGTCTAGTTAATTAGCAGTGATTAATCCTTAATAACTGTGATACAGGCTTACATTATGACAGCATCTTGCTGACATATTTATCAACCTGCATGAGTCTGGCTCATTCACTTTTTATCCTTTAATAATTTCATAAATGAAAAAATCCTTTAGAGCTAGACTTGCACATTCAGTTCTCAATCCTGTATTGCAAGTTTTAGGCTAGTAATATTTACACTTTAAATGTAGGTTGACTGGAAGCCAGAGTTCTTAGTCTGCAGGTGCAAACACAAAATCCACAACCTAATTAGCACTAGCAATACACAGTTGTGTGCAACTACTGCATCATCCCTATAAAAATTGACACCAGAGATAGAAAAAAGAAGAGGGAGTAAAACTGCACAAATTTTTCAAAGCTGTTTCTCTGTTTATTGATCTTTCCATTTGGGCTGAGTTAAGACACTTACCAGATGCCTTTCTGGTTCCTCTCAAGGATGAGGGAACTGGCAACCCATCCTGTGGAGAAGAGGAGGCTGTGTGGAGACCTCATAGCAGCCTTCCAGTATCTGAAGGGGGCCTATAGGGATGCTGGGGAGGGACTCTTCATTAGGGACTGTAGTGACAGGACAAGGGGTAACGGATTAAAACTTAAACAGGGGAAGTTTAGATTGGATATAAGGAGGAAATTCTTTCCTATTAGGGTGTTGAGGCACTGGAATGGGTTCCCCAGGGAGGTTGTGAATGCTCCATCCCTGGCAGTGTTCAAGACCAGGTTGGGACGAGGCCTTGGGTGATATGGTTTGGTGTGAGGTATCCCTGCCCGTGGCAGGGGGGTTGGAACTTGATGACCTTAAGGTCCTTTCCAACCCTAACTATTCTATGATTCTAAGATCATACTGAATGAAACACAAGGTAAATGGAAGAACTGTTGATCTTCAATCCTCCCCTTCAAAATACTAAACCCCAAATGAGGTAAAGCCTGAATTAAAATCTTAGTTGACCATTACATTTTAAAATAAGCTCTTCAATCAGTTCAGAATATGAAAACAGAGGTAGCATCCAGGTAAGACAGATATGTCAAAAATGTTGCTTAGGCTGCTGTGCACTCATCTTTTAGCCAGCCACAAGGTACTGTCAGCTATATAATCTTTATCTGTTTCAGTACTCTGTATGAACAATTAGATGGGAGTTCTCTGAAAGAGCAGTTCCAACATCTCTCAAATTCCCATTCTCTGCTTTGAATCTTTAATAATTAAAGCCAGGCACACCTATCCACTAGAAGGGCCCACAAAAATCAAGACTGTAATAACAGGCAAGTCCTTGCTGTCCTCAAAATGCAAAGAGGTGCTTCATATACTTAATCCTACAATAAGATTTTAAACAAGAAAGTAACACAGTCAAGTATCTCTGCAGAGGCTGTCAGGGCAGCACTGCACTGTTAATGGGCTTAATGGATTCCAACTGTCTGCTACAAACACAGAAAGACACAGACCTAACCCGATGACAACAAATGCAACTGCTACTGTTCTGGTTGAACAAACTCCAATTTAACCTTTAAATGATAACTCCATCAATGGATAGCAGTAAGAAAAGCAAAAAGGAAACTATTTTATGTATAACTGTCTGAAAAGACAGTTAATGCTGTGGCTCCAGGACACCTTCAGTTCCAAAAAGATTACTGAAAAATCACTAAAATGACCTTGGAAATTGTCAACTCCAAAGAAAGAGGATTTTTTGATACAGAAAAATTGATAACATTATGCCACATCTGTGCAGAATGAGGACAAACTTAATCCCCTAATACAAGGGCTTTCTGAACCTTTACTTGCTTCCGAACTACTAGATAGAGTCTTTCACCTCACTTTTCTTTCTCAAAGACTCACTCGTTTATGTACTCCCCAAAAAAAAATTTGAAGAATGTGAAAAACTTACATACTTAAGCAGGAATGCACATACATTTATTTCCATTAAAGTTTATACCCCACTTCCACATAGTCAAAAGCCTGTAGTTCACAAAACACAGAGTGTGCATTCAGAGTGGTTCAGATAAGCACCAGAAGACCAAGTGATCGACCACCCCCTCTGCCCCCAATAGAAACACACCTTTTCTACCCAACCACTTTGCAGATACCTACCACTTCAGTGTCCTGAGATTACCACATCCAATGCTGGGAAATTCTTTACAGCCAGTGAAGGGGTGGAGGGAAAGCAAAGCCACTTTGAAGGTGGTTAACATTTACATACAATTAGGTGCAAGGGGAAGCCAACTCTGTGTAATCAGTGGCACACACTGACTGCTTTGAAATCAATCTGAATTCCTGTCATTATGTCTACAGACCCGGGATTCCAAAACACCCACAGAGACCTAGAAATACTCCTGTGCTTCTTATCTTGCATTTGTTTTATGGAAAAATAGTTTCTAAAAATGCTTTTAAATGGCTGGCATAAGGCAACTTTTCTAGACTTACAGGTTGATTCAGTGCAGATGAGCAAACTCCTGAAGCAACTGAAGGAATCTCAGCGCTCTTTCCCTCCTTATGGGCTGTAGTGAATATCCTGGATGCTGCAGAGGTCTCTTCAGAACCGCAAAAGGAAGAATCTGAAGCTACTTCATGGCAGCATTTGTATTTTTCAAAGGCTACTGGATTTTTTTCTTCTAGAATTAAAATAAGAGAGCAGAGCTGGAAAGTTCTTTTTGGTTTTGTTTTTTTGTATCTTCATCACATTTCAAAAGAACCAGAAAAAGGCTTCTTGTACTTGAACAGGCACCTGCACAGGAAACTCTAGGTAACTACTGCCCATAAATAATCCCTAAACAGAAGTCCAAATGGATTACCTAGGAGTTCCACCTCAGAATATTTATGCAAAACACTGCCAAGTGAGAGATTTCTACTACTGTATTACACCAAATTAATGAAAGTACAAAGCAAATGATGATTCATTGCTTGTAAATGCCACAAGTTCAACAAACATTGATATCACTTTATCAACACTCAAAACATACTAAGTGCTTATTATATTGTCTGTCTTTAGAATGCTAAAATTTATAGGTATCACTTCAAATCAATTTCTAGATGAACAATTTCTGATTTATGAAGGCTACCATTAACTACCAAGTAATTTCAGAGGCCTTTCAGACAGTGGCTATTTTAGCTATGTCCCCATAAATTCCCCTTTGGTTTGGTGGTTTTGATTTATTTTGACTGAACAGGCTCCAACTACAAAGCTGTAGCTATCCAGACCAAAACAATGAGATTTCAAGCCACAAGTACAGCATTACTTGTGCTTATTTATTCCAAGGCTGACATTTCTGCATTGGTAGGAGTTTCCACGATTCACATCAAGGATTTTTACATTAGCAAGTCTTGGCAGAAAGGTCTGAGTCCTAGCATAGAAAGGTTAAGTAATTCACTGATCCTTCTTTCTTTCCCCTGTAGTTACCTGAGCTGAGTGGAGTGCTGAAGCTCCTTGGTGCATGACTCACTCTGGGAGTTTTACAGTCTACATCCCTGTAGCAGCAATCTTGCTCATAGGGGATATTCGACAAATTGTGAATATCTGTCACTGATCTGAAGTATTGAAAGATGTTCTGACAGTTAGAATAGCTACTTTTACACTTATGAACCAGTAATTCTGCTATTTTTGGGTTCTTTAAATTTTATTTTTGCTCAGCATTATCTAGTTTGCCATAAGAAAGAGAGACATTCCTTTTCAAAACTTCCCATAGAATTCCTGGAAGGCTATAGATCACCACCTTCAATAATCTTGCAGAGACATAAAAGGTTATCATATTTGCTTTCCCTTCCTTTATAGGATTTCTTAATTTTAATAATTTTCCTACAGAAGCGAGCTCAGGAAACTGCCTCTAGAATGGGCAAGAACTCCAAATGTGAGCCACTAGGCAGAAAACTTATCCAAAGCCAATGGAAGACCTCAGAGTTTAATAAAAAATAACAATCCATTAAGACTAAACATAGGTCTTAGGAGCCTTTAGAGTAATTAACCAGATAAATTGAACCTGCTAAAGACATGCACAGTGATGTCCACCCAAGTTACAACAATTCTCCAGTGGCTGCAGGACCACATTATATTAAGGAAACTAACATCTTCTGCAGATATATGCTGGATTACATTGTCCTCAGAAAACCGTAAAATGAACAAATGTCTACTCTCACTGAATCAGTAATTTCTATGCAAATCCCCATTATCTGTAAAAAGAAACTAACTTTACTATTTAAGTCACAAGCATATTGTGCAATTTTTTTCCTGAAAATCTCAATCGTGACTTTTCAGTAATAAAATTTATTTAGCTACAGACTAAAAATTTGCTCTTTTTAGTAATTTTACTACTTGTCATACAGACAGAAGAAACAAGGAATCCTAACACCAATGTAAAGAAGCACACCCAGATTAACACTAATTACTTATGAATATGAAAATATTTCAAACTAAGGACAACTGGATGAGATAGCTCTTTTACACCAATCTCCCATCTTATCACATGAATATATTCTTTCAGTACTTCAGTGCACTTTCTCTCTCTCAGCTTTAGTCTGTTTCATCTTCCTGTTTGCACCAACCCAAAACTTTTACAGTGATAATGACCAACTTGCTGAAGTTTTGATAGAAAATGGTCTGTGGCTCTTACACATCCTTTTCTTGGCATTCTTCCTGTGTTATTTCTTGTGCTGCTTCAACACTGGAATAAGGGAAGAAAGGCCATATTCAGTGCATTTAGTTCTCTCGAAAAGTTGAGAGGACTACCTTTTATCTGAGGCAGACTGCAGCTCATAAAAATATTTTGCTTAAAACCTTGCAAGAAAAATGCCATTTTAAGCACATTAAGGAGAAAACTTTTAACTGACATACGCAGTATCAAAACAGGAAGTTAAATAAAAATCTATGACTATACATCACTATATTGTTTCATCATCCTTTGACTGGTCTGCATTGCAAACTATTCTCTCAAACTGTAACAAGTCCTTTCAAGGTCAGAGGCATTCAAAGGGGATTAGTCAGATGGCCAGAAAGCAACCGTCCTCTGTCCTGCTGGCAAATGCTCAATTCCTAAGTGAAGGGAGCAACCAAAACCATTACAATTTACCTTCAGGCCAAGTATTTACACACTTGCTGCCTACTTTTGACAAGGGTAACTCAGTTCCTCCAGTAGAGGAGAGAGAGCACAACACTGACAAGGCAGTAAAAGCTGCTCTCACTCCCCCACTTGGAATGAGTGAGCAGCAGCTAACTCTGGAGGAACACAAGCTCAGCTACAGTGAGGCTAGGGGTTTTGAAGAAGCCCAAAAGCCACTGCTGAAAGACCGTTAGGGCAAGAACTTTTCTACTTTAAACAGAAATACTCCTTGCAGCATGAGGTGGTGATTCTGGCCAACATCTCTGCATATTAATAGAACATAAAATGCACAAAAATACTGGATATAAACATCTCATGTCTGACAGATGAGACTGCAAGTCTCCGAGCATGGGCTAATGTTATCTGCAGGCAAGATACAGCAAGCATACTTGCGTTGGATTGTTCCCACAGTAGAGGAAAAGGCATGATCTTCATGCCACTTGAGCTCCATAAACGAAAGCACAACAAAATTAAAACAGATGACTGAAACCTTAATTTGAATTATCTCTGCTCTGTTTAAGACCGTAGCTTATCAGTGTGAAAGGAATTGCAATATATACATGACTTCTTTTTCCTATTTTAGCTTCCTCATTAAGCAAGCCACAACTGAGTATTACCGTAAAAGTCAAAGCCCCATGAGATCTGTGAAAGGCCTTTTAGTATTTTCTTGGCAAGGAACTATGATATGTAGATAATAATTAAAAAGCACCACTGGCATCTTATTTGAATATTATATATATTTATATATACAGAATTAATAAAGATAGCACACTTTATAACCTAATTTATGCTTGGAGTAACAATGAAAGTATATTTATCTACCTGGCTACAGGCATATGACTAAGTTGATTCACTCCTAGCATGCTACTGCCAAAATTCTGCGCCGCTGTGCTGCAGAGTAGTGTTTTTCCTCCTGAATACAAATGATAAATGTTCCCTGTTACTGGGTTTTGCAAGTACAAAAGAAAGCAATAACTCATTGAGCAGGAAATTGCAACTTTATTAAATTTTTTTTAGTTCTTATGACCTTTGTTGTTTTCAAGAGACAAATGTGTTTTAAAGACACATTTTCATAAACATACCACAGCTGTCAGACAGTCAACCACTGAAGCATTGGGGAATATCACAACACTTACAAATTTGAGCTAAGAGAGGCAACAGACTACTGAAACAATCATCCTTCCATTATTCTGCGCACAGAATGTTAGCTTTTACAGTTAAGCTCAAGATCCTTCTAGCAATAAGCATATTAACATGTAGATACAACTCTAGCTCAGTTTCCAGCAACATAGCAAGTTGCATAAAAAGATACAACATTGCCCTGGGGTAAAAATAAAAGGGTTGCGAACAAGTTCTTTTTTTTTTAACTGAAACACAGCAAGAACATAATCTTCACACTTGACAATATTTCAGTTACTGCAATGCCCAAACCTCATCTTCCAAAACTTTGAGCGTCCTGAACTCTCACTAAAATCATGAGGAATAAGAGCCCAAGCAACCCTGAAGAATCAAGCTCCAGCCTTCTGACAGGAGTGCTGCTGACAGAAAAAAAAACCAATCTACGTGCAACAAGACTCCATCTCACTGACTCAAAAGTGCCTTCAAAACAAAGTGCACATTTACCTGAATCCTGAATTCCTGATCCTGCATCTTCAGGTAACTGTTTCTGCAAAAGTCGGCCACAAGGATCTTCTAATTTGCCCTCAGCATCTGAGGTCTGAAGGGGGGGGGGGGGGGGAAGGCGGCAAACTCAATTTCTCACAGGCAAGCTGTAAAGGGTAGGACAACACTCACAGGATGATGTTCACAATAATCAGAATTGGAAAGAGAAACTTCTCAGGAGCTTATCAGCAAGCAGCATGGATTGGATTGAACAGACCATACAACAGTTTGGAAACTTAAGAAATGAATGAACACTGTTTGAAGACTACCGAGTACTGTACTTGTTAGATCTGTGAAATAGAGACTATCAACTGCCTAAAACTTTTCTCAGTGACAGGTTATTTAATTGCCTCATAAACAAATTATGAAAACATGTCCCTTATGTGTTTTGGGAGTCTGGGTGTTTGTGTGTGTTTGGTTTGGGGTTGTTTTTTTTGGTTTGGGGTTTTTTTTTTGGAGGGTGTTGAAGGAACAGGGCCAGAATTTTCTTACTTTTAAATAAATCTTTATTTATAGATATAATGTCAAAAGAAAAGAATAAAAACTATCTCTCATTTTCTACAGCTTTTCTTCAAATCAAAAGGGAGCATAATGAAACCACATGATGTGTAACCTGTGTCCAAAGTTCTTGCTGCAGACTTCATTCCTGTCTTTTCTGTTTTTTCTATCTCTAGCTCTGATCTTACCTGAGTAGTAGAAGGAAGGAAATAATCAGGAGTGAAGAATTCTTCAGACACATCAGAACATGAATTAAAGGAACTAGGTAATTCTCTTGAACGCCCCTGTGAAAGACATCATCATTTGAGATGCTTTCTCCACTCTCTACTAAAGAAACCACACACTTTAGTCAGTAATAATAAACAATACTGCATCAAATTGAAATTGCATTTAATTTGATCACTTTGAGTCTCAACCTACCTCCTGCTCCTTACATTACCTTGATGGTTTATAGAACCAAACAAAAAAGGGGGGAGGAGGGAAGATTGTAGGTCAGATTTTAACTGAAAAGATCAGCTCATGGCAGCTCAGTGCGCAACACGGAGACACCAGGCTAAACTGTTTTATAGGTAACTATTCGCACTGCTGTACATACTCTAGAGACATTCTCGATTTGTTGAGGAAGGACTGAATTCTTAAGAATGGCTATGCCAGACTCTGCTTTTTCATCTTGTGATGGTGATTGGGAACTTCTCCCTAGGATGTCAGAATGGAACAAAATTATTAGGCACAAAATAAATGAAGTGAGTGATCTGAACCACTGATGGAATACTAATGAGAGCAGACAGTAAAACTACATTGTCTGCCAGGAACATGGTGAAACAATGACATGTAAATACTTACATTGTTAATCTAGGCATCAGAAGCTTTCCCTGTTCCTTTATCTGTAACTATTACAAAAGTACTTATCCATTATGCTGCCACAGAAAAAAGCATCTCTCTAGTCTAACTGAAGGAGATAAAGTGTGAGAGCATACTTGTGGATTTGAAAGCTTTAGGTCTCCCAGCTCACTGGACATTACCTCCACCTATTAATGTGTGACACCCATCTTAGCCCATTATTTATGTTCACCAATGACTGACTTACAGACCTGGTTCTGGGGCAAGACTCTGGAAGACAAAATTGACAATTAGTGTAACAAAATAACAGAAAGTAAAATCTGCTGGGAGATGAAGAGAGACAAACAGGAGAAATTATTTTTCATTTTTCAACCCTACCTCCAGAACTTCTCAATGCAGATTCCATATCACTCTCCTCCGATTCAGATCTATTCTCTCTGCCCAAATCCTGAGGCTCAACGTTATCACCTGACTGCCACCTATATCTCTGTTGGTCTTGACTTTCTTTGACTCTAACAGTGACGTGTTGAAAGGCTTCATTTGTACTCTCTGCTTCACTTTCAGATGTACATTCACTGGCTGGATAAGGACAGCAAAATTCTAAGCTTCCTGAGGCTGCTCTTCTGGCCAATTGCTTTACTTCAGCTACAGAACAATGACAAAATTACCAGTTTGCACAACAGAATCTGGACCTTCAAGCATTCCCTGTGTTTCATCGTGTCTGCAGACTTGGAAATGCTGAAGTTATAGCCTGTAAACTCCTTCGTAAGGGAGAGAGCGCTAAAAACTTCTTTCAGTTTGAAAGAAAGCTTAAAACCTGCATACCTTGTTATGGGTCTTTACATGAACAATTTTTGGTAGTCTCCATTCTCTATTATTCATGCCTGTACTGCCATCCACTGGTCATGGCTATACTACCCCGTCTAAATTCATACAGTGTCCCTCCCTTATATCCTCCAAAACAGGAGCAAAAATTCCTTGTGCTTTATTATCAAACACTCTTAATGTGGTTGTGATTATTTTATGCCCTTAATGCGCAAGACACAGTATCCCACTCATTTGGTTTTCATCCAAGCACAGCCTAGTACAGCTTTAGCAATTAAGGCAGACAGACCTTTCTTAAGTAACAAAATCTGTTAAGTTTTAATGCACTGCAGTAAGACTTGCTAACATTAATGCCAAGCTAACACTGATTTACTTACTCCTCCATTCTGACTGCATCATCCTTCTCTCCTCACTCATTTTTGTACTGTAAATTTCAGACCTTGATTTTGGATAGCACCTATAATAATAAATCATCATGAAATGCATTAAACTCTGTTAATGCACAAGTGTGCTGTGTTAATTATTCCCCAGTCAGTAGAAGTCTAGAAGTTGGTTTAATGCTAATTAAAAGGCTGAGAGTACACAGGTTCTAAGAACCCAGCAGAACTAGCAGATTGAGCCATCAGAAGCTTAGAAATCACAGCCAGTTATTTAAGACAACCTGTACATTAAAATCTAGATTTCAAAAGCTGTCAATGGCCTTCGGATGATATATCTATATAAACACTAACAGAGAGCGAATGCTATGTAGATGTGTTTTATTCAGGTCAATATGGTGATCAGGGGACAACTGATGATACTCAGAACTTCAGACTTGTATATCAACAACCCTACCACCAACCTGATCCCAACCTAGATTTCCTTCACTTCAGCTAACCTCATATCTGGAATATTCATGTTCTAATCAAGTATATCCTTCAGTTGGTCTTACTGACCCAATAGGGTCATGAATCAACTTCAAAATTGCAATAGTTTTCCCAACTGATTTGACCCAAACATTGAAGGAGATGCCTGTCCCCCGCTTTCCAACTAATAAGATATATTAATTTGCACAAGTTTTGACAGGTACTTTTAATATGTACTTTCCACCTACACGTAGAAATACATAGAGGCAACATTAAAAAGCATGGCAAACAGAAAGAAGTAATGCACGCTCCGTTGTCACTGGATTTAACAAGACTGTTTTACTCCCACAGCCCCTAACATAGGTCCTAGTCCTATAGCTATGAAAACCAAAGTATTTCTACTGAGCATTGAATGAGGCTGTGCAGAACGAGGACAACCACCCCTACTAGTAACTTACTAATTGCTCTCCTTAGGCACTGTTGCAGTTTTGGACCACTGACCTCCATCAGAGAGGCATTTGGAATCTATCTGAACACCACTCTGACTGATGCAGCACCAGTCACCCTGTCAGTTCTGCAGCTGACAGTGACTCACAGTAGGGTCCTAACTGGACAGATGGATTTGCCTTACTGAAAACACATTCAATGCCATCCTTGATTCTGGAAGTGCCTACTTTGGACAGTGACTGTAATAAGATAAATCTGCTAAATTATTTTTTCTGTGAATATGATCAAAACTCACCACCTCTCTTCTTCACTTCCACTTGCTGCAGAATGTGAATCGCCTCCTCTCTGATACTGCAAATTGGACTTTGTTTTGCTTCTTACAGACAAATGTGGGAATAAATTCTGAAATGGGTCCAACAAGCCCTGATTCAGCACATGCCAGGCATTCTGGTAATTACAAGTTGAGCTGTCTATAAGATATACTAAGAATTGGACTGTCCAAATTTTATTCCCTAGGTTATATTTTAGTAGCACTGCTCATGACAAAGGATAACTCCAGGCCTCAGCCTAGAAAAAACTCCATTCTGGATTTATAGCAGGTTTCACATGTACACAGGCAGGCTATCATGGGGAATGAGCGGACCTAAATGACTCAGGATTATTCCCACAGCAGGTAAGTACATACATTTTTATCTTTCTCTCTGGGCTAAGCATAGCAGATACTTATATTTAACAACGAAAATGATCTAGAAGCCCTTATTAAGGACACCTTATGATCTCAATAATAAGAATGGAGATAAATGTAAATAAATTATATCCATAATTAAGTATACAAACAAAAATCTCTGCTTGCCCTTTTCCCCAACAGTCCCATCTCTATTTTAGAACAGGATTTTATCCCCTCCTGAGCCACTGGATTAGTATTTTGCTTGGGATGAGGGGTGGGGAGAAAAGAAATAATACTATTGCCCTGCTGACCTGACAATTTTCATTCCTACAATGCATATGGCATGTGCAATACTGTAAACAACAGATTCACCCCTCCTCTTTGACACCATCCATAACTATGTCTCTTTATCTGCTAAGGAATAAAGGACTGATGAAGACAATCACCCTACTCAACCCTTTACCTCGTGGTCCAGGCTCACTTGATCGTCCTGTATTTTCATCACAGTAAAGGTGGTATCATGATGGTTGTTTTCATTTTTACTCTTATTCACCTCATGAAAGCACTTCCACTTCTCATTCTGAATTGCCTCGATTGCTTTTGCTGTCTTTGAAACAGCTTGGAAAACACCTCCACCCAATGCTCCTTGGGCCTGACATGTTACTACTGGTGGAACATAGTTTCTTGATGGTGGACCTACAGCCTTCCATGAAAAGGTATTAACTCCAGAAAAAGGGTTATCAGTATTTTGGGAAGTACCATCAGATCTGTTAGAGTGTCCTTGAAAGTTTTGCTTAGAAAGCCGATTCATTCTGACTTCCTGGCGCATCTTGTTCTGGTTTTTAGTGGCCTCTGATTTGTCCAGTTTCTCCTCTAGCCTGCACAGGGAATCTGATATCTGCTGCACCATGCTTTGAGATATCTTTACACTAAGGACACATTTGCTGATGCGCTGCTCAGTTCTGGACAGATTACTCACCAGTCTGCCAGCATCTCTCACCTGTGCCAGTTCAGAGGCCTCACTCATGCTCTGCTGGGCTTCTGTAGAGTACTCTGTATCTGACTCCGAAAAGCTGTCTTCCTCATAAACTGGCTTTTCCTCACAGTGCACTCTAGGGGATGCAGACACGTCTTTGAAGCTAGCCTTCTCTTCTTCTTTGAAGGTAGCCTTATTTTCTTCCTTTTGCTGCCTTTTTTTGTCCTTTAGAGTTTGACTTAATCCAGCCCCTTCTTCCAGGAAGTCTTTGTGAAGTTCTGGGAAACTGGCAAAGATTTCATTGATTTCAAAACTACAGAGGCTGTCATCCACATCACTGACACTCATGGTCATCTCAAGCTCAGAAGCCACATCCTGATTTTCACTCTGTGTAACTGTCTGTAGACTGGTTGATGCCTCTTGGGGCACTAAAACACTTTTCTCCTCAGGAAAAAGAGAGTATATTGAGGAAGTAGAGCTGTCTGGGAAAAAAAAATACATTAGAAAAAATAAATGGAGAGAGATTTTAGATGTTAAGCCATTTCTCCAGATGTCCAAACACACTGTTTTTGTACAATCAGGAATTCATGTCTTTTGTAGATGACATGAACAGCATTTAACACCTCTGCTGAAAACATGCCTAAACTTCAAATATTAACCAGATTTAGTCTTGAGTTTACATTAAGGGTGGCAGCCAGAACACAAAACTAACTGCTTTCCATTTCCAAACTGTATCATAAAATCTGTAAGTGCTCAAATTTTAATTATTTATATAAGACCTTTATGGACTGAGGACCACGCTAAGTGAAGGACACACAACATCTTCTAAAAGAAACTCACCAGCCTTGGTTTTCTGTTTTCCCCCAAATTCCTGTGTTTTATTCTGGGTTCTTGCAGCTGATACCAAGCAGACGTTCACATCTGCAAAACCAGTGGGTCTCTGTGCTTTCGGCATTTCATCAGCATGACCAGTTTGAGACTTAAGTAAATCCTGTAACACAAAAAACAGAATAAAAGATAACTACATTCAACAGTTCAATGTCTCTACCTTCTCTTTGAAGGTGGCCTGCCTCCATAATCAGTAAAGGATTGTTTGGATTGTCTCCCACCTAGATTTAAGCAGAACAACTTGAATCTGAATGGATACAAAACTGCTGGTTTAAATACATGAAAGGCTAGAATCCTGGAAGTCACCTTTAAGTCGTTTTTCAGCATATATTGAATATCCTGAAGATTCATGGAGCGGTTCTTCTGTTTAGGTTCCAGCCCTGACTTTACAATATCGTAATAAGGCACAGGAAGTCTAACATCTGCTTCCAACTGCTGTCCTGAAATTATGAGCTGTTTAATAACTGAGTCTTTGCAACCCTTCCAGGGGAGGGTCTCTGCAAGACATAAATACAGACTTCATGTCAAAAGCTGCATATCGGTGCTCGTGAAAACAAAGAAAAAAGAAAAAAAGGTAAAAAGAATCAGATATTGAAGCATTATTATCTGCACATTCTCTAATTTACAGCTACTGTCTCACTAACATTTAGGGTTTTGGCTGAAGGGTTCCTTTTCCAGTTAACTCTGTATAAGCCATCACAGCAAGGTTTCATCCAGTCACACAGAGGAATTAAACAGACATTAGGGGCAGACAGTCTGCACTGAAAACATTTGGTGGCTTACCCAAGTGACAAAAGTCTAAACCTGCAGATATACCTGTCAAGGCCTCCTGCACTACTGCACAGAAGCTATAAATATCCGATTTGACTGTGACAACTTTTTCAAAGATTACTTCAGGAGAGCACCACTTATACAGCTGCACTGGGACAGGAATACGTGTCAGATCACTGTGTTCTCCACCATCTTTGCTGTATAAAGGGAAAAAAGTTGTAAATTGGGATGTACAACACAATCAACCAGAAGGTATATTGGAATTCTGGATTTTGGAATTCAAACACCCGAGTTTGTTGTATTTGCTTTTAGTTTAAATACCTAAAAGGTCCAGAGTGTATCCTCAAATAAAACATGTAGTATTTTCACATCAATAAAGTGTATTCTGGCACATTGCAGCAAAGACTTTCTGGTGAAAGTAACACCTGCTTTAACAAATTTACACTCAAAAAGACATTGGAGAAAGCCAAAAATTTCTCAATATGAATTTTACAAGCAACCCCTGAGCTCTGGCCAGTGTTGTCCGACTGCGGACAAAACATAAGAAGGTATCACCTGGCCTGACAATGCTTATTTTGCGATGTCTAGAAGGTAATTTCCTCCTCATATTTAACTACAAGGATTTTGTTATTTATTTCACAGCAAGTTGTATCTGAAATAGACAAGAAATGGACAAGCTTTATTAATAAAGTGAGCTCACAAGGAGATTAGGAAGTATCTTTGTTCCTTTCAGGGCATTACTACCAGCAAATTTTTGTTTATTATCAATTTTACTCTTTCTTTACAGTCTAACCAGCCACTTACTTCCTTTCTAATCAGACTGCACTACAAGAAAGAAGTAAAAACAATGTATATAAGTAATAATCTACCAAGATGAAATAGTGTCCCTCATAAAAGAAACTTTGTCACCAGTGGCATTTAATTACTACCAGTTCCATGAGGTGTGGAATCTTCAACCATTTAGGTAAGTCTCCAAAAACACAAGTTGAGGATAACAAAAGGACACTTAAATTATTTTTAGCCCAGCAGCAGAATTAATAACTCAAAATGGAATTACATCTCTGGTCTGTAAGATTAGATTCTATTTCTCTATGACGGTATTTTTATACTGCAGTAAAGAGCTGCTTCTCTTACTAGTTTCTGTTTTCAGATACAACACAGAAACTAAGTCCCCCTGAAGCCTGCTGTACTGCCTGTGGCAAAGGTAATGTACCTGAGCAGTTATAATTTACTCCAGTAACTCCATTGCCTAACCCAGAGGCAGGACTCCCTTGCCATCAAGGGGGGTACATCAGCAGAATTTCATACTCAATTTACTCATGTTTGTTCCTTCCACAGAAACAGTGAGGACACTCTTTACCTCTCTATCATGTATTCCAAGTTGCACAGCTTTGCCTCACCAGAAGAAACAATCTGAATAGCGTACGAGGTAACTGAACGGTGAATAAATCCACAGGAGTGTAGAAAACGCAAAGCATCGATAATTTGAAGCAGCACATGCAAAATTATCTCCATGTGCAGTACTGGGAATTCTGTATGCTGGAATAAAACCCAAAAGTACCAAATTAATATTGAAAATAAAACACAAACCGGTTGATTAGAAAAAAAGAAAAAAGCACAACTGAGTTCAAACCTTTGCTTTTATACACAGGCATTTTGCAATGTATTACACACAAATATTCAAGGGCAAAAGCTGGTTTTGCCACATTTGCAGTCTACAGTGACATGCAGAAAATTAAAAGCTCAGCCATGTTAAGACTGACACCAAACTAGAATACCAGTGCAACTGCACCTAAACACTAAGTGAACTATTTGCCAATTATAAATTTTACCAGGTTACAGAGTACCTGGTACTGTGCAAAGAAGCAGAAACCTGGATATGCAGACTGGCAATTTTGTCTTCTTATTCTTTGAGTAAAGTTGGCAGATGTAGTTACTAAACTTCTTCCTCTCAATTAACTACTGTTTAAAAAATAAGTTTTCCAATTACCCTTTCATGAAGGATACTGTACAGAGTACCAAAGTTAACTCTTTCATATACCAAACGGGTTTTCTCCAAGTCACTAGACAGACACACAGCCATCAACTGTAGCAAATGAGGATGTCTGAGTTTACTGCAAAGAGAGAGGTGGGGGGGGGGGAGTAAGGCAAATCTGAGATTAAAAAAGTCCTGGCTTTCTAGATGTTTTTAATCAATACAACATGAATGTTTCTAACTTTTCATGGAAATACACCAAGTTTTAAAAGAACCATAGATTAGGAAGCATTTAGGAAACAGTGCTTATTGTCACAATTAGAAGAATCTATAAATAAGCTATCCAAGCAAAGTGCAATAAAGCATTCATCCAGACATATGAGAAGAGAGTATCATCATCCTCTGTATTATCCACTGGGGAGCAAATGGAATGGAAATAGGCAGGAGAAGAAAGAGACCTGTATTTCTCATTTGGAGAGCAAGGACAACCACAGTCCTCCCGAGGTTAATCACATTTCCTCACATCCCTGGAGACACCCAAACCCCAGGAGCCCTTGTGGCTACTGCACATTCTCTCTTACCTGCTGTGTTCCTGCTCTGCAACAAGAAGATCGGCGAAGCGCAGTTTACTGCAGCTCTGATGGGGCTCTAAGCCAAGTTCCTTCACTGTAACTCTGCTGCCTCCCCACATTAAGCTACAAGAAAAGGAATTTCTACGAGATGTTTTCTGCAGTATTTTCTCCCAGTTACAGGGTTACTTACAAATAATTCTGAAATGCTTTGGTTCTGCCTCCTTTTGTTAGTAACATTACTCTGACAACACCAGCTATGGCATATCCTTTTTCAAACTGACAATAAAGTCTCATCCAGTTAAGGACTGGATGTAACAGGCCAGGTTTGCTGTCCAAAGACGCTACCCTTCCATGACTCAAGGTAAAGAACAAGGTCACTTTAAAACTTCCCCCTCTAAAGGCCATCAGGCTACTGTGATACAAGCCAGAGCTTTGGGAAGCTTAAATCACCAATTTATCAGTTCTCTGGATGCCTCTGAGGCACAACTATTTGCTACACAATACAAAAGATTAAAACCCAAGAAGATTCAGTCTGAACTTTCAACTCGCATTTCACCACAGGTTTGAGCAAGTACGCTGAAGACATGCATATGCAGAAGCCCAAGGTTTGAGCCAACAATTACAAGGACTCAACACTGTGCAACCGCAGCAACTCATTTCCCATCACAAAAGGAATCAGTACTGAAACACCGCTATCAGTGAGTAATGATAATTGGGTTAATATGGCTGGAAAGGACCAGAGCAACCTACCCATGTTGAGGGAGTCTAAAGAAAATATCGGTCTGTGCACTGCAAAAAACAAGTTGCAAACAGAAAGCAGTAGATGAATACAGAACAGACCAGGAAAACTCTCCAAACAAAGCCTGTGCTACAACTTGCTGCTTAATAGATATAGATACACACTAAGAAGGGCTAAAATCTCTTTGATTCCACTTACTTTGTCATGACCATGTATGGACCAACATGGTAAGAGAATGCTGGTTCATCATCTGCCTGAACCAGGTCTTTTTCCCCAATAATAAGGAGAGATGCCAAGTACTCAAGATGCCCGTTACCTGCAAGATAAAACTGAAACACCACCAGACCATAACTAAAAGGAACTTCCCAAGATCCACCACATGTGCCACAAGCTCACTAAAAACCAAGTGCAACCAGTACAATGGGAGCATCAGCCAAAGCATCAAAATGGAATGTTACAGTATCTATACCAAAAGCCTAACTTTCTAACGAAGCTGAAATAAGGAAAGCAGAAACAGTTGTTAAGAACTCCCACAGGTGACATTTAAACAGGAGAGGGTTTTTTTTGCCTGTTCTGAAACAGCTTCCTCTGATACTAATGACTAACAGACTCAATATCTGCACTCTCCACAGGTTTTCCCCACCGTTTCAGTAAAAATAAGAACTCACTAAAAATTTAAAATAACATGGGTGGGGTAATTACTGTGAAGAATATGTGACTGTGAAAAACTGCATTAATATCATTAGAAAACCACTACCCAGAGCATCTTACCTTCCCAAATCCAAAGCTGTAAACGTTCTTGGCTGCATTAGCTCCACCTTTTAGAAATCTGCCCAGAGGACTGACAACACTTCTACGTATTGAAAAAAATAAGCAAAAAGAGTAACTGATACGCCAAGGCTTTGAGGAAAATACAAGAGAAAAAAGCAGAAATTCTTCAACAGCCATGTATTTCAAATGGTTCATTTGAGTAGTCCACACAAAAAGTGTGATGCAGATGCTGAAATTCTAAATTACTGTGCAAATCATTAAAATTTTGTAGGTATACTGTTATGATATGTATTTGTTTAAAGCAAGACAGACTAATACACATGTAGGAATCTTGGATGGCTTTTTGTTCACAAATATGTATTTTTCCTATAACGTATATGACATAAAAGCTCTTGAAAAGGTTGGCAGCACACACCCAAAGACCTAAAAAGGTCAAGACACAAACTACTTCCTGTTACCTTCATTTTAATAATACTAAAGTCCAGTATTGCTGACTTCAAGAGTATCCCTTAATGTACAGATATTTACAATTATCAAGTTTCTATTTGGAACTCTCACAACAGAAATAAAAAGGACCATCATTCCTTACACACACTGGTTTTAATTGGATATTGTCAAAAAGAAACAAGAACATATTCATTTTAACATCACAGAATATGGAAGTAAGAGTCCTTGTAGCTTAGTCCCTCAGTACTGAAGAATATGTTCTTACCCTTGCACAAGGCTACCTAACCGAGATGGACTGTAGGCCAGGGCTTTTGAGGAGCCAACCTTCCTGAGTAGATCAGGGGGAAAATTTTGAATGGCAGCCTGCATGTGCCATGTGCAACGCTGTATAAATTTCAGCATCTAGAGAGGAGAGGGAGGGAAAAACAACAACATGAAATTACTTCAGAACTGCAAGATAAACAATTTCAAATTAATAGATTGTGACTGCTGAAAAATTAACTGGTTAGTGGCAGTATTGTAAATAGGCCTTTCAAGAAATGGACAGACAGAAAAACTTGAAGAAAATCAATTACATGACAATGTAAGAGAAAGCTTACTTTAGTACTAAACGATTAACTTTCATGACATCCACCTACTGAAAATTGTAATATAAGGTTTCTTTTTAAGAGGAGTCTTGTGAGTTTTAATTCAACATCACACTTTGCAAAACTGACACATTTGCTGACACTGTTCATGCACAGTCTCAGACACACTTGAAAATTATTTAAGGTTTACTCCTGAACTGCACATACATGCCAACAAACTACATATATCAGAGGTACAAAACAAGAGCCTGTCATTCTCCTCACTGCACACTTATACATAAAGGTTCTAACAAGTTACGGGCAGACATGCTCCTACACCTGAGCAAAACTTTAGTTAAAACTGAATCACGAGGACGTCAAAATACCATTACTGATGTAGAAAAGTAATTTTAAATATTTAATTATCTAACATGTAAAGGTCAAGAATTGCTTCATAAAATGCTGGAGTTTCTTCACTTTAAGATAAAGATGTGAGCACATATCTAGCACATATTCAAAACATATTACACACACATACCTGAGCACTGGTTTCTTTATCAGCTGACATAGCCCAGCACTGAGGTTTTTTCCCATTCTTATCATGCACCCTCAAATCACCTCCTTCATCCAATAACCTGCTAAGAATCCACTGATTTCCTGAGAATGCAGCTGCATGGACTGGAGTGCTTCCATCGTAACAGCGACTGGGGAACATTAAAGTAGAAATGTTTCAAGCTACCTCTCCTACACTCAGCCAGTTGTGCTTCTTGGGAAAACAGCTGCATGCCTGGAATGTTTCTATACTCCCAAACAATAAGATACACTATGAAACGAGGAAAATTATGCACCTACATACCTCTAAGGATCTTCGGCTAACACAGAAACATGCATCTTAAGCAATTCTTCATTTATATACAATAAATATTGTTTATTACATTACTAAACCCACTAAAAGATTAATTTAAATTTAAGGAAAAAAAAATATACTTAACTGATTAGCATCAGAGCCATAATCCAGCAGTATATCCACTATTTTACCAAGACCCAGCAATGCAGCAGTGAAGAGAGAAGTCTGGCCCATGGAATTTACAGCATCAACAAAAACACCTACAAGGAAACAAAACATTAGGAGGTAAGTGCTTATGTTCTGCCCCCCAACCCAAAATAAAGGAAATGTTTCATTAACACTGACACTAATGGCCATATTCCATCTGAAATACTGAAAACGTGAAAACATTAATGGCACATTCAATGCCAGGCTGGTTGTGGCTCTGAGCAACCTGATCTAAGTGAAGGCATCCCTGCTCATTGCAGGGCGTTTGGACGGATGTTCTCTGTAACGGTCTATACATACCAAGCATTGCTCCTCCAATGTTTTCAAATACTGAATGTATAAATAGCAGAGACACTGTATTAACGGGGATAAGCAAAGACAACACTGAAGGACTGTAATAATAAAATGATAAATCCTTCTAAGGCAGTAACTGAGAGATGGATGAATATTTTGTTACTTTGACCAACTTTCTTCAAATTACCAAGCTCCACTCCACATTAAAACAGAATACAAAGTAACCAGATGGATACGGATCGGAAACCACAACCGCACAGCGAGCTCACTCTAAACCACTCACAAAGCCACTCCATCACCTACTTTTTGAACCGTGATTAAAGAAAGGCCACAAACCACTCAGCCCGTGCTCTCTCCCTCCCGACACCACAAGGGGCGGGAACGGTCATCGATGGCGGGAGGCTCCTGCACAAGCAGCGCCGCCCGCCCGCCTCGCGCTCAGGAGACAGCACCTCGCTCCTCCTCGTGGCTTGTGACGCCGTTCAGGTGCGATCACTCTCCTCTAGTGACCAACTACAGAAATGATCCCTGAAAGTATAGTCTTAACTTCATGCCCCCTGCGCGCACAGCCCCACCGCCGCGCACCGCCCTCTAGCACATGGACACCCGACACCGACCGACCAGCCGCGGGAACCGGCACCGACCCGCCGAGCCTGCCTCCGGGGAACCGAGTCCAGCGAGCCCCCCGGGACCCCCGGCACTGCCGCGCTTGGCGGGAATCGGGCCCCGGTTCCTAATTTCCATCCTCTACCTGAGACGACCAATCAGACGCGCCGCTCCGCCTTCGCTCCCGCACACGTGACATGCCCCTTGCGGCCTCCCGCGACAAGCGCTCCGTTCCCGGCACACACAGAGGTGTAGGTCCGCAGACACCGGGCTCCGCGCTGGGGGTACACCCGCCCGAGCTGCTGCCGTTTTCATTACACCATCCAAGAGACGACACCGCTTCGGTTCGGGGTCCACTGCCCAGTACCGCTGTAGGAGCAGAGGCCCAGGCACTAAGACCAGGCAACACTGAACATCTCTTGCATGGCGCTCTGAAGGGATTGTGCTGGCTTCCGGCATCTACCGTGGCCCAGCACCTTCAGGCATGCTCTCGTGCACCAGCTACAACAACTCCACAGAACACAGCCTTAAACACGATCTTTGACATCCCCCAGATCGAACCGAGCACAAGGACTCCCACACAGGAGCTAATGGTGTTATCACCGGGTAGTTCTCAACCCTAGACCCCAGCAGACACTCTGTGCCCCTGGGTCCAACCTGACCTGCCCCACCTTCCATGGCACTGCATTGTATAAAGGGCACAAAATCAAGCAATCTCTCCCAAACCTCCATCAGACTCTGATCAAATGCTCCAGGTCTGGCCTGAGTGACAGAAGCTCCCAGGAAAGGCGAATCCCAGTCTGCCCCCAGCCTCTCGTCACTCTCTGACAAACACTCAACACTAACCACCGACTCACCCTGCCCTACACCATAGATGGCTCAAGAACACCATCGCCTGCCTTGCACACACAGGTGCTAGCAAACTTTCAAAGTGTTTCTTTTCACTGAACAATCACACCGGATTTAAAGCCTAAATCCGTCTGCCCACTTCCCCCCTCCCCGGCACTGCCTTTGGAAGGTCCCCAATGCCACCGCTATAGAATACCCAAGGAGAGGCTGGGGACGTAGATGGCAGCCGAGAACCTCTGGGAATGCGTTGGATCGCATGTAACTGCCCGGGCAAGAAGCATTCCCCGCTGCCGCATCATCTGCTTTTAGAACTGCGATTAAACAACGGCCAGAAACCACTCAGCCCGGGCTCTCTCCCTCCCGACACCACAAGGGGCGGGAACGGTCATCGATGGCGGGAGGCTCCTGCACAAGCAGCGCCGCCCGCCCGCCTCGCGCTCAGGAGACAGCACCTCGCTCCTCCTCGTGGTTTGTGACGCCGTTCAGGTGCGATCACTCTCCTCTAGTGACCAACTACAGAAATGATCCCTGAAAGTATAGTCTTAACTTCATCCCCCCTGCGCGCACAGCCCCACCGCCGCGCACCGCCCTCTAGCACATGGACACCCGACACCGACCGACCAGCCGCGGGAACCGGCACCGACCCGCCGAGCCCTGCCTCCGGGGAACCGAGTCCGGCGAGCCCCCCCGGGCCCGCCCCGGGCCCCCCGGCACTGCCGCGCTTGGCGGGAATCGGGCCCCGGTTCCTCATTTGCATCGTCTGGCTGAGACGACCAACCAGAGGCGCGCGCTCAGTCGCACCCCTCTCCCGGCGGTCTCAGGACTCCGCCCCAAGGCTCGGTGTCGCCCTTCAGCGGGCTCGGACAGCGCTTCGGTCGGCGCAGGGGGTTCCCCTTGAAGGAGCCGCACAAGCCGTTCTCTGCGCGCCGTTCCCGCAGTCAGCGGGGCGAGGTCCGCGGCGCAGAGATACGAGTGATGCAACGTCAACGGCAAGCATACACCTCCGAGCGGGCTGGGGCGGCCCCCGCACCCCTCTGCGCCGCGCTGCTCCTGTGCAAGAGCGTGCACGGTCCCTCTCTCATGCCAAGGAACGACATCTGCGGCTCAAAACCCAGCCTTCAGGAACAGTCAAGTGACGGGAAGAGAGAGGAGTCACCCTGGCCCAGAGCCTCTCGACAGCACTAGGCCACCTTCGCAGCACCCCTACTGTTCAGGCAGCTAACTGCTGCTGCAGCAGCAGCAGGAAGAGTATTCTCGTTGGAGGGCACTATTTCCACCGCACCATAATTCCCACTACTATTTCTCATTCACCTGTTTTTAGAACTCCGACAAAAAAAAACACCACAAACCACTCAGCCCGTGCTCTCTCCCTCCCGACACCACAAGGGGCGGGAACGGTCATCGATGGCGGGAGGCTCCTGCACAAGCAGCGCCGCCCGCCCGCCTCGCGCTCAGGAGACAGCACCTCGCTCCTCCTCGTGGTTTGTGACGCCGTTCAGGTGCGATCACTCTCCTCTAGTGACCAACTACAGAAATGATCCCTGAAAGTATAGTCTTAACTTCCTCGCCCTGACGCGCAGAGCCCCACCGCCGCGCACCGCCCTCTAGGACATGGACACCCGACACCGACCGACCACCCGCGGGAACTGGCACCGACCCGCCGAGCCTCACCACCGCGGACCGTGTCCCGCGACTCCCGGGACCCCCGGCACTGCCGCGAGTGGCGGAAATCAGGCCCCGGTTCCTCATTTGCATCGTCTGCCTGAGACGACCAATCAGACGCGCGCTCTTAGCCAGGGGCGTCTACGGCCCCGCCCCGGGCTGCGCAGCTCAAGGGGAGCCGAGTACACACTATGACAGATGATCCCGGTTTCTCCCTAGTCTCCTCACTCTCTGATGAACATATGGGTCACATCAGCCTCATGCACCACTGCAGGCTTGGGGAAGAGTGGCTGGTAAAATGTCCGGCATAAAAGGGCTTGGGGGTATTGGCTGACAGCTGAATAGGAACAGCAGCGTGCGCACGTGGCCAAGCAGGTCAAGAGCATCCTGGATTGTATCAGGAACAGTGTGGACAGCAGGACTTGGGAGAGATCACCCTCCTCTGCTCAGCACGAGCGACGCTACAACTCGAAAACCGTGTTCAGGTTTGGGCCCTCACCACAAGAAAGCGAGGTGTTGGAGCGTGTGCAGAGAAGACCAGCAAACTTGCGAGCGCGTTAACTCTCAGGGAACAGCCCGGGCAGGAAGCACTCCCCGCTTCCTCATCATCTGCTTTTAGAACCGTAATTAAAGAGGCCCACAAACCACTCAGCCCGTGCTCTCTCCCTCCCGACACCACAAGGGGCGGGAACGGTCATCGATGGCGGGAGGCTCCTGCACAAGCAGCGCCGCCCGCCCGCCTCGCGCTCAGGAGACAGCACCTCGCTCCTCCTCGTGGTTTGTGACGCCGTTCAGGTGCGATCACTCTCCTCTAGTGACCAACTACAGAAATGATCCCTGAAAGTATAGTCTTAACTTCATCCCCCCTGCGCGCACAGCCCCACCGCCGCGCACTGCCCTCTAGCACATGGACACCCGACACCGACCGACCAGCCGCGGGAACCGGCACCGACCCGCCGAGCCCTGCCTCCGGGGAACCGAGTCCGGCGAGCCCCCCCGGGCCCGCCCCGGGACTCCCGGCACTGCCGCGCTTGGCGGGAATCGGGCCCCGGTTCCTCATTTGCATCGTCTGGCTGAGACGACCAATCAGAGGCGCGCTGTCAGTCACGCAGGCGCGGCCTCCAGGTGCGCAGCCGCACGGCGCGGAGGGAATCGCGTGCAGTGGGTGCTGCGGCAGGGGTCCCGCTCCCAGCGCATTTTCCCGCGGTATCGGCAGCTGCGGCCGTGGGGCAGCGAAAACCGGACTGATCTGCAGCGTTTACACAAGGCCCTGCTCCCACGAAGTTAAAAATCCATATGTCAAAAATCCCAACGTCTGAACCACACCTGAAGCATTCTTCTATCAGAATTAAAGTCCTATTTAATGAGACTATTCCTAAAGTTGACTCTTTAAGAGTTCTAGTTTTATAAAACAGAGCCAATTTCTTTACGAGCACCTTACAACTAAAAGCTTAATTTTCTTCCCAAGTTATTTTCATACTTATTTACATATTGTAAAAAACACGTTTTAAATCTGTATTTAAATAGATTTACAATTTTAATTCAGTAATTAGTGCCAGTTTCCCCAAAAGGCCAACTATATATCATTATGTAAATAAATTCCATCCAGAAAACTGCACTGTACAGCATGCTATTTTTCACCCCAAATCTACTCATACAGCACAAAGTAAAACTCTTCTGCCAGTGCTTGTCTAAACTTCACTTTTACCTTGTTTCAGCAGCTTCTTTACTCTCACAGAGTTTCCTTGCCTGACACACTCATGCAGCTGAGCTTCCAGGGAGTCACCTATGATGCTGCCAAGCTGGGTAGGGCAGGGCATGGTCAGACGGACAGTGTGAGCCATATTCTTTCCTCAACAGAACTAGGAAAGAGTATGAAAATTAATGAAGCTGCAAGGTGCCATAGCTCAAAAATATATATTTTATTTTTTTTTATCCCAAACCCTTCAGGTCTTCACTGAGAGGGTGGTCAGACATTGGAACAGGATTGCTAGGGCAGTGGTGGAATTACCATTCTGGAAGTGCACATTCCCTGTTCCATTCCCTGGAAGCCATATAAACGAGGCCCTTATTAACACGTTTTAGGGTGGACCTGGCAGTCCTGGGGTAATGGTTGGACTTCCTGACCTGCAAGGTCTTTTCCAACCCAGCTGATTCTATGATTCTAGGAGTTGACAAAGTCAGTTCCGGCTGTTTCCTCCAGACAAATCCCAAGATAAACGGTGAAAGCACCTCCCCTCCCCTCCCTTACCCTCTGAGGCAAGGCCTGTCCGTGATGCTGATGAAGGGCTACTTGTGGCACCAGTCTGGCCATGGGGAAACGCGGCCCTAAGGAGGAAAAGGGAGAGGTGAGAACCAGGGTGCGGCAAACACCGCTGAAGCCTGACAGGTGTGTCATCCTCTGGCACGACAAAGCCAGCACCGTTCCCTGATCGGGTCACACCCCGGAGCCTTTTGGCTGCTTCAGCCCCTTCTAACGGCCCAAGTCCGGCCCCATCCCGCCTCACCGCCTCCTCCCCGACGGTCGCAGCACGCGCTCACAGCCTCACGCACCGCACATGCGCAGAGGCCACCGCCGCCTCCACCTCCCTTCCCGCCGCCGGTGGTGGGCGGGGCCCGTCGGGCCGGTGGGCGGGGCTGTGGTGGCCTAGCGGGGCCGCGCCATGCAGCGCGATGTGGGGAGCCTTCCGCTGGCGCCTGCGGTGCGCACTCGGCTCGTCAGCGCCGGCTTCCAGACGGTGCAGGAGCTGCTGGAGACCGGCCCCTGCGGGCTGAGCAAAGGTACCGGCGGGTCGGCGGGAGGGAGCGAGCGGCTCCGCCGCCGCTTCCCGCCCTTCCTCTGCGAGGTCTCCCGCAGCCCTTCCCTTTCCGCTGTAGCTGACTGGCGCGGGTGGGGTGTCGGCAGGTTTAACCTTACCGGAGGGTACCCCATCCCAGGCAGTGCTCAAGGCCAGGTTGGACAGGGCTTGGAGCAAGCTGCTCTAGTGGAAGGTGTCCCTGCCCGTATCGGGGTTTGGGACTGGATGAGCTTTAGGGTCCATTCCAACCGAAACCATTCTATGATCCTATGTGTTTAGTGTACACCGAGCAGCTCAGGCAGGTGAGGGGCTTGATCCATACGGAAGGGCCGTGGCTCGGCTCTGGGAAGCTCCCCTGCGCAGCCTGAGACCCCAGTGAGCCTGGGCGAATGGACAGAGTTAAACCTTTCCCGGATTTCAGGTTTGCCTGAGCAGAGAAACAGACAAAACCCGATGATTCTGATAAAAGATTATTCTTGCAGTGAGTGATGGGTGTCAATGGGATGCAGAAAAGGGAAAAAACAAAGGATTCTCTCTCATTCCTTTTCTTTCCCCATCTGTATGTTCTTTAAAGTAAACTTCCCTGCAGTAAGAAAGTCACCTTTGTCAAGTTAAAATAAGATTTCTTTCTAAGAAACATTTAATGATAGTTTTATTATCTGTAATAAGATGTAATAGTTTTGCCTTGAAGATCAAAGTGAAGTAGCTAGAGTCCGACATATATGTGCGTAAAGGCAGACACGCAGAGGTGTTTGCTGGTGTCTCATCTTTGTTACTGGGTATGTGTTTCAAATCTAGAGGTGACACATCAGGTATACAGCCCTGGAATACCCCAAGAATTCGGAGCACGATCAGTAGCTGTCCTTGTCACTTACCAGTCTGCAGCCTGACTTCTTTTCCAGGACTTTATTTGCTTGAAATTAAATGAATATGATGGGACATTCCGTGCAGAATAGGTGAATTGCTCTGTCAGATCTCATTCATGTAGTGAACGGCAGTTTTGATTATTTTTTCTATTTGCAGACAGCTTACTGGCACCTGAATTCTGAACACAGGGCATCACTGCTGAGCTCTTCTGAAAATCATATAATTAGTTCCAGAGATGTTGGCAAGCTGTATGCATCGTTGTACTAAAAGGATTAATATTTTGTGTTACACTGCAGAACGTTCAGTTTCTGTCAAACAAGTTGAATTATCTCTTTGTACTTTCAATAAATCACTATTTATAAAAATAAGGTAGCGTTTCATGCTTTTGACTTTTCTAGAAACTGGAATCTCCAAGGAAGAAGCCCTAGAAGTGTTACAGGTTGTGAGGCAGGAATGTCATGGGGATGCAGCAAGGACCGCTGCAAGATCAGGTGCCTCCCGAAAATGCACCGCCCTGGAACTTCTGGAACAAGAGCAAGCCCAGGGCTTCATCATCACCTTTTGTTCAGCCCTAGACAATATTCTAGGAGGTGGTGTGCAGCTAACCAAAATCACCGAGGTCTGTGGAGCACCTGGTGTTGGGAAAACACAGCTATGGTATTTCATTTTTAGATTACTTTTGCGTTTCTTTGAGGAGAGATTATCTTTCTTGTTGTCAATCTCTGATTCTTCTACAGCATTATAAATAAAATCATGATAATGGCTGCAGTGCTTCCTGCTCCATGTATTCCTCAGCAGAAATGTCACTTCAGGAGTTGGGAGGGGAGAGCTTTGTGACGTGGATATTTATCTGGTTTTTCTGTTTTCCCTGGCAGTATGCAGTTGGCGGTAGACGTACAGATCCCAGAATGCTTTGGAGGTGTAGCTGGAGAAGCCGTGTTCATTGATACCGAAGGAAGTTTTATAGTAGACAGAGTAGTGGATATTGCAGCTGCCTGTGTGCAGCATTGCCACCTTATTGCTGAAGCTCATCAAGAAGAAGGTACGTTGCCAAGTCATTTCTTTCTGCCTCGTAGACTGGGGGATCAGAGTGAGATGAGTGACTCCTGGGCTGCAGTTCTACCATTTCAGAAGTAGTGTTGGCTCCAGAAGTTCTTGCTGCCAGTCTTTAATTTCTACCTGAAATAAAACATCATACCCTGAACAGCGTCAGCATGTGGAGCCCATGCTGCAAACTGAGCTGATCCACTTTAAGCATAATTCTTCTATGTGACAGTTTGGAGGGGGTTTTGCCCCTCTTTTTCTTTTTTAGCACTTGAATGAATGAATTCACAGCAAAACACAATTCTGTCAGCAGAACTTGAGGGATAATATGGGACAGGAAGAACAGCTGGGGAAAGGGAAGAGGAACAATAGAGGCAGTGTTGCTGCTGAAGCCCCATACTGTAAAACTCTAGTTGGAGTTCACCTCCTTCATGAGGTCAGTATAGCCAAGATGCATTCAATGAAGAGTAGTTCTAGAATTCTAGAACTCATCAGTGTGTTGGGGATACTGACACAACTTTTGTGTTACTCTTAAGAGTATTTTATGCAGCAAACTTCTGTTTGAACTGAATGGACACCATATTAAATGAGCTACTACCTGTACATGAAGCAACAGATGATTAATAGTCAGTGTTGTCCTCTGGTGGTGATCTGGCTTGAAAATGATTTACTGGAAAAGTTCTATTTTCAGAAGTAGATTTTTCATTTTTGGAGCACTCCCTTGGAGGCTCTGGTGTATCTGTGTGCGAATGCTGAGATAGCATCTGCTCACCACTTTCTTGACTTTCAAGCCAGATGGAAGGTATGTTTCCCACACTCTGTACCTCAACTGTTTCTGTTTCAGGGGGTTCTGCTGTTGCTATATGTGGAGGGCATTGTTCGGTAGAATGATGAAAGCAGCAATATGCTATTACAGACTTCTGGCTCATTTACTCATCTGTTTATCTGTTCTCAGATCATCTAAAAGCTTTGGAGACTTTCTCTGTTGAAAGTATCCTTTCTCACATATATTACTTCCGTTGCCGTGACTACATAGAGCTTCTTGCACAGGTCTACCTCCTCCCAGACTTTCTTTCGGAGCACTCAAAGGTAAGGATTATTGCAGATTTAGGGGAAGATACCACTCGTCTTCACACTAAGGATTTTCAAGGTTGCTCAGCTGTTATAGTAAGAGTAACATGAGTAACGCCTGGGTACCTTGTCAGCTTGGCAGTAATGTATTGGCTGATGGTGGAGTACAAATGTAAGCTTGGCTGCTTGTTTGCTTTGTCATTCCCATCCCAATTACTCTTGAAAGCAATTTGCTTTTGCTACCACTGCTGCCATCTTTCTGAATCTCCTTTTTGAAGTGAAGATACTGGACCTATGTTGCCACATGTTTTGTTTCTATAAGCACCGAGTTCTGAATCGTTATAAAACTGCTTTACAGAAGAATCTCTGACCCAGGTGTATGTGTGATGACCATGATGCAGGGGGATCAGAAAGGCTTAGTGCCACTCACTTCTGTCGTAGAAGATCACTGAGGACCAGAGGCATTCTGTACCATCCTGACATACACAAAGGGACTTCTTCTTTCCCACACTTCTGTTGCTACAAGCAGCCAGAGCCTGCAGCTGGACTCTTGGGTGAACTACAGCCAAAAAGTTTCCTAGTTCCTAGCGTTTTAGTGAAATGCTATTGTAGGGCAGATTTTCAGCACCTCTTTTCCAGATTTTTAGGTTCTAACAGCATTTGGGAAAGATGAAGTGTACCCCATTCTAATGGAGCACAAATCAGTGTTGTTTAGTTAGATTGTCTTTTGTATGTAATTTCAGTTTTTGGAACCTGTTATCTTCTTGAAAGCACAGATGGGAGTCTTTCTTTTGCTTAGTGTAGTCTGGTATTTCCCTTTCTCTGCCAGGTACTAACGGTGCCCTGTTATGTTTGCTCTTGTGGAAAGTACAGTTGCATTAGCACAGTTGCATTGGGCTGCAGTTCTCTGGTACCATCTGTGCTGATTATCTGTGCTTGGCCTAGAGCCTGAAATACTACTGAAGGTTGCAGGAGAGCCATAAGACCTTCTGATGATTCCTTGGATAGGATATAAGCGACTTGACAGATTGCTCATTGCAGTCCAGCTCTCATTAAAATTAGTCTGATCCCAGTGTGCAGACCTGGAGCTGAGACTGGGACCACAGAAACCTACAGATTTTAGGTATTTTTTTTTGAGAGACCTAGTTGTAGAGTGTCATTTGGAAACAGGAATTAGTTTGAGATCTTGTTAAGAATATGAGAGAGGCCAATAATATGAAAAAGGCTATGTTAGAAAATATTCTTGTCATAATAAATCTAGTTCTTTAAGGTCTAGTAGAGACACACTGGCATGGGGAAGGCATTTGTTACCAAGCTTTCTCTATACAGCCTATGTTAGAATACTTTACGTCTACTTGTTATTTTATAGGAAGTACCACTGCAAGAAAATAAACTAATCTGCATCCTACCCGGACATATTAATCTGATAGGCAAGTTATATGTATGTATATGTTCCATTCTAGCACAAGTAATTTTTTTCATTTGGAGGTTCAGGGCCATTTCACAGAGTGATGTTTGCAGCAAGCTTGCATGTTCCAGTCACAAAGCAACTTCCCAGTAATGAGTTAAATCTATAATAGAGACAACCCATGTTCTTGTGTTGTTTCCGATTTGTTATCTTGTGCATTAATGCAAGGACTTGCAGATACCTAGGATTTGAGTGACATCTGAACATGCAGATGCTGTAAAACCATCCATTTCCCTTCTGTATTTCAGACAAACTTGGGTCATCAGAACAGCCACAGCAAATGAAGTTAGAATAAATCAAAGTCCCTGACTAATGTTTATCTAGTGTCTTGAGGGTGATGGGCCAGCAGCAGCATTGTGTTCAAGCTTCAGCTAATGATTGCTACAAAAGAAACAATTCAGCAAAGCAAACATCTTCAGGCAAGATAGATACTCAGCTCCATTGCACAGTGTCTGGAATGTCTTCATGCATCAGTTCAACTCCATGTTTCTAAGATAACTCATCTGATTCTGTATCAGTGATCTATCTTAACAGTGACTACAGACAGCATGTGTTCTAATCTTGTTAGGATTTATTTTTTGAGGGAAAAGGTGAAATAAATTAGTGTTCATGGAGAGCTGATCAGAGTACAACCTTCATGTTTAACAATTTATTTTTCTCCAGCTCCTCTTCTGCAAGGCTTTAAGTCCAGGTTTATTATTTTGTATTCTGTGTGGGGTGCTCCAGAGAAGTCAGCTCTAAGTGAGCAAGCTCTGAAACTGGAAAGAGCTCTGTGCTGCCTTAACTAATGGGACATATTAGTGCAGCATTTTGTTTAAGCTAGTGCAGCTACAGTCTGAGCTAGTATCCCTTAATAAAGCAGTACTGCACTTAGCAAGTGTCTTAGTGTGTTCAAAGCTTGGAGCTGTTTACTCTGCACTCTTACGGAGTGCTGATTGTTCCCAGTATATATCTAGAGACAATAGGTGTTACGCTGTTAATGCACATTTGAGTATGAAATAAGGTTGTCATCACCTTATACAAAACATTCCAGTGCACTTAAAAAGATGTCTTGCTGCTTTTTGTCATTTGCTTGTAGGATAATAAAGGTAGTTCTCCTTTTCTTCCACGTTTAGGTCCGACTGGTGGTAGTTGATGGAATTGCATTTCCTTTTCGCCATGAGTTTGAAGACCTCTCACTCCGGACAAGGCTTTTGAATGGTCTGGCGCAGCAGCTGATCATCATAGCAAATGATCATAAGTCAGCAGTAAGTCTGGGGCAGGTTTAGATCAGAAAAGATGCTACTTTAGAATAAATGCATTTCAAAGAATGAAGCAAATGTGATTTGCTGGAAATAACAAAACAGAACTGCAAGAATGCCCTCTACATCCGTGTTTGCCAGTTTAGCTAGTAAATACTGGGGTGTGGGGTGGGGCACAGGCAAAACTATTTGGGTGGAAAATTCCTAGACTTGCCAGAATAAGTAAAATCTTTATTAAAAACATCCTGTGGATCTTAATTAATTGGTAGCATATCAATCTATCGTGCTGTTTCACATAATTTTTTTAATGATTTGGTTGGACAAGGAATGACTTTGGTGACTTTCTACCTACAGAACACACACAAAAAATATGTCAGAGTATTCGGCAGTTCCAAATACTGTCCACTCTTTGTTTAAAAATAAACTACAGTCTTAGTGGAGGAACTGTTCTTAGGGAGGAAAAGCACTTTATCTGCTGGTTTGGTTTGCTCTTCTGGCATCCATGGAAACTCACAGCTTCCTTCCTGGGCATTGTTTCTATGTCATTTACGCCAAGATGGAGGCCAGCAAATCTGCAGCCCAGTAGCCAGCAGATGGCACTCAGAAGCTACATCTGTTCCAGAAGTTGTTTCAGCAAGTCCTTTACAGTACAGAAAAACATTGTTCAGGAATTGGAGCTTAAACCATCTCAAAATGGTACTTGTGCCTGCAATTCTTTCCAGGTGACTTGCAGCCTTGTCACCCACAACTCTGGCGCAAATGGGTTTTGTTCCTCACTGCTAAAAATAAGCCTCCCCTTGTGCTTCCTCTGATAGCTGCAGGAAGGGACAGAACACAGCTCTACATTCCACCCTGGTGAAGCGATTGGGCTTGCTGCTGAAACCATACCCTCTCTGTCATCCTGAAATGAAATATGAAGCTTTTTGCTGGTGTGGGTACCAAGGGAAGTGAATGTTTTATGACTGCTTGATTTTGCACAGCCTCCAGTTTACTGAGTGCTTTCACTCATAAATTTGGTACCTGGTGACCTTGAACAAGAGCAGTTGTCATTGTACAGTCTGTTTTTCTTTGGTCAAGGGGCACATATGTCACTTCTTTCTATTGAACAAGTGAGCAGTTTAGTACAAGCACTTGCTGAATAAACACTTGCTACAGAAGCAATAAACACAGAGCTTCAGAAATGATTTAGCTCCGAGTGGCCCTCCTGTTAGTTTTTGAGTTAGTTCCATGTAGCTTGCAAGCAGTCTAAATTCAGCTGCGTGCCAGAGGTTACTCCTTGGGCAGCAAAGCTGGGCAGACTGAATGCTCTTAATATGGATGGGAGTTTGTTTAGTTTCTAAAGCTGAACTCAGTGGGTTGTGCTACGATGTCCAGAGCAGGCCAGCTCCAGTGAAACAGGGAGCCTGTTTGGGGTTGTTACCATCCATATATGATGAGTTACTTTTCGAAAATACACAGTACATGCCTTGAGGATGTCAGCTATGTAAATGTCTTAGGTGTGTGCCCTCTGTGCTCAGTGGAGTTGCTTGCTCTAGCACACTTTAACTGTTCAAGCAAGAATTGTACAAGCATGTCAAACAATGAAAACCCCATAGGTTTAAGATAGGTACAATTTTTTTATTTTTCATTTTTAATGAACTTTGCAATTAATATTCCTGGCTCTTTTCTGTCTCACCCACCCCCACTTCTACCAGGGATCTAACCTAGACTGTCTGTGAACCTCCTACAAGTGATTTGTGCTGTGAAAACACTCCCCCGCTCTGTCTGTTCACTTTTCATTCTGCTTTGTATTGTACCCACTTGCGCATTTTTAGAAGACAAGGCACAGAAATTCTGTTAATCACTAGGCTTATGCATGTTTTGAGCAGCAGCACCAAATTCATTAATGCCAATGACTGAAAGCTGTCTCTTTACAGAGGGCTGGTGTAAGTCATGTGAACCTAAATACAGATCCAGACAGTATTTAGTACAAATACAGTGGAATATACAGTTTGCATCCCTTGGGGAGGGAGAAATTTAGGTTTCTTTAAAGTCTTGAATGAAAGAAATCTACCTCCTATGCAAATGGAAAATACATTTTTCAGGGTTCTATTATTTTGTTTGGGCTATTGAGCAGATGAGGCACCTTTACAGTTTCTTCTTGCTAACATGGATCTTCACCTGAGTAACTACTTTATTGTTAAAAGTTTTTTGAAAAATGGCTCTCTTCCCTCCCACCAGTGTGCTTATTTTCTGGAGATTTTCTTGTTTGTGTGCTTCTGTTTCCTCTTTTAGGTAGTTCTGACAAACCAAATGACAACAAGGATTGGACAGAGCCAGTCCACATTGGTACCTGCTTTAGGTAGGCGTTTAGCTTCTGAGCTGAAAATTGAGCTTATCTTCAAATATATGACTTTGTTTCTTTTGGCATCGTGTGCAAAGAAAATGAAATTGCTTGCTGAATTTCTGCAGTGTAGCAGAATCCACGGTGAAAGTCATTCCAGATGGGTCTCAGGCTAGTATTGTGGAACTCTGCAGTAGTGTTTACCTATGGCAGCTTTGTCAGTATAATGAGCAGCTATCAAACTTTATTCTAAACTCAAGCATGGTGTGCAGATTAAAATCCTGGTTAGATTTTTTTAAAAGGGATTACAAATATTTTTAAAAGTAGTGACATTTTCAGATTGCAGAAACACAGGTTGAGAGTGTTGTTGGATATTTTTTTCCTTTTTAAAAACCAAGAATGTTAATGCTAAACTTGCTATTAAATCTATCATCATTCCTTTAAGATGACTGCATCACCCTTTATGGGGAAGCACTAGATACTAAGAGCTCTGAGTAAGTAGCTTTTTAGAAGCACAGCTAATGTACTGCAGCCTTCCCCTGAGGATCTAGGCTGTTACCTTTATCCTAGCTGTGGCTGTGTCAACTAAGGAGGCCACTACCCCTGCTTGAGGTCACTGCTGCATCCTATATGCTGGCTGAGCTGTTTATTGATTGTCTCCTACGCCATTTCTGCCAAAAGTGGCCCAGTGAAATTTGAGCCATTTAAATAATAAGTAAACCTCTGATAAATCAAGTAATTTAGACTGCAATTGGCTGGTGAGTATCTTACAGAAAATGCAGGGATGGACCTGGGAGCAGTAAACCTCTAGCAGGAATGTGGTGATGAACAGATTAAACCACTAATAGAATAACACAACTTAATAGTTGCACACTTCAAACTATGCTGCAATTTCTTCAATTCCCTGAGAATCATCCACTGCTTTTCCAGAACAGTTTAAGTTGTTTATTTTGCCATTGCACTTGAGCATGTTCCATTAATTATTTGCAAAGTCATTGCATATTTGCTGCATAGCTGGAGCTCCCTACCCATTGTTCAGTGCAGTTACGGCATAGAGAGAAGTTATGTGTGGGATCCTCAACTACAGCCTGTCTAGAGTGAGTTTAAGTGTTTTTTACAGGCTGCTCAATTTTGCCCTGTAATGAGCAGAGTACCTCATACATATTCTTTTGCTGCAGTCACAGGGGAAAATAGAACAGTTCTTCTCAAGTAGAGATTTTGACACATTAAGAAAAAGCTCAGTGTTTAAATCTTCTTTCAGGTCATAACTTTGTATTATTTTATGGTACACTTAAAGGGCAACAAATCCTCTGTCCACAGCTTCAGTTTCTGTGGACTAAGAAATGATTCCCTTGTTCCGGAGCAGAGGGAGAAGGGGACACGTACAAAGGCAAAGATAATTCCCAGTGTCTGTACAGGCATTGAACCATTTGGCAGAGATGTAAGATAAAATGAACAAATACAGACTGTCTCCATCGAGCATGTGAAGAATGTGGAATTTTGAGCTGTGCACGCAGATATAGACCCAGCTTCTAGTGTCTGACCCTTCTTGTCATTTTTGCCTCTTGCTCTCTGATGTATTATTTTTGGCAGCCTTTCTGGCTATAAACTCAATTCAAGTTAATAGATTCTGTCTTTTTATTTCAGTAGCCAGTGTTTGAGAGGTGGTGTGTTTATGGAGTCATAAGGATAGTAAAGAATGTGAAGACATACATAGTAGGTTATAAGTCAAAGATATCACGTATTGTCTTGTGCATATTTTCTTTTACAAATATTTAATTCGACATAACCTCACCCACACTGACCATAAACTGATTGTGATTCTCACCAGAATGGGTGTGTAGTAAACATATAGTATTGTTGAGTTGTATGTACTCTGCAAAAGTGAAACTTTGCACCAGTTGTTAAAATATTTAGGTTAAGAGATATTCCCCCTATCCTAAACAGCCTTTTCTAAGATTTCACAAGAGCATTAATCTCTAAACTCTTATTCAGCTTCTCAGCAGAAGGGAACTTCTTAATTATGGGGAAAAAAAGGCACAGATGCTGCAAGGTATTAAGTCAAGAGCTTTATGAAGAGGACAGCTTTCTTTCCCACTAGTAATAGCTAAGCTGGGTGTTCCTAGACATTTCTACTGGATATATTTAGAAAGGAGGTCAAATATAAATCTGCAGCCAGTTTAACTCAGAAATACCCCATTTTACCGTAGCATTTTTCTTTCATACTCGATACAGTTGGAAACATTCTAGTGTGGAATTTGTACCCATTGTAAAATGTGTTTTGATCTCTGACTCAGAACCGTATCTGATGACTAGAATCTTCAGTCTCAACTTACATATAGTGGAGCAAGGTCTAGCAAGATACCTACAGGGTCTAGGTCTTCATTACAGCTGAATCTTATTTTTTGTCTTCTCTGTGCTGTAATGACCACCAGAGCACATGGGGCATGTGGGGCTAGTGACATGATGCAGACCAACAAGTGATTCAGAAGTTAATGGGGCAGTATGGAGGTGAAGAGGAGAGGCTTGCAGCACTGAAACAAAATGACTGGTTTCAAATGCAGTCCATCTTTGGACTACTGACTGTATCCAGGGATAAACAGAGGAAAACACCCAATAAAACTGTCTATAAATTGACTGAGCTCATGGTCAGGTGTGAACTGAAACAACAGGACTATTTCCCCTGAAATAGGATAACAATCCAAACTTCCTTCTTTCTTTCCACCATGCCCTCCCTCTTGCATTTGGTTGTGTTCTTTTGCATTTTGCTGTCAGAAGCAGAAGACTGCTTCAGGGGCCCTTAATACTTTAATAATCATTGACTTTTCTCCCAAAGCTTGTATCCCAAAGGGAGTGATGTTTGCTCATAATTATTCCTGAGAGGCAGAGTATCAGAATTTTGAAGTAGGATTTAGCCATACTCAACTAGGCTCTTTCAGTAGTAATTAGAAAAATCTTAATGCTATGTCTGTTTTCAAGACTTGTCTAGTACCTGTCCTTTATTAGTTATATAGAAAATCTTTCTACAAATATGGAAGTACTGCATCAAGCTTTCTATAAAACACTGATTATAGAGGTTATTCCTTGTCTCAGTGTACTTGGTAAACTAGTTGTGAAATCCTTGCACATTGATACAAAATACGTGGTTTATTACTGCGAGAAAGGTGTATATGTGTTTAATCATGGAGGTTTTTTGGAAGACTGGTCTAATTTACTGATGATGGTGCTGCTATAGGAGCATAAATAAAATGGCCTCTATTTTGTGTCACTCAGGAGAAAGCTGGGGACATGCTGCTACTGTCCGTTTAATCTTTCACTGGGACAACAGTCAGAGGTAAGTGAAAGTGTATGTGAAGTACATAACACTGACCAATGTGATATTTGAGAATCCTTCCCTGAATGGCCAAACAGGGATTTGAACTTGACTTCCAGCTTTGCTCTGCCATGTCCCAGGCTACTGCAGCTCAAGAAGAGCTTTCTAGTTCAGGCTAAGACAGCGTGGGCTGAACTGTCATGCTCCTCCCTCTCACCATGGTCAGCTTGCTGCAGCGCTGTACTTTCTTTCTGACAAGATGCTATGTCTCATCGAACTATAACATCCTAACGGCAGCTGCTCAGACACAAGAACTGAGGATCTGGTGCCTAAGTAGAAATTTTTACTCTCTGTATTTTGTAAGCAGGGAGTAGAATGTCTTTGCTTCAGCCTTTTAGGCCCCAGTCAGTACAAAGCCAAAGATGCCAAAGGTAGCTTTCCACCTAGGTAGCAATTCTCAGGACAGAAAAAGCTTGCTGAGCCCTGAGCCTTAGTGGCAGCCTTTGAACCTTTCTGCTTTTGAATGTAGCAGGATGGTTCCAAGTTACAATGACCTGCAGGAAGAGCTTCATTTACTCCCAGTTCAGAGCTGAGTTATGGAGGATGATTTTAGCAGCCCAAAGGAATGAGGATGACCCTTCTAAAAACCATATGAAGTTCTGTTTCCTGGTTCTTTTTTTTTTCCTCTTCAGTATATTGCAAGCTCACTTCTCTTTCCTGGTCAGTTAAATTTGTCTTGTGTGTAATATCACAGTGCAGCAACTTGGGATTATGAAGTCTTGCTTCAATTCCCTAATCTTCTGCAAACAGTGAACAAAAATGCTGCTGGAATGTTGTTGTGCATAGTTTGGTTTGTTAAACCTGAAAGAGACAGGCAGTGACACTTTCTTGTGGAGTTTTGGTTTTTTAAAGTCTAAGTTTGAAGGAAATGCAGAATGATTACAGCAGGCTGTTTATGTTGGAATTAAATTAACATCACTGATCAGTTAACAGCCTTTATAAGACAGAAGTTGCATCAACACAACGGTTGCAGAGTGAACAAAAGTTAATTTTATGTATCAAAACTAAGGAGGTTTTTTTTCTTCTCCAACAGCTAGGAAGGTTGTAGATAACATGTTTCAGGAAGTGAGCCAAAGATAGACAAACATGTTTTATTTACTGTTCTAAACGTGTAGCTAATATGGGCAGGGCAAGCAGAAGCACAGCAATTCCGGTGAAAGCTGCCTAACTGTAAAAAGCAGCAATAGCTACATTCTGTTGCATTTTTCACACAAGCTACCTATACCTGATGATACATCAGGGCTTCTTGTTATTTTTATATTAAGCTATTGAGGCACAAAGATATTTGAGTATCCATTTGCCACCTTCTTCTTTATTAATTGTGCTTTGGCCTAATATGATACCTGTCTCTTTCTTTCTCTCTACTACTGAAAATGGCAGAGCTTAATTATAAGGGGGCTTATTGCTGTGAGGTAAGATCCTGTTGAGTCAGAGGCATGCAGCAGAGCTCCAGCTGAGCACTTGTGAAAGTGTGGCTTCTGCAGCTTCAGATTTAGGCTATTTTGTGAAGTATAACCCACCCCTTAAATGTTCTGAGGAATTCCCTGTGTAGCTAATGTGAAGTGGCAGTGTTCCTCAGGCTGTAATTACGTGCTCTCTAATAGAATGGCACCTCAGGGAGGTAAAAAAACCCTGAAAATAATTAACGGGATCTTTGGCAGGGTGTCTGGATACAGATAGCAGAACACTTTCCATACTGGCTTCACCTAAGTGTGAGTTTTGGGGAGGTGAGCATGGTTTAGACTAGCATCAGCCCTGGGACTGGTTGAAAAATCCCTTATTTTTGAGCTGCTGTGCAGTCTTCTTAAAAGCAGGCATTTATTGGGCTAGGTGCTACCACAAATCAAGATGCATTGCTTAGAGTCTAAATGCACAAAATCAAAGAGACGAGAAATACACGGAGACTATTTTCTCAAGGTTATGCTGTGTGTCAGTGGCAAGATCAGGCTTAGAAATAGAACATCTTATGCTCCTTCTCCATCGACTAGGTGATGTTGACAGGCCTGGGAAATATCTAGGAAAAAAACTTCCCTAGAATATGAATTCTTGAGGGTATCTCCCAGTGTCGAGATGTCAGTGAACGAAAGATTGCTTAACAGAATAGGAAAAAATTGTGCTCAAAACCTTGTTTGTTTGCATTTTAAAAGTGGTGTTTGGAATTGCTATAATGAATATTTTTTTTAAAAATGATGAAATCCTGTGATAAAACAACGGTGATTAATCACTCGTTTTAGTAGGTCTACATTGTATTTGAGCTGACAGGGCATATAAGGATGGGAAATTGGCATCCACACTTTAAATACCTATATGAAAATACATACATAAGAATTCCACTGGTCACGTACCCCATGTTTGTGGGGAAAACTTGAATCTAGTCATTTGGCTACTTGGAATTTTTATTATTGTATTCACTAATCGTAATTATCTGGTGTTTTTTCTTTAACCAGGCTGGCTACATTGTACAAATCACCAAGTCAGAAGGAAGCAACTATACCGTATCACATCACAGTTAGTATTTCTTTTGGGATGGAAATTGCTAGCTGTAAAGGAATTTTCAGACACAAAGACAAATCTGTGAATGATGTTTTCTTAGTGTTGCTTTTCAGTTGCCTTATGAACGTAACTGGTAATACTGGGATATCTCCAGGTTTATTAATATTTTGCACCTTTTCTCTTTAGAAAAATGACCCAGCATGTTAGTTCTCTTAGAATTAAAACATTTTGATTTCCAGATCAAATTTATAGGCAGCCTGTCCCCATTTGTTCTTCTGCTAATACTGCTTATTTTATCTACCCTTGATGTTAACTTTTGGCCTAAGTGCAATTACAGAGAACAATCACACACTTGCTGAGCATTCATTTTGGGAGACTTGGACAAGCCAAGCTGCGTTCTCCCTTGTCAGGTAGTATGCTATTGTTTCCTTAGTGGCTCTTCTCTGCATCTTCCAGGTGAGTTTCTCTGTCTAAGACAAAGGTGAGCTGAATCACACATGGTATTGCAGAGGTTTCACCAGTACTTTGTGCCATACATATTTCCACATCTCTGCTTTAAGTGCATTGCCTGATACAATCTAGGTTGTGTTTCTCTTTCATAGCTCCATCCTACTGGTAACCCTATGACCAGCCAATATATACAGATTTTTCTATTCTGCCACTGTCACATGAGGAGTTTCCAGCTTATGGTTGGAGTTCTTATTCACCCCTAGTTAAATCCTGTGATTTTCTTTTGTGGAGTCCTTAGATACATATTAATGAGAATACACACACAGCCTAAGCTGTATTTAGGTTAAAAAAAAAAAATCCAGCCCCACCACTCGACTCTTATATCTCAAAATGTCAGATACATAGGTACATGCCATACCTATTTGCCATGTGTCCTCATGGAAACACACTGCCGTAGCACTTCCTGCAGATTTGAATGCTGCCATGAGATCTTCAAACTATTGAATAGGTATTTCCTTTTTCAGTCCTGAATGTATTCACCTAGACAGAAGAAATATTGCAAATATATATATATGTGTAAAAAATATATATATATAAATGTTATGTAAGGACTGGAAGGATAAGTGGGACCACATCCCAAAGTTGTTTGGATCGTGCAGTGTGAGCTCAGCCCTTTCTCACCAGCTGATAAACAGATGGACTTTACCTTAGACAGTTTAATAGCCTTTTCCTTTCAGTTCTGTATGCATTATAAAACAGATATACTCTCTTCTTCAGTGTGGATGCACACAATTTTGAAATACAGTTGAGAGTGTATCCTAATCAAAGATTAGTTAAAATTTTAAAAGATTATCCCAGTGTTTCTCCTGTAATCCTGTTGAGCTGCTTCAGCAGACAGTTTCTGGAAGTAAAAAATGTATTATCCCTGTTTTTTTTTTTAACTCCTCAAATTCAGGCTTGATGGTAACGGTCTGCTGTTAGCATTTCTCATTCCCATCTCTGCAGCTAAACTGGAGAATGTAAATACGTGTTCCATGTTTCCAAATCTGATCTAGCACATCTATGCATAACCAGCATACAAAAAAAAAAAAAAAATTAAAAAATAATAAATTCCTCAAGCCTATTTCCTCAAAGATGTTTAGACTTAGACAAATTAGATACTGTGGTACCATTGGCAAACCGGCTGTTCACTCTGAGCAAGTGTGGAAGCTGTGGAACATGTATCAGATGAAGTATTTTCTTTCACAGGCTGGTTAAGGATTCATTCTTAAATGCAGAGTATAGAAATGTAAATTGATTTATGCACAAGGGAGTAATTATATCTTCTGATCCACCTAAATTTCCCAGGTACTGTAACATGATTATTTCACTATAAAAGATAGAGCCCTAGGACCTATATTCTCAGCAGGAATAAACAGTATTTCCCTGAACTGTGGAGGGTCTGCCAGACTAGCAATGAGAACACCACTCAAGTAATAAAGCCATCTGCTTTTGTCAACCTTGATGCAGTCTGTAGCTGCCAGAAAATATTAAAGAAAAAATCAAAATGACTGTAGACTGAGCTTTGTAGGTCCTTGGTTCCATTGCCCACATGGTTGATACCTAAAACTCACTAACAAATATACAGATAAACCACTTCAAAATATACACAAAAACCTTGTAATTTTGAGGCACTCTGTCCAGAAGGGCTTTAACTAAAAGCAAAACCTCCATACTAAGCAGTCTACTTTATCATGTTCTGGCCTTTATAAGCATTGGAATGCTTTTGCTGCAAGTCTAGCATGCTGGATTAAGTGGATTCTTGGCTACAGATCCACCTTTGTGCCTAAGGGAAATGGCAGAGATTAGATGCAAGCAACAGTGAAACACTAAACTTGAAGATTCCCCATTACGCTATTCAGAATAACACTTGAGTTGCTTATAATAGCAGAGGGACTGCACAAATACTGCCCTTGTGGCACCTCTTGCTGTTTGTTCCTTTGAAAAATTAGCAGGCTGCGTGAGGTGAGGCATTTGGAAATAGAAATACAGAGGTAGGACACTTAAGCAAAACATTTTGATTGGGTTCTTATGTTGTTTTGGATTGATCTCAGTGTGGGGGACACTGGTGTTTTAGGAAAGTCACATGTCTGATAGTAACTCTACCTGCTTTTTCACACTGCACCAACACAAAAAAGCTTTAGATGAAATTCTATCATCCCCCCATTGTCTCTACCTGAGTATTTAGGATCCCCAAAGCAATTTCTTTTTCAGATTAACCCCTTTTCCTAAGTCTGCACTGCAGTGAGAGTCGTCATTGTGCTGTCAGCAGTGCTCCCTGCACAGCATTTGCTGGGAGATGGGAAGATGGACAGTCACAGGCTTCACATCCCATCTCAGTATTTCCATCTGCACTGATGACATGATTAACTAACTGCTTTTCCAGATATTTAAAAATCTTTAAAAATCATTAAATTGTGAGGTACAGTAACAGAAAATACAAATGGTACTAAGCCAAATAGATCACTTTAAGCTCTTTCCTGAGTAGCAGCATCTCATTTTCACTTCCACATTTAGTTTTTGGCAGTTAAAGGTTCTCATCCCACTCTGTCCCATAAATTACTATGCTGGGACAGTCTTTGCAGTCTAGAGACTGTTTCAAATATGCTGTTCTCTTACAATGTCTCATTGATGTTTTCAGTTCATTAAGTAGATACATGAAAGAAAAATATCCTAGGTTTTAGAAATTCAGAGTTCTGTTTCTGAAAATGACTGAGGCAATTAATCCAGTCATCTCCTTGCTTCTGTGGAAGCTTGAATAAGGGCTGAAGGATTTGGCTTTTAATTTATTTAAATAGGCAACTTAATTTACAAAGAAGCAGTGCTTCACAGCCATAGGGGTTATCAGTGATAAAATGAAAATAATAGCCTGGTGAAAATAAAATAATAAAATGATGAGACTCAGTTATTAGTTGGCACATGTGTTAAAAGACTTGCTGTTCTGAACTTAGCCTGGTCTAAAAACGGTCTGTGGCCACTCATCTAAAATAAAAGACAACATCATACCTTATTCTGATCTTCTGGGAACTAGTTACTCATGGTTTATATCCATAGAAGTGTTATCACATGATTTTGCTTATATCTCACAGTCTCATGGCTTCCGAGACGTGCAGCCTCCAGCTGTCACTCAAAATGCAGAAGGTGCTGAAATGAACCCTCGCAAACGGCCACGGAGAGAAGAGGAAAAGTAATTGAGATTCAAAAGTTGAATGTTAAAAAATGTGTGCTACAGGAGAACAGTTGCATAGTCAACGTGCAACCAAAGGTAGCCTGAGAGACTAACTTAAATTCCTGCTCTGGATGTTATTTTAACATTTGTGTGGCAGGAAATTCCTTTGTGTATGGCATAATTTTATAATAAAAAATTCTATGTTTTCTATAACAAGAGGCTTCAGCTCTTTCTTTTTTTTGGGGGGGGGGGAGTGGGGAGAGATGGAGAATATAAGGTTTTTTTACTCTGGGTAAAATAGCAATGAAATGCGAGCATCTAGTAGAGTGTATTTAATGACATAAGTCTTGACCACTCATCTGGTTTTATGTGTATCTGAATTTTAACAAGGTTTCATGTAGCAGTCTGTTCACATGCCTCAGACCAGGGCAAAAGGCAGTGGAGCTGCTGATGGATGCTTTAAGATAAATACATGCTTAAAAGCTGTGCCAGATGGGGGCATTAGCCCTTACCTGCCGCAAAGTCCTTGATCAAGGACAATCAAAGCACTGTTTTGAACTTCTCATTTATCTTTTAGTGGCAACAATAGAGATGAAAACCTAGATCTGAAGGACAAAAGATTTAATCCAGCATGGTAATTTTCTGCTTCTATCATAGAAAGAATATTTTATCATCAAGCTCAAACCAAACTGCTGCATAGCCCTTAACTTCCATGTTCATTCTTTACCAAAGCATTCACAGTGAGCTGCTGTAATCAGGATCTGTTTTGTTCATGGCTTTGATAAAGAGGAAGCCCAGGCTGCTTAGACACCAGCAATATAGATTAGCAGCTCCCAAATCTAAACCAAATAAAGGAATGAATGTACACTGAAAATACAGCACGGTTTTGTCCTTTCTAGTAAGAGAAAACAAATCGATCAGATTATTAGAGGGAAAGAAAGGTACTGCAGTGCAAAACAGTAATTACTTCAATTATGAGAGGTGTGTGTACACATGCACACATATGACCCCTTTCTGGCATAGTGCTTGATAATGTTATAGCTGAGGAAACTCAGCCAGCAAGCTAAATGGAGAATTCAAGTTGTGGGAGTCACTATCTTTAATTTATAATTTAGTAACACTAAGCTGCCTTTGCTTTGAAACAAAATTCAATGCTGAATCTGAGTCACGAAACCTGTCTATTCAAAAAGCCGCAAAAAAAAAAAAGTGGCAGTGATTTCTGGATCACTATAGTGTTTAGATATAAATTACATAATAAAGTATTAAAAGGAAAAGTATTCAGCTGCTATGCAGCAACCCAGGCTGTGTCAAAATTTCAAACCTGTGAGTCAGGGAGAAGCTCTCAAGCAAGCATGACACAGGAAGAAAGGCAGTGGGATTTGTGACTCAGACAAACATTTCAATGCAGGAGACACAGGCAAACAAAAGGATCCTACCGCATGTGATGTCAGCAAATGCTCCATTTGGGAATAATAGCTTCCTACGTATTGCAGTGCAAGAAGGGGGAGCTAGCACAGTACACATGCCTACGTAGCCACAAGGAAAACCATCCATTAAGAATGTTGTAGCAGGATTTTAAGAAGCACTGCTGGTTACTAGTGATAGCTGCTCTCTACCGTGTTTGATATTTATGGAAAAATCCGTTTCTCTCCGTTTACTGTGCTCTGATTAAATATCCCCAACACGTTCTTCCATGTGCGAGTAAGGGCATGCCTCCAATATACTATTAATTTCAGCTGACTGTTGTTCTCTTATTTTGTTTGTAGTAGAGTAGCATCCAGAAGCCCTAGCTGAGATGCTGATCCTGTTATACCAAGATAAATCGTTTTGGCTGAGTGAATGTTACATCTTCCAGTATTCCAGGCATCATTATCAAACTAAAAAAATTGTATAGTTACTGGTGAACAGTGGGAGTTACAAAACATCCAGAGGAGACACCAGAGGCTCTCTGTGCTGAGATTTATTTATTTTTTTTATATTGAAGTTATAATAAAAATCAGCTCTGCAGACCAGAACTAGAGAGAAAGATCTGTTGGCTGAGACAAAATTAGATTAAATGAGCCAGATTTTGTTCTCATCTGCTGGAGACAAGGAAGCTGTTCCAGGCTTAGAAATGAGTATAAAGAAAGAATTTGACCGTTGCCTCAACAATAAATCTTCCATGGCAAGTTGGTATTTTCTTACGTGTGCCTGGAACTCTCTTACATTTCACAGCATCAGTGCACAACAGTGAGTGGAATGAGAGAATTCTATGACTGCACAGAAAGTAAGATTCTGACTAGATAATGTCACAGTACTGAGTCAAAAATAAAACAGGTTGTTTGACTTGCTGCCTCAGTCCCAGTTTTCTGAAAGCCAAAAGCTTTAACTATCATGCTGAGTTTAGAATTATTCCATTTTGTAGGGATGACATTTACTTGTGGTGTAAGATCCTACTTTGTCACCACAACAAGAACACAGCATCTACCACAGGGCTCGCCAACAGGAAAACACTGCGGTCACAGTATACTGCTTCTCAAGCCCAGAACCATGCTTTGAAACTCTTCAGTTTGGTCAGGGACAAAACCAATTTATTTCTTCCTGGTTTTATGTGTTCTGCCCCTTTTCCATTATGAAACACTGAGAAGCCAAACAGCTTCCAAGTAGAATAAATTTAAGAAAACATGAAGAAGAAATAGCTTAACATAAGGTAAGAAGATGTAGCCAAGGTCAAGTTCTGCAATCACAGTCTTGTAGTGAAGTCAATTACAAACTTGTGGGCTAATGTGGAAGGCAATTCAGCTGCTAACCTGGATGTTGAATACAGTGCTGAGAAAAGTACATTTAAAACATAACATTTATTTTTCTATTGAATTTAGTTATTTGGGGGCTCTTAACTTAGAATCTAAGGTATTTCATGGATTAACAACAAAGGTGTTGTTGAAATCCTTACTGCCTGCCTTTTTAACTCCATCCTTTTTCTGAACAAAAGAAGATACCTAAGTTGGAAAGAGAAGTCATTGTGTCCCAGCTTCTCAGATTGTCTTTACCATCCTGGGGATCATAATTATTTAGAAAGGCACATTACGCTGTATTATACTGTTTTAACACATGCTAATTCTGTATGAAATACATTTGATGAAGTTTTGAAATACGGTTTGATGCTTTCTTGTCCTAAGATAGAGTACTTTGAGGGAAATGGAATAAATAAAGCACATTGAAGTAACATAAATGTTACAACAGAATACATAGGGGATAGAATACGTCTTTTTATGGGATGAGAACCAGGGAAGTTAACCTGCAATTCCCAAACCAGCTGATACGAAAGGGCCCTGGCTAAGAGTATACACACAGGAGGCTGGCTGCAGGGAAATGTGGCACTGGCTGCTGGAGCTGGCAGTGCCTTAGGGCTGCCAAGCAGCCTGCCCAAGCCTCCTCCGCACCAGTCCTCCTCTCGACTTGAGGAACCAGTGCCAGCTGCTACCTGCTCCTTGGCTTCCCCTCTCCCTGGCTCCCCAGGCTGTGTTCCCAATGTCTTGTGGCTTCCAGCCATAGTGTCATTTTGGATGATTAGGGTCAGGAGAGTTGGCTTCTTCCTTTGGCTACTGCAAGATCCTGCATTAATGTTCTATACTGAAGAATGAAATCACTGGGAACTGGCCCCCTTCCCAGTACCGAGTTTCACCCATAAATGCACCCACTGCTAGATTGTAAGATACTGTCTTGCTTCCTACAAGCAGGAAATATTCATGCAATATGCACTATTTATTGAAGTCTAAGCTTTACGCAGTTTTAACTATACCTGTAGAAATAATAAACGGTATTAAAAGCAATAGTTCAAGCACTGCACAACCAGTAAAAATGTTGGATGATATGCTGAAAGGATCCATAGAAAAGTATGTATTTTACTAATTGATTCTTCAAGAATTATAGCTAATATTGTTCATTACAAGAATTACTTGTCATTGATTTAAATAAAGCCAGAGAAGCATCACAATACAAAATAAAATAAAATAAATAAATCACATTTCATTTTCAAACAATAAGAAGGGGGAATATTTAAAACAGAAAACATCTAGTGATGTATATGGGAAAGCAACAAGGAATCTCTACAGACCTCAATAAATGGTTCTAATTGCATCTGGATGCTTTTCTCAAACATGCTGTTTGAATACTTGCTCAGTTTGGTATCTCACACTGCATTATTTTGGAGTTAGAAATTTATGACACGTGTACTTCTAATACTCTATTTAGTGTGAACCACTGCACTTTTAGCAACACAGTTACAACTACATTAGTGACTCTTTTTGTATTATAGATGTTGATAAAATAAAATGTTTTGGGCTCAAGAACAAGTCTCCTCAGCATGAAAATTATGCCTCTGAAGTCTAGCATGTCAATATGAGACTGTAACATAATTTGTGACACCTTTTTTGCTGTATAAACTTACTACACATTTGGCTGTAAATGCTAAGGAATACATCACACCAATGTATCTCTTTAAAAGTCTTTTTTTTTTTTCTTTTTACAGTTAGCAAAAATTTCTGTGGCTAAATCATAGAATTTGAGACTGTCCACCCACTGCATACATACTTCAAAATCTATGAATCCTACCACTCTATTTTATCTGTTCTCTTATAGCACATATATTACAAAAATAATAGACACAGCAGTGGTTGCTTTCTGGCACTCTTGTGACTGATTTTTAAAAAAATAATTTTAAAGGCATTTCTAAGTACATGCCTGTAAAATTCAAGGTCTTGTGACTGGAGCAGAATATCACAGAATCAGGGATCTAATCTGCAGTGAAATGATGAACAAGTCATTTAAAGTAAGTCCATGGAAGAGCCAATGTATTTTCAATCCCACTAGGCACCTGCCTTAAATTTTGCTCTCATTGTAGGATGAACCTCACTTTCCACCCTAAAAGCACAGAATATGCACTCACTGTTATACCCCTAGAACAGAACATAAATAGGATTGAAGCAGTACATACCT